AGAACCTCATAATACACAGGCCAGCTCGATTTCTTCATAACCCAATCACCAAAAGGAATGAAAAAATGAGCACTGGCCCTCTTCCTTACAACTCTTTCTCTTGGTTTCTTCTTAAGTAGCTTTCACTTGGGTCAATTGTTGTGAAGAAAGTGTACGGAAGCAATTGGCCCTGGGCAAGGATGTTGGGTGACAACATAAATCAATGGAGGCTCGATTGTGTTTCTATGGACTTATCTTTGCTACCCTTTGTGTGGATAAATTTCTGTGTATGCTGTTGTTAGCTCTCTGGTAGCAAGCCTAGAAAAGAAGAATGAAACGAATAAATGATCATAAAATTCTGCTGGTTTGCAGATGGAGAAAAATATGGGTAATGTTTTAGCTGTAGGAGTAAAGTGCTAGCTAGAGACTAGTTAATTAGCAACCTAGGGTTTAAAATTGTTTGTTGTAATTGAATGTTTCGGGAGGTTTACATGGGCAATTAGGTTTTTGTGCCTCTTCTATTAAGTAATGTAAATTTGAGTGGGTTTGGTGATTACTTCTGCAATTTTCTGTATTTTACTGTATGAATGCAAATTGAGTGAAGTTTGGAATCTCAATATTAAAGTGTCAAAGTAAATATTTATTCTTGATGTTAATTTAATTTATTTTCTTTTAATTTTGTTAATTATCTGCTAATTAACCTTGCGAACGTAAATTTTACTGCTGAAATATTACTAACTCTGCGATTGGATTCACTGTCACATCTAGATCAATAAAAAAAAAAAACTATTTTTGATTATAACAAAATATAGATTGAATATTAAATTGAGTATATCATAATATTTTCCAACAGGTAAATAAGATATAGATTGATAATCTTCAATTGGTAAGATCAATATTGATGGCGAGAGATTAATGTTTTTTACGTAAAACTGACTTAATTGTTCAGGAGTAGAACTATAAAACGCGAAAATTGAATTATTTGCATTGACAAACAATTTCAATTTTTATTTTTATTGATCATTTGCAATAAAAATCATTACTTTTTCTATGCATTACATTAATTAAAATATCTAAAAGACGATACAAGTTTAAACTTTTGATCTCTTGTTATGAATGATAACCCCCTTTGCCCCCCGCATCTAAAAAGAAAGGGCAGTTAATGGAAGTTTGAATTTATCTTAACTTTTTGATATGTACCATGATAGGAAATAAGAACACTCTTACTAAATTTACTATCAAAATTCAACATTTGTAATCTCTTAAAGTAGCATTTGAACAGGCAATTAGATAATTAAGGCCATTATTATTTTTGGTTTTACTTTTTGACATAAAAAAGGTAATTAATTACTTCAATTTCTAGGTGAAAAAATGGAGAGAACTGCAAACATTACTAGTTATTTTTCAATTTGAATGAATATGAAGGGTTAAATTACTAAATCCCACTCTTCTTTTTCCTAATGTTCTTATTAAATCTAAATAGGGAATGCATTTCAACTTATACTCATTTGTAGAAATCAATTTACAACTAGTATGCCCCCCAAAATAAAAAAGGAGAACCAAAAAAAAAAAATTTAGGTTTTTTAAAAAAGTTGACGTGGTTTAGTGACCTCAATCTCCACAAAGCCAGTAAAGTACACAACTTTTGATTTCTATGAAGGCACACTTTACTGGAAGAGCCAAAAATATTTATTGTCTAATGGTTATCAACACCAAGAAAGTCATTGTTGATTGATTGATTGAGGAAACCCCTAGTTTGGAATCTATAGTCTTGGTCTATATTCTGTTTGCTCGATTGCCTTATGCAACAGATCAGCAACATTCAACCATCAACTGAAAAGGCAAAATATATGATATGAGATCTTAAGATGGTCTAATGTCTATTTTTTATTTTTTTTTGCCCTTTTGGCTTTTGGAATAAACCTAAAAGTTATATACCTTGTGGACATATCCATTCTTCTTGTACCCTTTTCATTTTTGTGGCCCTTTTGTATGGATTGAACTCTCAAGATAGGAATTTACTAGGAATCAAATGCTTTTATTGATTGACCACTTTGATATGATAATATAACTTTATCGTGGGAAGAATATATGTAAGTATTGTAATGGGGGTCACATTTTACCCCTTTACTTAGCTGAATCTGACAATAGTGGTCCTTTTATCTTTGGCAAATGGGGCGATAGGAATTTGTTAATAGTACTCTTAATGTCATAGCATCTTATGTAGTTCATAACTTTCAAGTTGCAAAACAAGAATAATATGTAAAGAATCATTCCTAGGTCCACTATAAAGTTTTATATTTACTTAATAAATAATAATTTTCATTTATTTCCATTAAGTTAGGTGATCATTCAGTCGGTTTAAAATCAATTTGCGATGAAATTTTTAATCGAACTGAATTGATGCGAATTATTTTTTAATTAAAGCTGTTCAATTCAATCTATTTATAATGGCTGGATTAATTTTATATTGACGCACACAAATCAAATTGTGTGTGGGTTTAACTAAATTGGTTGAAGCCATTTTACAATAATGAATTACTTAGGCATAAAAAAAAAATAATATTTATTTTCTGATTCATTTAATGTGATGTATATCGTTACTAAACCGAATTATAACGGCGACTAATAGAAAAAATTTTAATATTTATGCTTTTGAACTAAAAACAAGGTTTTTCGATTCACCGACTTGAATTTTTTTTTTTTTTTATAGGGCATAACAGCGCCCAATGGATTGGAATAATTTTAGTAGGCTACACAGCAAGGGTCCAGCTACTCTCTTTTGAATAATATCACTAAATTGGTATTTTTTTAAATTGGTTTTTTTTTTTTTTTTTTTGTGGAGAGGACTCAAATTCGAAACATTTCTCTCCTTACATTTTCTACAAGAGATAGAAAAACCAAATTGACATTCGCCAAATTGAATTAGCGAAACTAATTGAATTGATCAAATTCGCTAAAGCGTTGGCTTTTACTATTAAACTCAAATCGAAATACATTTAAGTCATTTAAAAAATGAAATACTGGACTAAAAATGTAACAAAATATATATTTCTTCTTAGTCACACATACCGATTGCCAAAGACAGCGGTTTTTTTCAGTCTTCCATTTTCATTTGGAGCGCGGCCTTTTGTATACATATATTTATGGGCTCGGTTCTCTTTTAAGCCCAGAACTCATTATGGATATAAACAACCGAACCCAGTTAATCTATTTCACCGCAAAAAGCCCATTTAATGTGCTGACAATTGGAGGCCCACAGATTTTGAGCTATCTATAACTTTTGCGGTGAAAACTCTCTACATCTTCTACAAGAGTTAGAAAGAGAAAAAATTATTTGATTATTCGATTGATTATAGTTTTTTACAATAAAATCTTATATAACTTGATTCAACTGCTTTTTTTGTATTGAATACTGTTTGGATCGATTACTAAATATGTAAAATTTAATTATATTCAGATTGAGTAATTCAATTTGGATCGAACCGAATATTCATGTACTTACAAAGGGAAAAAAAAAAAAAAAAAAACCATGTATGAGTTGCTTTCTTTCCCAAACTATTTTTAATAGACAAAATGTACTTATACTTAGAAAATATTTGGTTGGAATAAGTAGACTGAGAGAGTAACTTTTTAATAAATGCATTAAGTGCTTATATTTTGGTTTGCATTGCTAAATTCTTCTTTGCATAAAGTAAATCATTCAGCTTCTCTTAGATATGGTAACTAAGTTTCTCATGGTTGGTTAGACAATTCTTGACAATGAACTTACTAATTTATCTTAGTATTTAAATATATTTAAATTTGCACTATTGATATTATTTTCTTTTGAAATTTGAGATTAATTTATTGAACATCAAACACGATAAAATTATACTTCATGAGAAATAATTTTCTTAAAAATGTATTTTTAAGAAGTATACTTCTCTAGAAATAGGCCTTTTTGGACCAACCAAAGCCTTAAGGTATGGATTGAAGGGTAAAAATTAGAGGCTCTCTCTTTCTCTCACGGCCTAAAATTTAAAAACTCTTTTTTTTGCAAATAATCTTCAGATATGAATTATTGTTATCCAAATATCAAGATTTATGGTTGTTCATATATTAGAATTTTATTGTCGAACATAATTCTGAGTTATTGTTGTCTCTATTATGGTGATTTTGTCTAGCGTCTTTTATTATTTGGATAGTTATGCAAAAAGAAAAACAAATCTCATCTCTAATATAAAGAAAAAAATTTGAAAATAACCAAATTAAACTTATAAAAAGATTATAGAGTCAAACAATGGTTATAAATAGCCATCAAGTGAAGCAAGCGAGCATATCATAAATATTATACTTTATCAACTCGATTGATCAAATACTTCAAATTAAAATTGTGTTTTTCTATTCTTTGTAATTAATTTATTATTGAATTTTTATAAAAAATTATTCTTTGTAATTGATTTATTATTGAAATTTTATAAAAAATATAAAAATATTAATTAATATCTCGTATCTATATATAATTTTCTTCCGATAAAATCTCTATAAAAACAAAAAAAGCCCTGGGATAAGAGAGCGGGAAATAATTGTCACCGTCCAAATTATCAAAATCATGTTTCTTGTGTTTAAAAACTAGAAATGAACATAAAAATAAGTAAATAATGCTTAATGGATCCCACTAAAAAAGGCACACAAATTCCGCTCCAGCTAATCACATCCTCCTTTAGCAATAGCCACTCCTGGATTGGCGCGTGCACAACAAAGATTTCACTTTCTAGATAAAGAAGCTTTTTAAATGGACAATTTCTAAAAATCTAATGGGATTTTGTTATTTTAAATTACAAATTATAATTGAATATTTAATATTTTAAATAAATTACATCTTACTCTTTAATATTAAACTATAATTATAAATTTACTCATTTAAAAAAATTAAAACACTATTATCAATTTGATAAATAATAATTTTACATAATGCACATTTACTTTAATAAATAAAAAATATATAAATAATTTTAATAGCAATAAGTTTATAGTTGGAACTTGCCGAAGTCCACATTTGTCGTCTCGCCTTCTTCACTCACTCGTACATCTCCGTGACCCACCAACCAGCAACCATCCATAAAACTATTGCTTACTTCTACTGCTACTCACTATTCCACCATTAAAAGACGCTAACTTTCTTAACCGTTGATTGGTTTCCGTGACGTCCGGTGCCGGTGAATGCAGATCCCAACTACACACGCCTAAAATATTTGCTTTTGTTGGTTTCCATGGCCATGGAAACCAACATCCCAACTAACACCAACCCCTAAAATATTTGCTTTTTGTTGGTTTCGTTGGTTTCCATGGCCATGGAAACCAACAACGCGGCCACCATCACCGCCAATAAATTGCTAAAGAAGCGAAAATGGTTTCTTTTGTTAATATCTTCACTTTTATTCACTACCCTTTTGATTTTAATTACTATAACATCCTCATCCACTTCTACCCAGTTGCTTTTTCGCCGTCAAAATGCCAACAGAAACCATTTCCGCCCTCAGTTTCCTAATTTTGTGGAATCCAAGTTGCCTAAAGCGATGATTTCTGACCGTACTATACCCCGCCTTGCTTATTTAATTTCTGGGTCTGCTGGAGATGGAGTGAGCTTAAAAAGGACGCTAAAAGCACTGTACCATCCGAGAAATCAGTACGCTGTGCATTTGGACTTGGAGGCGACGGCGGAGGAAAGGTTGGAGCTTTTTAGGTGGGTTACAAGGGAAAAGCTTTTTAAGAAGGTGGGGAATGTAAGGTTAGTTTTGAGGTCTAATTTGGTGACTTATAGAGGTCCTACTATGGTTAGCAATACCCTTCATGCTGCAGCTATTTTGCTAAAAGATGGTGGAGAGTGGGATTGGTTCATCAATTTGAGTGCTTCAGATTATCCATTGGTGACTCAAGACGGTATGCTTATATGTATTTTTTTTTTTTTTTATCTTTTTTTATTCTATGATTTTGGAAATTTGTGGTTTGATTGGTAAAAGTGATTTTGGAACTTTATTGTGTTTGTGCATTTATTGGTGCTACTAATTCTGCAGCACTAATTTATTCCATTTTGTTCTATTTTTTGGATTGAGTTTGTTGTCCACTTTTATGTTACTATCTAGCATTTTAAGTAAGAATCAAATTTGATATTGCTATCAGCTACCTATCTCAATCTTCACTGCCTTTTTCTATTCCTGGTATCTAAATATTTTAATTGCATCTATTTTGGCTGATTAATTTGTTTCACTTGGATTCATGATCCAAATCATCATTAATTATAATTAACAAAATGCCCATCATTGACCAGACGCATTCTTCCTCCAAAGTTGCTTATTTATCTCTGCATTTGATTTCTTGCTTTAATCACAACTTATAAAGCTTACTGATTCTACTTTTTCCCTCATTAATTCTTTTTAACGGGAATAGGTACAGAATCTCTGAAAACTTCAGTTTGTTTTCCAGTGTTCTAATTTGTGTTTCATTTTTTATGTGGCAGATCTGCTTCATACTTTGTCTACCATTCCAAGAAACCTTAATTTTATTGAGCACACCAGTGATATTGGTTGGAAGGAGTATGTAAATTCATCCCTTCTGTATATTACCTTTTTTTTCCTGTTCTTACCGCATATGAAGCAAAAAGTAGGTATTCAAGAATTTATTTGCAGTGTTATATATAAAGTCTTCTAAGGGCTGGATCTCAATTGCGCCCCACAGGTATCAGAGAGCCAAGCCTGTCATAATTGATCCCGGGCTGTATAGCTTGCAAAAGTCAGATGTTTATTGGGTGTCAGAGAAAAGGAGTGTGCCAACGGCCTATAAGTTGTTTACAGGTAAGATAAAGGACTAATAGAATGACTTTTTATGTCTTTGGTGTCCAGATAATCAGAGCATAGTTTCACTTTTTAACTTTTCATTAGTAATTAAGCACACAAGGATGAATGACAAACAGTCATGAGATAGTTTCGTAAGTATTTGATTGTTTAGCTTTTTGTTAAATTGATACCAAACCCATTCGGTATTTTACATAAATTGTGAATGCTTGTTGGTTGGTTTAATAATACCACTAAACTCCACTTATTTCCCATTTTCTTGGTATCATATATGCAATTCTAAATATGGTGCCCCATCAAATTGTGGAATATAAATAGGGAAATCTATTTTCCTTCTTTTATCTTTGTGGTATTGTGTTAATATTTACTGTTGACGACTTATCAAATTTTATTTTTTGTAGTTTCAACTACATTTTTTTTCTTCCAAAATAGAGGTCTAGTTGTATAGCAAATCATGTGGTCGAAATTGAAAAGATAATAGAAGAAAGACCATAAACACCCAAATCATTTTTGTGGGTTTTCTATTTTTCAAGATTCAGAAGGTTACATGCACATCTCAGTTCCAGTTGATTAGAAAGAATAAGAGAGGCTGAGATTGTGAAATTCTCGAGAAGGAAATGATGTTGAATTGTATGAACAACCCAGTTTAAGACAATGGAATCTTTATTGTTATGAGAGTTGAATTTGAATTGTAGAATGGAGAGATGATGCTAGAAACAATGTGGTAGCTGAAACCAATGAGCTAAGAAGGAACGTATCAACTTCTCATTGGTACAAGCTTGTCTTGCTTATCAATTATTTGTCCTGGAGCCTTCTGCTATAGATTTTGTCATACAATATAACACTACTGCAATATCTGAACTCTATAATGCTGCATAAGAAATTCTGCAGCATTCTCAAATTATTTGCATGTCAAGGGTAGAGATATTTTGCCATATTAAGCAAACCGTAGATGGAGTAGGAATATCATAAACTCTTGTCAGCAGATAGATAACAATATTATTCATCATAACAAGGAACTATGAATTCTACAACACGAACAAGTTCTCAAATGTAGTGTCTTTTGATCATTTTCTGAGTTTAGGTGCAACTTGATTCTGCTCTTCTGCATTATAGTTCAAAATCCTATGCTCAAAATGAATAAATAAATAAAACAAAAATAAAAGAAATGAAAATTAGAATAATATGGTTCTCACTCTAGAGTTTAACCATGTATCGTGATATGAATTTGCTCAGGTTCTGCTTGGATGATGCTCTCTCGGCCTTTTATGGAATATTGCTTATGGGGTTGGGATAACCTTCCGAGGATAGTCCTCATGTATTATTCGAACTTCCTTTCTTCTCCAGAGGGATATTTCCACACAGTAATCTGCAATGCGGAGGAGTTCAAGAACACTACAGTTAACCATGATCTGCACTTCATATCATGGGATAATCCTCCAAAGCAACACCCGCATTTTCTCACTGTTGAGGACTACCAAAGGATGGTTGACAGCAATGCCCCTTTTGCGAGGAAATTTGGCAAGGACGATCGAGTTCTTGACAAGATTGATTCTGAGATTTTGGGCTGCAGTGCTGATGGATTCGTGCAAGGTGGGTGGTTCAATAATGAAGGAAATGCAAATGGGACCATTCTAAGCCTAGAAAATGTCAAAACAAACACTACTGAACTTAAACCTGGTCCTGGTGCTCAAAGGCTAAAGCGTCTGATCACCAGTCTTTTGTCAGCAGAAGATTTTCGTTCAACACATTGCATCTGATACAGTAATATTCTGATGTTTGGAGAAATAATGATGCAGAAAGGCACCATTTTATTTTTTGCCATTGATGAATCCTCTGTTGTATTTATGACAGAAGATTGCTAATTGGAAAAATAACAAGGCTATAGGAACAAAGGGGGAAGGAAACTACCCATGTCTAGAATTAATATATGGTATATACAAACACTTTTATAGCTCATTAGCTGAATAGGTGATATGTAACTCAGTGTTTCGTTTGTTTTACCTTATATGGTAATGTAACGCAATCATACTTGGTCAATTTGATGCATTGTAATGTTTATCTTTTTGATGTTTTGCACTTCAATGCTTGACAGTTTGATGCAAATTATCAAATGATGCAGGCATCTAAAAGCTTATAAGGGAGAAGCAAAAAAGATAAAATGAGACATATAATATATTAAAAACTAATATTTAACTGAAAATTTCTTTTTTTAAAAAAAAAAAAAAAATTAAAATAGAACTTTATTGGTTTGCTCCGTTAATGTTTTATTTTGGGAATTGTTCATTTTTGAAAGTTGAAATATATATATATATATATAAACTGAAATAAATAGAAAGTTTGAACTCAAGACAGCTTGGTACAGTAATTGAAGCGTTCTAGATTTTATTCTGGTGATACGATGTTCTCTTCAATCAGCAAATTCCGGATTTTGTTTTTGCTTTAGCATGTGATTGGATGTATTTTTCTTAAAACTAATTTTTAGACATAATTAGGCTTGTGAAATTTTTTTTAATTTTTTTCTAATTTATATTTTCTAAATAATATATACAGAAATCTTTCAAACTTGATGAAAAGTTAATATGAATGGTATTTGGTCCATTGGAAACAGAAGTCGAAAATTTCTTTTGGCAAGCCCTTTCTATATGGTTTTTTAGACATACAAAAATTTTTTTTGGGATGCTTCTAAACCGAACGGGATAGGTTGGATTGGATAATATGGCCCTTCCTTCCTAAACAATGTCTTGTATAATGATTTAAATTATAAACAATATCAGCATATTACAGTAAAAAAAATTAGTTATCTAACTGTTATACAATAGTTAACAAATATGAAAATTATTGTTTATTAGTTTTTAAATAAAATGGAGGGAATTATATCCACGAAAGTCCAGAGTATGATTTTTATGCATGAAGCAAATATAATTAAAAGCCGATTGTTTCTGAATTTGTTAAAAAATATGTATACAACACACATATCTATATCGAATGTTTATCAAATAATTAAAGAATATATAAGCATTAGACTTTTTGTTTGTGGGGTTCATGTTTCAATTCATGAATTAAGCCTAAATTATGGCGTAGGTAAGAATTACCATTAAAGAGATAGATTGATATTGATATTTTGCCTTACATGTGAAAATTTAAACTTTAAAAAGATAGATTTATGATATCCAAAGCCAATTGCATTTTCTTCCATTATTTTCCCTCAAATTTGGGAGGCCAAGGAGGAGATTTCTCACCATATTACAAAGTTTATTCTACCCCGTTTTCTGCAATTACAAGTGAACCAACCCACTAGTTTCACTCTCAATTCCCTTGATACAAAATAATATGAGAAGGAATTGAAAATATGAATTCATTATGGATGTACTTACAACAAAATTATCATGAAATAAATTTTGCATACCAAAAAAAAAAAAAAAATTCATTCTTATGGTCTATTCACCTGTTCCTGAACAACACGAGAGAGACGATAACTTGAGAACATGCAGAGATATATCTATATCAAAATAGAAACTGTTTCTGTATTGCATCATGAAGCAAAATCAGATTAAATGTTGAAATTCCTCCATGTTCACCAATTTGAAGAGTGAATTCAGTGTTTTATATGCTTCACTTGCTCGTGGATGTGCAACATCACCCACAAGGAACTCTTCAACCACGCCGTTCAACTCGATTACACTGCAACTGGGCTGCTTCTTCATACCAGCTTCTGAAATCAATTTGCCAACCCTATTCGCTTCCAAAACCCAGCCTGCTTCCTTATAGATATTGTATGAGAGTAGTTGACTACCAGAATCTAAGGTTTGCATATCAGCTAATTTTTTCCAAACCCTGTTTCCTACTTCAACATTCCCATAAATTCTACAGGCACTCAAGAGGGCCCCCCACACATTAGCATCTTTCCCCTCAAGTCCTCCCATCTTCTTATCTACAAACTTCTCTGCTTCCTCCACCATGCCTGATCTTGCCAAAAGATCGACTATGCACGCATAATGCTCAAACTTAGGTTCAATGCCATAGACACTACTCATCTGCTCAAACAAAATGAGGCCCTCGTTAACCATCATACCATGTGAGCAAGCAGAAAGGATAGCGACAAATGTGGTCTCTGTGGGTTGAACCCCACTTGAGATCATATCATAAAACAATTCAAGTGACTTCTTTGCATCCCCATTCATTGCAACACCAGAAATCATAGCATTCCAAGCTTGAGCATCTTTACTAACAATGCCCTTAAAAACTGATAGAGCTGAATCCACATGACCACATTTTGAATACATATCAACTAATGCAGTAGCCAAGATTGGGTTAACATCAAGATTGAACCGTTTTGCATAAGAGTGAACCCACAATCCTTGAGTTATAGCACCAAGATGCGCACAAGCAGTTAGAACACTAACCAGAACTGACTCGTTAGGCTCCAAGCCTGCTTCTTGCATTCTCCGAAACAGACAAAGCACCTCATTGAAGTCACTAGCCCTAGAATAAGCCGCCATTATTGCACTCCATGATATCACATTTCTCACAGGCATTTTCTCAAACAAATCTCGAGCTTTCTCAGTATCCCCTATCTTTCCATATCCATCAATCATCCCGGTCCACATGACCACATCCCTTTTAGGACTTCTATCAAACACCATACTTGCAGTTCCCATATCTTGAACCAACGAATAAAATTCAATCAATGCACTCACCACAAAAGGATCATCAGAAAATCCTAATTTCAATGCATGGACATGAACTAAAAAACCCATTACTTTGCCTGAAGGGGCAAGAATCGAACATGCTTTAATCAATGGTGGAAACGTATAGTTATTAACTTCAAGGCCATAACTTAACATATCTAAGTAGCACAATATCGCGGGTTTTGGCAAATTTGTTTGAACATAACCTCTAATCATAGAATTGTACATGAAAGTGTTATGTAGACAAATATGATTGAAAATTAAGCGAGCATACGAGAAGAAAGATGCGTCCTTGGAGGTGGCGGCAACCGAAAGGAGAGTTCCAATGGCGAAAGGGTTTTCGGGTAGGAGGGTTTTGAGGAGATGGGCATGTAATTGCTTCAGTTGGCTTAGGGTTTTGCATTTTTGTGAGAGAGCAGTGAGAGAGGTTACAGGTTTCTTCGTTACAACGGTTTTTTGGATCATTGAAAATGGGCGGCAAATTTCTTATACTCCATAAAACGGAGCCGATATGTTAAATTCTAAAATATGTTGATCCGTTGAATAAACGCATCACTTTGTTAGTTGTAAGTTGATGGTATTTTAGTCTTTTCAAGACAAATAACGGTAAAGGCTCCGAAAATGAATCGAAGGATTAAATTTTGTTCATGGAACCAAATATTATGAATAAAGTAGGGCTTATCTAAAAACTAAGAATGGAGTGATTAATTTTCACATAAACATTAACATAATGTTAATTTTCCTTTTTAAATACAATTTACATTATAAATTTATATATAATTAATGGGGAATCAATAAATTATCTCCTAAATTTGCGCTAAAAAGTCTTGTAGCCCTTTTAATTTTTAAAATAATCTTATGACCCCTTAAACTTTACTTTTCTAAACAATTGCATACTTTGCCATGTTGGAAAATGCAAATTGGAATGCAGGCACCACAAAGAGAGTGATGGGTAAAGAAGTTTCCAACATGGATTTTGCCATAGCATATAATTTAATTATAAAAAACTATTATGGACCCACAAATATTAACCTTGATTACCAATAATTCTTATTAACACAATAGTATTTTAACACCGCTATTTATCTTCTTATACTGTATTTAACAATAATTTTTAATCCCGTTAAAAAAACAATAATTTTTAATTATTAAAGGTAAAATAATAATGAATGATTGTTTATTTATAAATCTGTTATTAATTTTTCAAGAATGATTTATCTTTCATTGAATGTAATATTATGATATATAGTCTAATTTATTTGGGTTTGTATGAGATAATACTTTCACGTGTAGACCAATATTTTAAAATTGATTATTACTAAAAAAAATAGGAAAATAAACATTGTCATATCCTCTTTAGGATTTGGTATATTATTAGAGTTTTTATTATCCTTGTGGGATTAGGTTTACCATTTTAGTCATAATCCATGTTTGATTAGGACTAGGTATTATACTATATATACTGATTATGCTTGCTTAGAGTTTTTATTTCTTTGTTTCCCACAATATAAATTCTTTAGATTCTCTCTTTACTTCGACTTCAAGGGTAAAGTAATTCAAACTTAGACTTACATTTTTCAATTAATACCTTTAATATCTTTTTCTTCAAAATGGCTATGGTGGATGTGGCTAAGGAAGACAAATTATATATTTGTCTAAATGATAAACGACATATTATAAGGATGGTTAAATGGGATTCTCCGAAACTTTCTTGGGTTACTCTTAACACAGACGGTTGTTCTAAAGGCCATTATGGTTTAGCTGGTGGGGGTGGAGTCATCCGTGACTATTTGGGGAGATGGAAGACAGGGTTTGTTATGAATATTGGCATTTGTTCAACATTTTTGGCTGAATTATTGGCAGTTTATCAAGGACTTCAATTGGCTTGGGTAAGAGGATACCGTCGGCTTCATTTACAAGTGGATTGCATTTCAGTTGTAAAGGCAATTACAGATGAGTTGAGAGGCGAGAATGAGCACGACGATTATACTAATAATTTAGTGCAAGGTTGCCGAACTTTACTCCAACAAGACTGGGAAGTGCAAGTTCGGCATGTTTACCGAGAGGCTAATGTTGTTGCCGATCGCTTGTCAAATTTAGCATTGATTACTCCAATTGGGCTGCACATTTTTGATTTTCCTCCACCCGAGACTCATTCACTCATATTGGATGATGCTAAGGGTGTTTGTAGGCCTCGATTTATTCCTGTTTACTGTCCTCGTCCTTGATGTAAAAGAGGTCTTTTTTTTTTATTATTGTTTGATGGATTATTGTAAATGTTGTCTTTGAATTGTTTTCATTGAGAAGCAAATTGTATTACAAATACTAAATCACATTAATGGACAATCATTTACCAGCTGAAAGTTGTGGAAAAAAAATAAAATTAAAAATAGAAAATTATATTTGATGAGGATTCAAGAGATGCACATAGTTCAATTCGGCTTGCAAGTTGCAAGGATCTTTTGCAATGTTATGAATGGTGCATCTGCAGAAAATTTGCAGAGTGTTTAACACTGTGCATGGCTAATCTTCTGTAATGGACATACTCATTTACCGTAGCTGAAAGTTGTGGAAAAAAAAATAAAATAAAATAGAAAATTATATTTGATTGAGGACTTCAGAGATGCACATAGTGGTCAATTCGGCCTTGCAAAGTTGCAAGGAGATCTTGGTTGCAATGTTATGAATGGTGCATCTGCAGAAAGAAATGTTGGCAGAGTGTTTACACACTGTGCATGGCTAATCTTGCTTTGTTTTTTAATGAAATTTTGGTACTAACTCCGCGGGAGGTCCTCGCATGTGATTTAGATCTGCAGCCTCGCTTTCATATTAACAGAATTTAAGGATTTAAAACTTCATTCGGCGATGAAGCTGTGTTATTACATAAAAATAGAAAATTATATTTGATGAGGATTCAAGAGATGCACATAGTTCAATTCGGCTTGCAAGTTGCAAGGATCTTTTGCAATGTTATGAATGGTGCATCTGCAGAAAATTTGCAGAGTGTTTAACACTGTGCATGGCTAATCTTCTGTTTAATGAAATTTTGTACTACTCGCGAGGTCTCCATGTGATTTAATCAGCCTCCTTTCATATTAACAGAATTAGGTTAAAACTTTCATCGGCGATGAAGCTGTGTTATTACAGTGAAATAAGGGGAGCACGCAATGTATGAATTTCATAAATTTAAGGATTAATAAAAAGAAAGCTAAGAAATTACAGATGTAGTACAACGATTGGCCACCAAACAGACCCATTAAATCTTTTGGTTCCAACACCGACGTAGCCATATACTAATGATGGATAATCAACTTACCGCACGTAGCTGGAACCTTCAATTTTAAACAGTACGGAGATAATCGCGGTCCCACTCTGTAACCCCGCACTTAAATTCTTCTGCTACTAGATGGGCCACCCTCCTCCTCTCTCTCTCTCTCTCTATTACAATTATTACAATCACTCGCTCTTATGCGCGCGTGCGTACCAAACTTAACAAGCTAAGAAAGAAAGAAAGAAGAAGGGCGTGAGCTGTGTGTGTATGTCTGTGTAGAATATTGGGACCCACCACCCATGTGCCCTCCCTCCTGTCTCCACCCGCTCCTGCCGCTCAATGATTAGCTCTCTGTTTCCCCTTCTCCCTCTCTAACCCAAAAAACCCTTCGTTTTCCTTTTTTCCCTCTTATTTTTCTCTCTCTATACTTGTTCTCTTTCGGTTAGGTTAACTAGTTAAGCGTTGAAGGATGTCCAATTCTGATAGTGCAGCAAACAACGGCAGCGGCGGCGGCGGAGGAGGAGTTACCAACGGGGCTATCATTGACTCTCAAAGACAGCAGCCGCCGGGGACTAATGGAGCTCTGGCTGTGAAGAAACCGCCGTCTAAAGACCGTCATAGCAAGGTTGATGGACGTGGAAGGCGAATTCGCATGCCGATCATATGTGCTGCACGTGTCTTCCAGTTGACTCGTGAGTTTGGTCATAAATCAAATCAAAATTGATAATAATATTTTAAATTTTTTAATCCGAGTGTGCTTATTGTAAATGAGACTCATCTGATAGCACCAAACGAAAACGGTCACTTTGTTAGGGTTGCTTTGTTTGCACCTGTTTCAACTTCATCACTTATAGAGTTGGCTTCAGTTCTGCTATGGTCGCCCGCTGCTGGTTATCTTGGCTATCGCTCCCTCCAATAAATTCATCATCTCTGTTAAGAATAATAAATTAATCAAAAAGCTTAGAATTTTTTAGATTTAGGATAAAGTGATTGATTCGCTTAGGAATTGAAAGAGGGCAAAGGAAAGTTTTGAAGCAGAGAGAAAGGAAGCGCAGTGGTTGGAGATGAGATAAATATGAAGATAGCAGTATTGATGATAGGGTAGATGGGTAGGTGAATGGTAGAGTGAGATGGACAGATCCGACGTGGCAAAACTAATTGCCATTTGGGCATTTTTCCACGTCATCGCGCATGTATTACAGTATGTATTTTTACTGTAGCAAGGTGTGTAATTATTATAAAGAGTAAAGTTTAATGTGAAATTATTAAAATAGATAGTTAAGTGTACTTTGATTTTTTTTTTTTTTTTATTTCTCACATTTTTAAAGATGTGGAAATTAAGAGGTTTTAAATTTGAATATTTTCTACTACAAGCGCTTCATCAATTTGATGAGTATTGTTTAAAGAGAAGAGATACTTACCACTGTTATATAAAACATAATGTTATTCCGATTCAAGCTAAAGATTGACGAACTACAAATAAAAATTACCAATTAGAAAAGAAATCAAACTCCACTAAAAAAATTAATAAAAAAAATTGTTCTTTAACACTTTGCAAAGCAACACATTATTAATCATTACTAATTTTAAGGCACTCTTCACACTCAAATTAATTACAGGACAAAAGTTAAAACACAAATCCCTCTATTAATAACCTAACTTCTGATTTTTGATTACTCTCGTGCAAGTTTTACGATTTTTTTCCCAATATTATGGCCATGAAAGAGTCCAATAAAAGCAGAAGGAATGCTCTCCACACCATTGGAGATGTCCTCCAAGCAATGAATCTTGCCATTGGAAAGGTAATCAAGAGTTGCTGACATAAATTCTGAGTGGATGTTGAAGTGGTCAGGAGATAGAAAACCTTGAATTTTGATCCTGTGGTAAACAACATCTATCATATTTGGTGTTGCTTTCTTTTCATCATTTGTATACTCACAAATTACTCCACAGGCAGCTACTCTACCAAAATTATTCATGTTGGAAATTGCTGCTTCTAACATTTCACCCCCAACATTGTCAAAATATATGTCAATGCCGTCGGGAAAATACCTATTGAAGCAAATACAAACACAGGATAAATATTAATTATTAGGAAAAGTAATGTATGATTTAAATCTTTCTATTATATTATTTTATAAGTTTTGATCTAATAGAATATTTCCCCTTCCTATATTGTCATTATTCTCTCTTATTCTTCCAATTTTGTTATAATTTTCTTCTTTTTTTTTTTTTTGATAACTATTGTTATAAAAGTTGTGTTCAGCAACGACTTTTTAAGTAGCTTTTAACGTTTAAATACTAATTTTTATAGTGTTTGGTAACACATCATTTAAACTAACTTTTATAGATTAAGATGACGTTTTGAGAAAAGGTTAACTCATGTAATATTTAATTTTTAGCGTTTCATAAAAAGATATTCAAACAGTTAATAGCTAAACGTTACTAAAACAGTTAACAGTTATCAAAACAGGTGATTTTGCCGAATAGACCCAAAATAATCTAAAGCTAAACGCTACTAAAACAATGTCATCTCCCACTCCCTGCCTCCACGGAATATATATATATATATAATTATTTTTAATTTTGATTCAAAATTCGTTACTTATAATAATAATAATGTCAAACAAATGTGAAATATCATGCACAAATGAATACCATGGTGAAGGAGGGAGGGGGAGCCAACGCTAGCCCTGCCCCCTCAACAAAATTTTTTTAAAAAATTCACCCCTAAATTTCTAAAATTTTTCCACCTTATCCCTTAAAATAGTGTATTTTTTAATTTCGCTCCATTTGTCCTCAATTGTGGATCCACCATTGAGTACAAGGTTAATAAAAATTTATACTTGTCATTATGTTTATAATTTATCATCAACAATATGGTAAAAAAGGCAAAATTGGTCACCTCTTAAGAGCCAACTTCAAGTCAGCTTCTTCCTTGTAGTTAAATGCATCATCAAAACCCAGCTTCTCCTTTAGCAAGGCCACCTTTAAAATCAAGATGACAAAAAAGATTGTGAAATTTTTTTTTTTTTTTCTTTGTGATGTTAATTTCATTTTAGAGCAGTAAGTGGTGAGACCTTTTCTTTAGTTCCAGCACAGCCAACTACATAGCAGCCCAAAAGTTTGGCATATTGGCCCACCAAATGTCCAACTGATCCACAAGCAGCAGATACAAACACTTTCTCTCCCTTAATGGGCTTACATATTTCAAACAGCCCAGCATAGGCAGTTAGCCCACTAGACCCTGCCACAAGTTGAAGGACTGAGAATTAGACACTTTTCTCCATATTCATATTAAAATTAGAAAAATTACATTTTTATCCTTAAGTTTTACATAATTAAATATTTTATTTTTATATTTATAAAATGTTTTTTCCTTATAGTTTGGAACCAAATTATCATTCTCTCTATTCTTTGAGATTTAAGTTGTTAGGTGACAATGGTAAAATTACAGGATTAACCCTATATGCATATGAACTAAAACAAAAAAAATTACGTTTTTATCACATATTTTTATATAATTGACTATTTTGTCCTTATATTTTGAAAATTACACCATTTTATCCCTTTAGTTTGAATCCGTTAACAGTTCAAATCTTAAATAATTGATGGAAGAATAATTTCGGTCAAAGAGACAAACAAGGATAAAATAGTGTAATATTGAAAATGTAAAAACAAAATGGTTAATTATACCAAAATATAAAGATAAATTTTTTTTTCTTAAAATTAATAAAAAGAAGAAGAAAATACCAAAAATCCCAACATGATAAGATAGTGGGAACCCCATGGCATCTAGCCTGTTCAGCCTGTCGACTTCTTTTATCACAGTGTACTCTTCCCACTTCAAATGTCCAACAACCAAGTCATCCTTCTCAAGCTTGGGATTTCCAGAAACCACCACTTTTCCCACACCATAAGCTTCAATAGCCTACCAGAATAATTCAATTCTCATTACCATTAACAATAGTAACTAGATATAGATCTTGTAATACACATGCTAAAATTATTAATATATATATATATATATATATGTTACAGTTTTTTAGCATGTTAAACTTTATGGCAGTATAAATGAAAGAAATTGTTTATGAGTTTCTCGAGATTTAACTCAAAAAAAAAAAAAAAAAAACTCGTTTAAAAATTCTTTCAATAAGCTTGACAAGCAAAATTTAAACTTATTAACCATCTTTCAAATTTGAGCTCAACAAAACTCGATCAGAACAACTTGACTCGTTTACAATCTCTGTTTCTTTCACCGGGAAAAGAATTCTCAATTGTTAAACTATTATTAGCAAATATTTATTAATATTTTCAGATCATGATTTTTCTATAATAAATAAAAAAGAAAGAAAGAAAAGAACATGAGTTATTGCAAACTCAATCACAAACCAAATCTAACTCGGCAACATTATAATAATAGATATAAGATTATTGCAGAAAACTGGTTACTTACTTGGCCTGGAACAATAGGAGCTGCAGCTTCTATGGCCTGGTGCGATGAGCAATGAGTTTTCATACGATTAATTTGGTAAGGATCAATTGATACATATAGATTTTTCACAATAACAACATTAGAATCAGATTCCACACAAAGAACAAGACTTTCAGTCTTTATCTCAAAGTCAGATTCTTTTGGTGCACCTTCATTTATGTGACCCTTTATTGTAATGTACCTGTTGCTAACAACTTCCATTTTTTTTGCAGAGAAGCTGTTCAAATTTGCAGCTAGCTTATCCACGAAATGATTTATTGTACATAGAAGATAAGGATCTCTTGGCTGTACACATTTTACATTTTACCTTTTAGCACCTGAACTTTTACAAAAAAACATTATAATTCCTCGAGTTTTAAAAATGGCCTTATAGTCCTTTAAATTTCATTTTTTCTGTATTTGTCGCCCAGAAGCCGATTCACTCTTCGATATGTAAGATGTAAGACTATTATAAAGCATGAAAATTTGATATCACAAGGTCAAAAAGTGAATTTTAGACGGAATCAGGAATTAAAGTTAAGGGGCATTAAAAAAAATTTAAAAAAAATTTAAGAGTTAAAGAGGGCAAAATTGAAAAAGTTACTATTTTAAAAGTTAAAATAAAAATTTTCAATACTTTGATGAGTCATTGTTAACGGTACTGTGTTTAATTTATGTACAGCGGGACATTGAAGTAGTGTCTTTTGATTTTTTTGTCTTTTTTGAAGGCAATGCGTCTTTTGGGTTGACACCGAAGAGACGTTGAAATATCTGGTTAATTATCGTAATTTATATATTTATAGATATAATTTTAAAATGGTGGTAAAATAATAAAAAATAATATTATATAATAAAAATTTATGTAATAATTTATATTTGTTGAATTTATTCATAATAATTTCATTTTATAGATAATATTATGAATATTTTATTAGTACTAACATGCACATATGATTATACAAGAAACCAAAAATATTTATATAATTTGATAGCGGTACTTTTATTATAATTTGGTTAAAATATTTGTATTCCGCATAATTATATTTTTCAATTAAATAAAATTAAAAATCCATAAATGTACATTTTTATTTAAATTTAGCCATTAGGTACAGAATATTGTGTAATTTGCCCATCATATCGCATATAAATGTTTTTTTTTTTTTTTAAAGTGATACAAATATAATTAAGGAAGATATAAGAGGGTTGTGCAGGGAAACACTATTGTAGTTATTGTTATTTTATTATTGATAAGTAATTATTAATATTTTTTTAAAGTGGTTAGAATATAATTAAAAAAAATATGTAGAAAAAGCTTTTTAAAAGTGACAGGAATGTAATTAATAAAGATATAAAGTCTTAGTATTTTTTATGTTATTACATTTTACCATAATGATTATAAGACAAATTTTTATTCTTTTAAATTTCTCATGAATATTTACTTTTAGCATAAATAAAATTATTAGACCGGAAAAAATTGAAAATAGTCAATGTGAAAGAATAACTATCCAAAAGCTTTAAATAATTTTTATTTTTGTAATAATAATTATTATATATATGATTATTTATTATTATTATAGTATCATTTTTTTATTTAATCTAACAATGAGAGTTGAAGACCAAGCTATAAACTACTCTCTCTATTTCAAAATGTAAGTTGTTTAAGGTTTTTTCACAATGATTAAGAAATCAATTAACTCGCATAGATTATAGCAAAATCAAGGGTAGTTTTACTAAATTATCCTTTATCTCAAAATCAATAGTTAGTTGTTGTTAACTATCAAAATTGAGTATTTGAGAATTAGTTATCGCTTTGAATAAATTTGGAGTATATATATTAGAGTGAAGAAAAATTATATTAGGATAAGGATTATGAGAATCTTGCATTATATGTTAATTAGAGCTTGCGTAGGAATGTAATATCTTTTAATATATTTATATATTGTTCTTTTATATATTTTATTATTGTATATTATCAGTAGTCCTCCAAAAATATTGGTCATTTATGTCCAATAAATGTTTAAATTTGAATTGATGGACTATTTAAATATGAGTTGTTTAAGCTTGAATGGGTGGATAGTTTAAGTCCGAAGATGGACGATTTATGTTCGAATTGGAGGACTGCTTAAGTCCAAAATGAAGGACGATTTATGTCCGAATTGGAGAAATGCTTAAGTCTGAATTTGTTAAAGACTGCTTAAGTCTGAATTTGTTAAAGACTGCTTAAGTCCGAAATGATGGATGATTTATGTCTGAACTGATGGATGATTTATGTCCGAATTGGAAGATTGCTTAAGTCCTAACTGATGGACGATTTATGTCCGAAATGGAGGACTGCTTAAGTTTGAATTTGTTGAGAACTGCTTAAGTCCAAATTTGTTGAGAACTACTTAAGTCCGAAATGATGGACGATTTATGACCGAACTGATGGACGATTTATGTCCGAATTGGAGGACTGCTTAGATCCGAATTTGTTGAGGACTGCTTAGGTTCAAATTTATTAACCTCCAACTGAAGCTCGCTTACCTTATATCCACATCACGGCAACTTAGCATACTTTTTTATTTTTCGACTGCTCCTCTATTATTCTCCCGGCCGGCAACTCTAATTCAACCCTTCGAAAGCCAGTGACTATAATGAAAAGTAAAAAGAATAAAAGCTATGTTTCACGTTCACCGCACCATTTATTAACTATCAGAATTGACTATTTGAGAATTGGTTATCGGTTAAAGTAAATTTAGAGTATATATATTAGAGTCAAGATAAATTCTACTAGGATAAGGATTGTGAGAATCATGCATTAGTTAGAGTTTGCTTAGAAATGTATATCCTTTAATATATTTATATATTCTTTTATTATTTTATTATTATATATCATTAGTTGCGAAAGTATTTATCGTATCTAATGCAAATAAAAGTAACATTGGAAAAACATCATTTATAACTTCTTAAAATACTTAAAATGACTTATATTTTGAGACAAAATAATCATCCAAATATAATTTATATTTTAGGATAGAGAGAGTAATAATTTGAAGTAGAAAATCCCCCGGCCTATCATCACACCACATAGACTAAGCCGCAAACTAATAATTTAAAGTAGGAAAGCCCCCCACTCTACGTCACCTCACAACCTATAGATTGTGGGGTTATGATATGTATTGAATTTGAGAAAATTATCCCCGCCATTTAATATTCTCTCTGTCTCAAACTATAATTAAGTGATTTAAAATTTTTACACATGAATAATAAAATAATTAATTCTCTTAAATTATTAGAAAATTAAAGATAATTTGATCTCAAAATGAAAAATAAGTTATAAAGGTAGTTATTATATATAATGTAAATAAAGATAATATTGAAAAAAAATCATTTATTATTCTTTATAATACTCAAAGCCACTCATTAGTATATTTTAAGACAAAATAATCACTAAAAAAATTATTTATATTTTGACAGATGAAATACTTAACTACCAACATGTTGACAAGTATTGAGCTTTGGGCCTTATTTATGAATGGCTCTTCTTTGTTATTCTTTGCTTGGACCTAAATTAAAAAGGTGTATTTACTACTAACCATTTATGACATTAGAATTATTTTTATATAATACTTAAAAAATTATTTAAAATAGTCTTCTGACTCAATAACTATTTGAAATTAAATTTTTATATTTTATATTTTAAAATTATTTTTAAATGTTTGATTTAGTTTTTATTACAATTGAAAATATTTTATTGAGAAAAGAGATAAAAAAAAAAGAAAAAGTATACTTTTTCTCTTTATGTTTGCATAATTTAATTACATATATTTTTTAAAACATAGATTTTCGAATAAAATATGCATAATTAAGTTGTTGAAAATTTTTAAAATTTTACTTTTTTAAAATTTATTTTTAAATAAAATGAACATATACGTGTGGGATGACGAATAGTTGAAATTTTTTATTTTTTTATATTATGTCTGTGTATCTATATATATTGAAATGTATTAATTAGTTGTATTGTAGAACTAAACATATATAATTATAATGAATTTTACATAAATAATTATATAAATTGAATTGAAATATATGTATTTACATTGATCTTACATGAAATTTTGGTTTAACATTATACAAATCTAAATATTATAAGTTAAAAAAATAAAAATGAGTATAAATAACAAGTGAACAATGATATAAAAAATTGAATAAGTACGAGTAGCGATAGTCAGCGTGAAATAGATGTCATAAAAAGACTAATAATAAGTAAAAGTGAGTAATAACATAAAAAAATTAAACGAATATAAATAATAAGTATAGTTAACGTACGACACATATCATAAAAAGACTAGTATTTGATAAATGAGGTAGTTGAATTTGAATTATTGGTTTTATGCAACTAATTATTACAATAAAGTCCATTTCAATTAAATATTTCAATTTCTATGCATAATTAATTTATTAACATTAAAATCAAATTCGCAAAATATGAACTTTTACTAATATTTTTTATGTTGTATATCATTTTATAAGTAAAATCTATATCAAAATTAAATCTAACACATCAAGAACCATATGAAAATTAACCGTAACACATCAATTTTAGTTTTTCATGTTATAGATTATGATTATTTATTTTTAGCTTTTGATCAATACAAACTCGTTAAAAATTTTATATTTATATAAGTCTAAAATTATAAATTAAAAAATTTTTTAGAAAATTTTATGACCCTAGTTCTAAGGATGCTCCTAGAAAATTGTTCGTGCATGTCCAATCCTAAACCGAGGAAGACTAAATTTTTATCGACTAGAATAATCCCATTGAAGAAATTCATTTTTTTTTTATGCATAGTTTATATTTAAATAAAAATAAAATAAAAATCATTTAGATTTATTCTATTTAAAAAATGAGCTAACAAGTACAATGAGAATCGAGGAAAAAACTTTCTATTCTTCTGCTAATTGAACCATCTTCTTCCCAATGTTGTGGCCTTTAAAAAGTCCAATTAATGAGGAGGGAATGCTTTCCACACCAACTGATATATCTTCAAGTACCTGCATTTCCCCAGCGCGAAGATGATCACAAGTTTTTGAAATGAAATCAGCATGCACGTTCAAGAAATCAACGGCTAAAAACCCTTGAATCTTGATTCTTCTGTACACAACATCTATCATATCAGGTGCAGCCTTTCTTCCACTATTTGTATACTCAGAAATCACCCCACAAACTGCTACTCTACCAAAGGTATTCATATTGGCTATTGCTGCCTCTTGCATTTCAGCCCCAACATTGTCAAAATATATGTCTATCCCGTTCGGAAAATACCTGTAAAATCCAGAAATTATTATTATTTTTTTTTTATAATTAAGTTTTTATTAGATGTGTATTTACCGTATTAATTCAGTTGTTCACTAACCTTTTGAGAGTTGCCTTCAAATCAGGTTCTTCCTTGTAGTTGAATGCATCGTCAAAACCAAGTTTCTCTTTTAGCATGGCTACCTATAATCCCAAGTTTAACTCAATTAACCATTCCAATGCAATTGCACCTAAGGAAGTGCTTGTGGAAAAAGAATGCTATTAGAATAATGTTAAAAAGTAGCATTTTTCTTTTATAATTGGAGGTGTAATTCCCTTTGGACAATAGAATGTAAACGTTTTTAGTCGTTTCAACAAGATGTTTTTCTCATATATCGAACTTGTATTATTACTCTTATGGGAATTGAAGTTACTTACTATCAATGACTGAGCTAGGAAGCTATGGGTGGCTCCCATCTCTTAACAATTTCTTTTTTCAAAAGAATCACCTATAAAATATTGAAATTTTTTTATTTTACCCTTCTAAAATGGTAAAGTTTTTTTAGCCGGCTCTGTCATTATTTATCATCCTAATCAACACCTTGTTAGAAATGAATATTTTCAACTATATTCGGCTAAATTTGATCAAACCTTAATGGAACATAAGGTCTTTGATCACATTATATTATATTTCATTACTCTCATTAAACTTTAATCTATTATATTACGTTGCATTAAGCTCATTAAACTTTAATCTATATATGTTCAGTTTCTCTAAAAAAAGTTTATATATGTGCAAGTTTTCTATTTATTTACCATTGAACTATGCTGACGTAGGGCTTTGATGGAATAGTTAATACTCTTTAGCTGTCTAGCTATTCTTAATTATAGCAATCAGAGATTATAAATTCAAAAATAATAAATTAGACCTTTTCATTACTTCCGGCGGAGCCAACCACATAGCAACCAAACAGTTTGGCATATTGTCCGACTAAATTTCCGACTGAACCAGATGCGGTGGATACAAATACCTTCTCTCCCTTCTTGGGCTTGCATAGTTCGAAAAATCCAGCATAGGCCGTTAATCCACTAAATCCTGCAACAAAATCAGAAAAAGAACAAAACAACCTCCATTTATACCTAGAGTTCTCTAAATTAGAAATAAATTTAAGGAAATCCATATTATATACCTAGAATGCTAATCTGATATGACAATGGAAATCCCATAGGATCTAGCTTATTTAGCATCCCATTTTGTTTTATAACACTATAATCTCCCCAATGGATGAGCCCTACAACCAAATCACCCTTTTCGAATTCAGGATTTCCAGAAACCAAAACTTTTGCTACTCCGAAAGCATCAATAGCCTGCACTCCATGAGAATAATCAAGTGAATGACAAAAATTTATAAGCAATTTCAATACAACAGTAATCGCTGATTTACCTCGCCGGGATTAATGGCCGCCGCTAAAGTTGAATAAACTTGCGACGAGCTTTGACTTTTCATGCGATTTAGTTGGTAAGGATCTATAGATACATAGAGATTTTTCACAATAATATCATTTGATCCAGGCTCAAGTAATAAGGAAATTGTTTCGCATTTGACTTCGAAATCACTCTCTTTTGGTGCACCATCTATGTTTGCGGTGATTACTACATATCTATTGGTTACTGCCATTATAGTTGGTTAAAAAAAACTAGAATTTGCAAAGAAGATAAGGAGAAGAAGCAAGAGAGGCAAGAAAAAACTGGTGGTTCAGCATTTTTAAACCAAGTCAGGTACTTTGCATTGCCACCCTAGGCACCTATATGGGCCTTGAATCGGACGTAATGGACTCTATATGGGCCTGCAGTACTCTATATAGGTTTTGTAGTGCTTGTATGGGATGTATCGGTCTCTGTACGGGTCTTGCAGTATTTGAATCGAATGTAACTTTCAAACATTGTTGATATATTACCAAAGAATAGACAAGCAAGACATCAAAGACAAATTAATAATAGACAAGTAAGACATCATAGACAAATAATTAATTTGATATTTTCTAGGGGAAGAAGGGACAAGAGTGGAATCTAACTTATTAAATATATATGTGAAATGGAGATTCTAAGAACTTGCCGTCCTAATTTATTTCTGGTTTATTTACATGGTTTTTGGTAGTATGCTCTTATCAAGAATCATTCGGCTATAAGAATCCAAATAATGTGCCGTCCTTTTTGGATTCTTGAAATTGGAAAATGTATAAATATTAATTGATCAGTGTTTAATTTTTGGGATTAATACTCACAATAAGATTGTAAGTTTTTTCTTTTTGATTTTTTGGCAAGTATCTTGTTATTATTTGGATTTATCGGGTAAAATTGGTTGTAGTAATATTTAGCTGTTTGAATAACTAGTGGCTATTTGAGTAGCTTTACACAAAAATTAAAAGCTAAATATTACATGAATTAACATCTAAAAGAAAATTCAAATGTTATGATACTGAACGTTGTAAAACATAGCATTTAGTCGAAACGTTAAAAATTATTTAAAAAGCGCTTTGGATATGAGGCTTTTCTCTTCTTTGAAATTTGTATCTATCCCTTCTGATAAGTGTTTTTCATGAATTGAACCATTAAAAAATAATGTTATTTTTAAAGTATAAGCTAATGTAAAGTTGCCAGTGATGAGATTAACTTGTTTAGACTAGATTAATAAACTTATTTATGGACAAAACTAACGAAAAATATTTTTTTTATTGAATAAAAGTATTTCTGACCATATATTAAGAAAAATGATAAAGTAAAATTTTTTTTAAATTTCTATTTTCACAGTCCATGGATAGCCCTGTGAACCTGATCTGGATAAGTTTAATCAATGATATTGAGGATGAAGAAAATTAATTAATAAAAAAATTAATGCTAATTAGACGTGGTCTGATTAGTCTTTTAACTTATTTAAGGAGTTTTGAAACCTTCCGACCATGAGAGTTTTACGAATTTGGTGAATAAGAAGAGGGTTACTCCTGTTGTATAGCATGTAATATTCTTTGGACCTGGACTTCCCGAGGAATAAAAAATTTAATAAAAATTAAAATATTTGTTTTTGAACTGTTAAAATTTTATGAAATTTAAAATTAAAGCCCAATGTAATGATAACAATACAAAGCCCAAAACTTGAGCAAGACAGGCCCAATCAACCTTAAATTATTAAAAGCAATACCAGGCTTTATTTTGAAAAAATAATTTATTTCGATAAAATATTTTCCCGACAAGATAAAATATATTCAATATGTTATTTTCTAGTACTTTTTGGAATATCTTAATTTTCCATTTGATTAGAAAAACATTTTTATTGACGTACTTCTTTGGAACACTACAAATATAAAAAAATGTTAAAAATATCTTTTAAATAAACTATTTTCTAAAGATAAACAGAACTTCAGTTTATGATTTTTATTTTTTTAAACAATGATTTTTATTTATATTATTTATAAAGAACACTATATATATTGATTTTTTATATTTAATAAACGTTAAAATTTTTTATGAAGTAATAGAGTTACGAACTGCAAAAACATGGTTTAACTGATGGAATTCTAAAAATAAAATAGATAATTATATAAGTTGAATTACTATAATTATAAAAATTTATTCTGCTATTAAATATTTCAGTTTATTATTTATTCAAAAATTATCGATTTTGAGTCTTCTCGAAGATAAGTGTTTTCACTTTTCATCAAATTGATGAATCTAGGGAAGTGCTACCTCCTATTGTGTAGCTTGTAATATTATTTCGGTCCATTGAACCTTCCAATAATTAAAAAAAATATATCATTTCACTTTCATTATTTAATCAAAATATATAAGTAAATTATTTAAACGAAAGCAACGTAAATACATGTCGCAATAATTTTTCAAAAATTATACATCTAAATCTATTAGAAAAATATAAGATTACACAATCTGTGCATCGCACAGCTACGTGATTAATTAGAATCATAAGTTTGAGGTTTTTTTTTTTTTTTTTTTTTTTTTTTTTAAGGTTTGAGGTTTTTTTTTTTTTTTTTTTTTGCTTTTTTCAATTAGGTAAAAACGCTTTTTCTTTTTTTTTTTTTTTTTTTTTGCTTTTTTTCAATTAGGTAAATAACGCTTTTTCAAATCATATTTCTTCATAAATGAGACAGCTGGACCGAAACGCTATCGTTTCTTCCATTTTCTACCTGCTTGCAAACGACGCAATGTCTCATAAATGACATGTCGTATTACCTATTTTTCAGAGTTCAGACCAGTAGTCCTAGCAGTAGACGCTAAATGTCCGTTTCCAAGCACTTAGGAGTTAGGGCTTATATAGGGTTTTATCACTCACCAGAGACCATCGAGGCCTAGTTCAACAATTTTCGTTCCTTTCCCGCCTAATTTTTCCCTTACGTTTTCTCTTTTATGTGCTACATTCCACTTTCTCATCCCTGCAAGGGTTTCAAAATCAGTGCCAGAACTATCCACAATGGTATCTCCAAGGCAACTTCTTTCTATCATCGAATCTTCTGTCCTAACTACGTCGCGACCGTCACCGGCGCAGAGAATAGAGCTCTTGCATGCCGTTCGCAGCTCTTTCTCTTCTCTCCAGTCTCTGCTTTTCTATCCGGTACTGTTAATTTTCTAATGCACTCCAAAATTGTTTTCAGTTCATACACATTTGTGGTTTTTTAATTATTTATATGCTGTTTTATGTTTCTTTTTAGCCTCCTAAACCATCAGACCGCGCCCAAGTCCAGTCAAAAGAAGTCAGACTGCCTGATTCTCCGCCAATCTCGTTAGACGATCAGGATGTACAGATTGTAAGTTTGAATTTTCTGTTCAGCTCCTTGGAAAGAGGTCGATGGAAAATTGGAAAGTAATCAAGCTAGACAACTGTTGAACTTGGATTGTGGAGGTTTTAGTTAAAATTTGATGCTTTAGATGGTGAATGTTACTGAAAGTAACTTGTCTCCTTACATTTGCTTGAACTCATCATTTCCAGTTTTTTTCTGGGATTATTGCACTTTAATTACGTCTCTGAAGTAATATTGTAAATCTCCAGAACTGCAAACCATAATGTCTGATGCTTTGAGCATGTTACAACCTTCTAAATTAGGATTCAAAACTTACTTTGTATAAATGTCTATAGTGCAATATTAGCTATATCTGAGGTCTGAGAGATGCTTGTAGCTTTGTGATCCATTGATGAGCCAGCGCATCAAGTTTGCAGGAAGTATTTTTTGTACTATTTTTCCTCCCCACAGCGGATGAAAGAATAACTCTGATTTTCAATTTTTTTTTGTTGTACCTATTATACTAGCTTTTTGAATAATGGTTGTATGGAAGTAAGATCTGAGATGTTTATTACAATTGGATAAGATATCTTAATTTCCAATTCTATGAGTCAGTGATTATAGACCTAGTTTATTTAAAAGTTATCCACAATTATAATTAGAAATATTATGTTACTTTCTCATTCATCTTTATTGTCGTTTCTTGCTTAATATTTGATATCATAATGTGTAATAGGCCTTGCAATTGAGTGATGAGCTCCATCTCAATGAGATAGATTGCGTTCGATTACTTGTTTCTGCCAATCAAGAGGTAGATTTCTGTCCTCTTTCTTTGGCTTGAGTTTTATTGACTTAGAGCTTATGCACCAATATGAGGGTCTCATTTATGGTTTGTATTTGTCTCTTATCTTTAGTGGGGTTTAATGGGACGAGAGCAATTAGAAATTTTTCGCCTTGCAGCAGGACTTTGGTACACTGAGAGAAGGGATCTTATAACAGCCCTCCATATGCTTTTAAGGGTCGCTCTGTCTCCCTCCCTCTCTCTCTCTCTCTCTCTCTCTCTCTCTCTCTATATATATATATATAATATATATATTATGCAATTTTGCATATATATATATATATATATATGCATTTGCTTTATCATATTAACACTTTCTTGGGTTCTTAACCTGCTTCTTTTGCAGGCTGTTGTGCTCGATCCGCAAGTTGAAGCTGATTTTATTTCAGACATCCAGAAGTGCCTAGAAGATATTATCAATGCTGGGCTTAGAGAGCGTTTGATTTCCTTAATAAAGGTTTGAACCTATTCTGTGATTTTTTCTGCAACACATATACTTGTATAAGATGATCTGTTTCTAGGTGACTTCCAATGATGAGTAAGATCACAAATTTCTCAGAACCTTGGGCATTATATATGACCAACCTACGTGATCTATTTATTTGACTGTAATTTCAGCTTACAATTTTAATAAGTGCAAAGTATGGCTAGGCAACTTTCCCTAGAGATGTCCCATTAGACTAGATGAGAAGTGCTATTCTCTCAGGATTGAACTTGTGTTCGTATGATTTAACATATGCTACCAGAGATGTCATGTTAGAACACGAGTATGCTTAGGTACATGAGACAGTGACTTAAAGTCTTGGTCTCCTAGGGTCTAGAAAGAGCTACAAAATCAAATCAAGTACACAGCTGATGCAAGCTTTGGGTAGCTATAGTCTGCAATTAGTTGCAGTTTTCATATCTGCTTGCATGAATTTTTTTTTATAAAGAAAAATAATGTGAAAAACATTCTAAGTATAAAAGATTAGCTCCTGGATTTTGGCAATGTATATTATTGGTTTTTTTGTTTATGGCCGATATGTGAGGAATTGATGTATGTTTAATTTTAGGAACTCAATCGAGAAGAACCTGCTGGTCTAGGTGGGCCTCTATGTGAGCGCTATCTACTTGACTCTAGAGGTGCTCTTGTTGAGCGACGAGATGTTGTTTGTAAGGAGAGACATATCCTCGGACATTGCCTTGCCCTCTCTGTTCTGGTTGTGCGGACAAGTAAGCTGCTAAGCATTTTCCTATGTTGTCTTTCTCTTTATTTCCGGTGTTGATATTAGCATAGACTAAGTTATGAACAGAGAAGAATGGAATCAAAGGATTCATATAGCCGGCTTTAACTAGTTTAGGATTAAAGCTTAGTTGTTGTTGTTTTCTATTTGAAATATGGAGTTTTGAATGCAATACTTGGCTTTCTAGCTCATATTGGTTAGGTATTGGGTGATCCGGGTCTAGTTATTTTGCATGGGAAGTCTAGGTTTGAAAAGCGTGATCAATATTTACCAATGTCAACTTATGGCATTGGTTCAAGGAGAGCTACAACCACCCTCAGCAACATATTTCTCCATTCACAAGTAGACAATATGAAACAGCCTCCAATAACAGCTTTAGGAACCATAATCCATGAGATTCAATAAGAAGATAGTGATAAAAACAATAACAGTAATTGGAGAGGGAAATATATCTTTATTCAGATCTCTAGTCCGTATGTTTTGAGATTTGAAAACTTTTTCAGGTGAAAATAGAAGAAAAATAAAAATTAATTTGTCATATGCTGGATACTGAGAGAGACATGAAAAATTTGAGAAAGAAGACACCCTGTGAAAACAAATAGAGAAACTGATGGATATAAATTTAATGTGGGGGAGGAAGACTAGAGAAAAGTGTAAACATGGTAAAATTTTAGTGTGAAAAAGTTTATGTGATAGCTTGTGTTTTAGAGCTACAACCACCCTCAGCAACATATTTCTCCATTCACAAGTAGACAATATGAAACAGCCTCCAATAACAGCTTTAGGAACCATAATCCATGAGATTCAATAAGAAGATAGTGATAAAAACAATAACAGTAATTGGAGAGGGAAATATATCTTTATTCAGATCTCTAGTCCGTATGTTTTGAGATTTGAAAACTTTTTCAGGTGAAAATAGAAGAAAAATAAAAATTAATTTGTCATATGCTGGATACTGAGAGAGACATGAAAAATTTGAGAAAGAAGACACCCTGTGAAAACAAATAGAGAAACTGATGGATATAAATTTAATGTGGGGGAGGAAGACTAGAGAAAAGTGTAAACATGGTAAAATTTTAGTGTGAAAAAGTTTATGTGATAGCTTGTGTTTTAGAGCTACAACCACCCTCAGCAACATATTTCTCCATTCACAAGTAGACAATATGAAACAGCCTCCAATAACAGCTTTAGGAACCATAATCCATGAGATTCAATAAGAAGATAGTGATAAAAACAATAACAGTAATTGGAGAGGGAAATATATCTTTATTCAGATCTCTAGTCCGTATGTTTTGAGATTTGAAAACTTTTTCAGGTGAAAATAGAAGAAAAATAAAAATTAATTTGTCATATGCTGGATACTGAGAGAGACATGAAAAATTTGAGAAAGAAGACACCCTGTGAAAACAAATAGAGAAACTGATGGATATAAATTTAATGTGGGGGAGGAAGACTAGAGAAAAGTGTAAACATGGTAAAATTTTAGTGTGAAAAAGTTTATGTGATAGCTTGTGTTTTAGAAGCAATAGGTAATCTGTTCAATAGAGATGAATCGGCATCCAGCAGTTACAACTCTATAATATTAAAAGAACAAAAAATTAAAATTGGAAATAGAACACAGAAGGTATGATTCAAGCAAACCTCTAATCAACTGTTAAAAAGAACTACCCAGTCAATTTACCTATAACATTTACTGATATTGCATCTAATAACAAATCTACATATCCCTTCAGTCTCTGTTAACTATCAAACAAGAAACAAAAAGAAAAAAAGAAGGCAAAGCAAAACTGAATTTACTGGTTTAGCTAACCATATTGTTCAACCTTTTTTTTGGATTGTTTTATATGTCCTGAGTGTGAGCTGGATCACCTTAGCGCGTAGAGTCTAAACTGAAAATATGGTTTGTGAATTTGTTACTCTGAACCAATTATTTTTTAGCAGGAAGCTGAATGAAACAAAACAAATTTTCTTGTTTTACTTTGTTTAGGTATTCAGCTTGGATGATGCTTATGGTGTTCTTTGGGCACAAGTCCAAAAAATATTTTAGTTATATTGTTAGACCACTTTATTCCCAAAACCACGTGCAAAAACTCAAGTGGAAACTGGCCCGTTATCAGTTGATTAGAATGAGACCAAACAATTCAAATACATTAGAAAATGTTGAAGAGAAGTTTGGCTCAAAGAGTGTATTGAAGCTACACTAAATGGTAATTGAAATGTTGTTATACACAACATTAAATGCAGAAATGCATAATAATATATGTGCGAAATTTCAGTTCATCTTCCCATGAATGGAAAATTTGCAATCTTGATGAATGGAGTATGGAGTATCATATTCATGTCAAATGTGGCAGCTAATTTGAATCATTTGGCCTTCCCTTGGATTAGCCTGATGCAGTTCATGTGAACGTATTTAATTGGAATACTTTTTCTTATAACTTTGAATAGAACCAAACAGGCATATTGAGCATGCTTTGGATGCTTATGTGTGTTTTCTGTTCTCTATCCGGTGCTTGTCTCTTCGTTGATTGATAAACCATATGATTGCCACATGAGCTCACAACTCATTAGTGCAATCATAATGAAAGGGATTGTTTATAACAACAGTGAATTACATTTGTTCTTTACAGGCCCGAAAGATGTAAAGGATGTTCTTTACGCCTTAAAAGATAGTGCAGCTGAGCTTATGGAGGTGAATGGCACGTTAAAACATCAGGCATGTCTTTTTCTCCTCCTGTTGGCTGAGCAATTTTATGCCCAATGTTATGTAGGTGGTCCTTGAATATCATCTGAGATGACTTGGACCTTTTGATTTCTCCCTTCTCATTTAAGGAAAATCACATAAGGTTACTTTGGTACATTTTTGATATTTGCATGTATTCTTGTACCTCTAGATGTAGTGCTGTCTTGCCAAATAATTCTTAATTATTTTCCTATGCAGATTTCTTTCAGTCTACTTTTCACTCTTGTCATTGCTTTCATATCAGATGCTCTGGGTGCACTACCTGATAAAGCATCCATCCTATCTCGTGATGCTTCTTTTAGAAAAGAGTTTCATGAAATTGTAAGAGGAAAGATTATTTATGAACTTTTTATCCATTACTGATGAATTTTAGCTTGTCTCTAAGTTTTTGGGTTAATCTTGAATGCTCTAGCTGATGGCTACTGGAAATCATCCTATCGTGGACGGTTTTATTGATGGTGTAAGGCTTGCTTGGTCTGTACATCTGATGTTAACAAATGATGGGATTGCTGCGAGGGACACAGTTTCAATCACTACTTCAAATGATTTGGAGTATCTAAATTCATGCTTGGAAATCATTTTCTCAAACAATGTTTTCCAGTTTTTGCTGGATAATGTTCTACGAACTGCTGCTTACCAGGTTTGTTAGTAAAATGTTTTTCATATTTTTTCCTTATTTATTTATCTAAAATTCATTTCTTTCAATCATGTTCAACTTCACAGTAATGTAGTTATAGAAACTGAACTATTCATTTGAATAAAGTCTTCTTTCTAGTACAGTTGGTAAGCTAATCTTGGTTTTTGTAACACATCCAAAAAAGTACAATAGAAGAATTAATTTCCTTTTATAATTGTTTTTATGTTGATTTGCATTTCTGCTTTCTAATGGATCTTTGAAGCTAGGTCTCAACATTTCCAATAGTTTTTTTTTTTAAATTTATACTGCTTTTTGAGTGCTTACTTGAATGATCTGTGGCTGAGTTGTGCAATTCCATTGTACTCAAACATGTGGATATTTTGCCTTTTTATTAAAAATGTTTTATCTCTATTTCTTCTGAGTTCATTTGCTTGAAGTTTTTTGTGAATTATTGTGGTAGTTTCTTGCATAAAATATGATGAAAAGCTGATTGATTTAACATTATAAATTTAAAGCCTGGTGTCAATTTGATCTCTACAGAATGATGATGAGGATATGGTCTACATGTACAATGCTTATCTACACAAGCTGATCACCTGCTTCCTATCTCATCCACTTGCTAGGGACAAGGTCAGTTGTATTATTCAATTCTTCTTAAGTTTTTATGGTACTTGAGAGAAGGAAAAAATGAACAACCAAAATTTACAAGTGTAGTATGATTAACTTGCACTAAATAAGTCACTTGTGTGTCTGTGTTCTTCAATTAGTAGTATGTACAGGTGCTTTTACTCTTCCAACTTCTATTTATTGTTGAGCATGTCTACTCCTGTGTGTGCATATACTTTGTCAATGTCATCTTATGATGTGTTCCACTTGTTTGTCTGTAGGGAAGCCCTATGTTTTGTAGGGTCTGCAATTTGGGATAGCATGTTTTGTTGACTGTTTAGAATCGAGTAGAAAAATGTTTGTGATCAATATGAACATGGCATGACTATTTATTATGTAATCAACATGGAAAATGACCTAATCTTAAACCATAGCATGGCATGACACAGGTATATATTATTTAAGTTTTTAACTCCCCAAGACCTTTTTTAAGAACTTGACAAATTATATGAACAAAAAACTATTATATACTTTGTTATTTCTTTTTTCTTAAAATCTTCCAGTTTCTAAACATGAAAAATATTTCTTTACTTTATATGTACTTAGGATATTTTGTTGTTTTAGTTAATCACTCATATCATGTACACACACACACTCACACACACACACACACACACACACACACACACACACACACATGTTATACCATCTTCATGTGCTTTTCATCGTCACCTTGAGAAACTTATCATGGGACTTTTTCTTGAAGGTAAAAGATTCAAAAGAGAAGGCAATGAATGCGCTTAATTCATATCGTTTGGCTGCCTCACATGATTTTATGCATGATGGCAATTTGCATTCTCAACAGTCCATTGAGACTGGCTCTTCACCATTTATCTCTCTGTTGGAGTTTGTGAGTGAAATTTATCAGGTTTGTTTGACCTTATGATTATCACATGATGGTTTATGAGCATTAAAATTTCTATATGTTTAAGGAATCTTGAAGTTCCGGAAAGTGTAAATGCTTTGTGTAATACCCTTACTTAGCAGAACGTAGTTGAATGTTTCTTCAAGTACTTTAAGGTCAAAGCAGTTTTCGTATTATAATACCAATTGTATGACTAGGAAGCTCTTGTTAAGCAGGCTTTTTTCCCCCTAATTTAGTATTCTGAGTTTTCATATCTCTTTGTAACCCATTAGACTTTTGTGCATTTTGCAGAAGGAACCTGAGCTTATGTCTGGCAATGATGCTCTATGGACATTTGTGAATTTTGCCGGAGAAGATCATACTAATTTTCAAACACTCGTGGCTTTCTTGAAAATGCTGAGCACTTTGGTATGCGAACTGTATTTATATTTTCTAATCTAATCTTTGAAAAGATTCATTGTTTTTGTGCAAAGGTCCAGTTATTAGTATTCTTGATGTAATGTTTCTTGCAGGCTTCTAGTCAAGAAGGAGCTGCAAAGGTTTATGAACTACTCCAGGGCAAAGCTTTCCGCTATGTTGGTTGGAGCACTTTGTTTGATTGCTTAACGATTTATGATGAGAAGTTTAAACAATCTCTTCAGACTGCTGGGGCCATGTTGCCTGAGTTTCAGGAGGGTGATGCAAAGGCACTTGTTGCATATTTGAGTGTTCTTCAGAAGGTTTGTACGTGTTCTGTTATATATATATAGAAGTTTAAACAATCTCTTCAAGACTGCTGGGGCCATGTTGCCTTGAAGTTTCAGGAGGGTGATGCCAAGGCACTTGTTGCATATTTGGAGTGTTCTTCAGAAGGTTTTGTACGTGTTCTGTTAATATAATAATATATATATATATATATATAATCTTCTATTCCCCTGCGTGTAGTTTGCCTTAATGTGTGGCAAATGAATTTCTTTCCTGTTTGCTTTAATAACCTTGTTATTTGATTGAATTACATATATATATATATATATATATATAATCTTCTAATTCCCTGCGTGTAGTTGCTTAATGTGTGGCAAATGAATTTCTTCCTGTTGCTTTATAACCCTTGTTATTTATTGAATTACATGGTAATATTTTTGTTTGTCTTCTATATTATCTCATGTTGTGCCAGCATGCTGCTAGTTACCAAAAAAATCTTTTTTCTTTTGCCCACTATCTGGTTTTCATCTGATTTGCCTTGTGGTGCAGGTTGTCGAAAATGGACATCCCACTGAAAGAAGGAACTGGTTTCCCAACATTGAACCATTATTCAAGCTCCTTAGCTATGAAAATGTGCCTCCTTATTTGAAGGTTACAGCCTGCTTGGATAATGCTTCTTTCAAAATTAATGACCATAGTGTTTGAACAGAATCTATTTGGAGATAAATAGCCTTCAGATATTTCTCTTTCCCTCTTTAAATTTACTATAATATTCTTTTTCAGGGTGCACTGAGGAATGCCATAACAACTTTTGTTCATGTCTCTCCAGTCTTAAAAGATACTGTTTGGAGTTTTCTTGAGCAGTATGATTTACCATTAGTGGTTGGTACTCACGTTGGAAACACTGCAAAATCAATGGCAGCACAGGTTTGTTTCTAGCCAGAATTTTATATTCGATTAATGAAATTGGTTGGTACTTCAAAATACATTAGATTATCATAAACATCAGTTATCAATATATAATTTAACTGTTTTGACATGTTAGCTAAAATTTTAGTAGGATTTTGCATCCGCCTTGATGGTTGTTTTCGGAAATTGTTTTGAAGATGTATTAAATGCACAGCTATTACTTTTTAATCATATGAGGATTGTCTGTCCAATTTAAAGACCACGTATAGCTTTTAGCAGTTTAAGTGAGAAATAATTGCAATTTGCTATTATGAATATGAGGCATGTGCTTTCAGAATATAATGGTCAAATGAATAAAAAAATCCTGAACTTTGCCTTATTTTCAGTTTCAGCTATTGTTTGTTAAAGTTTAATCTATTTTGCTTGTGGATGCCTGGCAGCAAATCAGACATGGAGGCCATGTGGCAAACTTACATGGAAAGAGATACATGTACACAGACACAGAGTGATAATTCAAATAATTTTTCTAAATTTTTCTTTCAAAATTGTGCATTCTTTTTGTTTATCAATCCCTATAATATTTGGCATTTCAAATACTTCCTATCAATTTTAAGTAGGAAAAATTTACAGTTTATGTGTATTGACATTGCAAAGAAATAAAATTTTATTCTTTTGCCAATCGAGCTTGCAACGTAGGCTCAACATTTCATAGAAAAATAAAGAGTTTATAGAGGTTCCCAATTTTAGCATTCTTTAACATCCTGCTGGAAATAAGTCTATAGATAATTAGTTTTCTTAGCATTCTGCAGATTCTAGAAAGTGTGATTGGACTTCATGTGAATGATGTAGGATGTTGTAGAAGTAATCTAGGGCCAAAAGTGTGGGGTTAATAGCATGGTTCTTTTGGAATCTTGATCAATATTATGAGGATAACTATCATCAACTTGGACTTGCAAATGCAATAGGTTTATCTACAGGTGGAAAAAATGATTCTTCTAAAGCTTGAACTTGGCAGGTCTATGATATGAGATATGAGCTGAATGAAATAGAAGCAAGGATGGAACGGTATCCCTCAACAATATCTTTCCTTAACCTGTTAAATGCTCTTATTGCTGAGGAAAAAGATGCAAGTGATAGAGGGCGCAGGTATTGTTTGGTGGTTATTTTCTTTTTCTTGGATTATTAACATTCTCTTGGCAGCCTTGCTTTAATTTTGGGTTCCTTCTTGCAGATTCATAGGTATCTTTAGGTTCATCTATGATGATGTATTTGGGCCTTTCCCTCAGAGAGCCTATGCAGATTCTTGTGAAAAATGGCAGTTGGTTGTTGCTTGTCTTAAGCATTTTTACATGTAAGTGGCCTCGGACCTGGCTGTTCCCATTCACTTTTCTAGTTTCTTTTCCCTTCGCCGCTCCCCTTGAAATTTGGGTCATAATTCTGTGCTTTTGTTTTCCCCAAAGTTTCTGAAATATTGTCTGCTATTTATATGATACCTTCTCTGATTTTTAATTTGAAGAGCTTCCATTTAAGCTGATAGTAAATTACAAAAAGGCTCCCCATGGCCTGATTTGACAAAATACAGTTATATCTCTATTTATAAAAGTGAATTAGTGGTAATTTACTTTTGGGAAAAAACACGATCTAATACTTCCATTGCGTTTGTTTCACTCAACTTTTAAGCTAATGTTGTTTATTTGAAATTCAAGAATTAGAAGTGTTGTTCAACATAAAAGTTCAGGAATTTAAATATGTATGATATTTTAGCAGGACTAAGGTATGATCAAATAAAAAAACTAATTGTCACTTGATTCATGTCTGCAATGGAGGGACACAAATATGTATATTATCAAACTGTAGAGAAATTACAATAATTTACCCTAGCTAATGTTTTTGTTTGTATTTGGCAGTTGGTTGTTCAATTTTAGAACCAGGTTAATGAGGAAATTGTTTCATTTATGGTTTATTTTGCAGGATGTTAAGCATGTATGACATCCAAGATGAGGATATAGACAGTGTTGTTGATCCAGCACAGTCACAACCATCTTCCTTTGAGATGCAGCTTCCAGCCTTAGAGTTGCTAAAAGTATGGGTTTATCACTGCTGGTGGTTAATTTATTCTTCTACTGTTTCAAATTTTGAATTTCAAAGCTAGTTTATACTTTCAACTTATCAAATAATGGTCTGGAGGTGTGAACCTGTTTCTGTTGCAATTTCATTTTATCTTTTTGTTAGCAAGCAGCTTGCTGAGAATGGCATTTCATTTATTTATTTCTGAAATCTAAGCATTAAATGCTGTCTTCTGTTCTTAAAGAAGGAAAAGGATTGCACCATGATGGCTATGAGTATGACAATAACTGCCTTGAGGGTTTCATCTTCATGATTGCGGCTGCAATTTGAAACGTTGATTTATCTTGTCTTATGACTATGATATTTGCCTTGAGCTGCATACCTTCTTTAACTGTGTTACATATTATGGGGCCAGGATTTCATGAGTGGAAAGACTGTTTTCCGTAATCTTATGAGCATTCTTCTGCCTGGGGTCAATTCAATCATATCTGAACGGACCAGCCAAATTCATGGGCACCTTCTAGAAAAGGCTGTGCAACTTTCTTTGGAGATCATACTCCTTGTCCTGGAAAAGGATTTACTTGTTTCTGATTACTGGCGTCCTCTATACCAGGTATCAATTTATTTATCTTGATCTCTGTTTTGAATAGGTTGCTTAAAATATTTATAACGGCTATTATTATTATTATTATTATTATTATTATTATTATTTTGTTGAAATTCTTAGGTTCTGTCTTGGATTAATTCCCATGATTTTCAGTTCAGTGTTGCTAACGCTCGTCTAAATTTTCCCGCCTTCAAGCGATTGCAAGTTTTCCATATTAGGGTTTCATATTGAATTTGCATGGGTGCTCTTTGTTATGGAAGGTTTAATGTGAAATGAGTTTGGGCATGCTTTACATTTCCTAAAATTTGTTATATAGAGATCGGATTGTTTATTGAACTTTTGTCTGGGTGCAAATTGTTGGATGTCTATTTGGATGCTGATATGTTCATTCAAATGATAATTAAAGTGGGAGTTACTCTATAATTATCCGAGTATGTTCTGGCTACGTGTTCAAGTGTGGATGATAGAAATATGAGTGTGATCAATGCACTAAATGGGCCAAATATACAAATTAGCCTCTGAAATTTTAGCCTAAAGTCAATGACCTTATGTTTCCATTCTAGTCCATCAATCCCTCCAACAATTTGAATTTTTGTTAATTAAGTCTAGTATTAACTGGATTACAGGTGGGAATATGTGCTGTTAACTCCACTGTCTTTTAACCCATTCCCTGCGGATTCTATCTACATGAAAATTTCATTTTCCTGTTAGCTACCAGATGCTGTACTGACAAGCACATGTCAACTAAAAATCGAACCTCTGGCCTGTTATATTGGAAAGCAAGGGGATATGGGCAAACCCCAGTCCTATTACCTCAGTAGTCCTTCCCTACCTTACATACTTTGTTTTAAGATCATGAAATAGTCTGAAGGAAAACAATTTATGAATTCTTGTATGGTGCTTTGGCATATCCCATTCTAACCACTGTTAAGTAATGTTATGTGTTTCTGTTGCATAATTGGTTCTGTGGTACATTGACATGGTTGTGTGTGATACATGTTTCGGTTTCAATTGATTTACAAATATTGTTGCACCCGATTTTTGGCTGAAGTTTATGTTTCATTGAGCTCTCTAACTGGCAACCTTCTGTAAACCTGAAAGAAGTAACTCACTGACATTGTTTAAGCACTATATATATATGTAACTTCATTCTCTGCTTCACAGAGCCTTGAAAGGCTACTTTACTGTTTTTTCTTTTGCCTAGTAATATTACAGCATTTAAATTATATTCTTAGTACTTGGCCTTCCCCCTCACCTCTTTCTGTGTCTCTTGCAGCCCTTGGATGTTATTCTCTCTCAAGATCATAATCAAATTGTGGCATTGTTGGAGTATGTCAGATATGATTTTCTGCCACAAATTCAGCAGTGCTCTATCAAAATCATGTCTATCCTGAGGTATTTTCTTTGGTTGAACTGCCATTTATTTTTGCTAGGTAATTTAGCAGTGGTCAAGTATTTTTATCTGTATATGCATGTGTATGTGTATGCTTGCATGTATATGTCTGTGTGCATAAATGTGGGCTTGCACAGGTATGTGCAAGACAAAGATCAGGTGCAAGAGGAGTGGTTAAAGTGGTTTGCTTGTTGCTCTGTGTGCTTATGGGTTTTTGTTCTTTTTGTTGCTATGTTGAGAGCTTTTAAGAGTGCAATCATTATATGAATGGCAGTTCCCGCATGGTTGGGCTTGTACAGCTACTGTTAAAATCGAATGCTGCAAGCTGTTTGGTTGGCGACTATGCAGCCTGCCTTGAGTTGCATGCAGAGGAGTGTCAGATTATAGAGAACAGTGCTAATGATCCAGGGGTTCTGATAATGCAGGTCTGCTCCCTGCTTTGTTGCCCGAATTCAACACTCATTATAGAATGCTTTGTCTTAATTTGTTGTGCTCTTTTGCAGCTTCTAATAGACAATCTTAGTAGGCCAGCTCCAAATATTACACATTTACTGCTTAAATTTGATCTTGACACTCCAATTGAACGAACAGTTCTACAGCCAAAATTTCACTACAGGTTTTGTCAATTACAAGTTGCCAAAATAAGTTTGCATATTCTTCTTGTTGTTATACAATTGTTTATGCATTTATTATTTCACTTGTAGCTGCTTGAAAGTTATTCTTGAAATCTTGGAGAAACTTTTAAAGCCAGATATAAATGCTTTACTCCATGAATTTGGTTTCCAGGTGGGATGTCTTATCTAGTGCTCTCAAATTGTTCTGGTCACATTGTATTGTTGCTTATGCAGTTTCTTTCACTTCCTGATGCAGCTCCTTTACGAGTTGTGTTTGGATCCTCTAACATGTGGCCCTACCATGGACTTGTTAAGCAGTAAAAAGTACCAATTCTTTGTAAAGGTACACCATGAACCACAGATTCAAGATTAAAATTTCTTTATTGCTACCATTTTGTGCATTTGTATAATATCTTTACAGATCTTCCATTTGTTTTGTTACCTCCATCATGACAGCATCTAGAAACTATTGGTGTTGCTCCACTTCCTAAACGAAATAGCAATCAGCCACTTCGCATCAGTTCCCTTCACCAGGTTTCTTTTTGTTATATTTAATTTTGATGATTACGCAACTATATTGCTAACTGCAGTCTCCATGTGCTTGTCTACTCTTAATTTGGTTTTCAGCTTCTACAGGATTTAGATTGACTTTATATAGCCATGTCTCTGTCTTAAGGTCAAAGATGAGGTTTCTGTTCACGGTAGGGGGTACTGATGAGCAACCCCATCATGATTTAGAAATAGCTTGACTTTATTTTCAGAGTATTATTTGTCTCATGTTTCGAAAGTATTTTTAGCAAAGATGACGGAGAGGGTGTTAGGGTGGTGAAGGGAAAGAAGTAGATCTAGAACCACATGGAGAGAATTCACTCAATGATCTATTATTTCTTGACATTAGTGTATATTTAATTATGAACAGAGCGGAGTGGAAATAGTGGATTAGTTATTGCATTTTAGCAACGATTGACAAAAAAAAAAAAAAAAAAAACCACATGGAGAGAAATTCCACTCAAATGATCTTTATTTTCTTGACATTAGTGTATATTTAATTTATGAACAGAAGCGGAGTGGAATAGTGGATTAGTTATTGCTTTTAGCATACGATTGACAAAAAAAAAAAAAAAAGAAAAAAAAAAAAAAAAAAGAAGTTTCAAATAAATTATATTGAAAACTAGGGATGTGCTAGTCAAGTTCTCATTCCTGGGAGGAACCAAAATTGAAACAAAATTTTGGTTCATTCGTTTTTAGGAATTGGGTTCGAATGACTTAGGAATCAGAAGCAGAACTAATTAAATCAAAATTTCAGTACAGTTCTTGGGTTTCAGTTTTTTGGTTCAGGTTTCAATTTCGGTTCCCCCGGTGAATATTACACATTTTTGAATATACATCAATACCATGTCCCTTTAAATGAAAAAAAATTCTAACATTAAAATAAAATTGCAATACATGATAATTGAAAAAAAAAAATCCATATTAGCAGAAAAATTACGAAATAACATAATTTTGTTATGGATTAACTTAAACTCCCCACATAAAAACTGTCTTTTTGATGTTGATGGGTTAGTTATTATTCTTGATTTTTATAAATAACATAGTTCTGAAAACCAGACTGGACTGGCCAGTTTAACTGGGAACCGGACAATGATCTGGTCTGAGTTGGCTAGTTAAAACGGAGATTTAATAACCAGATAAAGCTGGTAAAAATCGGGTAGAAACCGACGAGCCGGACCTCCATTCACTATGGTCTAGTTCAAAATCAGAAAAAAATTCTCAACTTTCTGATTAGAGTTTTTGGAATCTAAGCCTCCGATGCGGCTTGGAACCGACTGTAGATTTAAGACAAAAAAAAGACAGGACGGGAAGGTATTAGAAAGAGAGAGGCGGTAATGGTCGAAGGACTAAGAAGAGCCACAGTAATAGATGGCTCAAACCAAGAGGGCATGTCACCTCACCTGTGATACAGTTAGAGATGAAGTAGATGCCATTGTTTTCACAGCCCTTTGTTGAACGAGCAACGTTCATATTGGGGGCCCTGAGATCTTCCTGTTGCCTCTTCCATAATGCATAGAGCATTACAAGAGAGAGAGAGAGAGAGAGAGAGAGAGAGAGAGAGAGAAGTCAAGGCGATGAAAAAGCCGATCTTAGTAAGTCAATGATAGATATGAATCGAGAGAGAGAGGCTTTGGCTGCCAAATGAGTGATTGAATCGCTTCCTTTTTGCGGTCTTCCTGTTGCCTCTTCCACAATACAGAGAGCATTAGAACATGAATTAGAACTTAAAATAGGATTGGGAAGGTAAAAGAGGACATAAATTAATATTGATAAAGTTATTTCTTTAATTGTTTTAAAAGGAGCCATGTATGACTAACGAAGCTTTGGAAAGGTAAAAAAGAGGACAAAAGTTTTTTTTTTAAAAAAAAAAAAAAATTAAAGCACTGACAATAGATAACGTTAGCTGTGGGAGATTAGAGAGCAAAATTATTTTTTTTTAATAAACATAAAATAAGGCAATAATTAAGTTAGAAGAATAAATAAATACATTAAAAAGACATCAATATCAGGTACTTATTGAAATATATAAATTCATCCTCCAATTTGGTTACTTTATTTTTATGGCACTCTGAATTTTTTTTTTTTTTTGGGTCTATTAAACACTTTAAATTACAAAGTCATTTTATTGGAACACTTCATCTTACAAAATTAGATCAATTAAACACCTATTCTATGTCTTTTTCCAATGCATCATTTTTTGAAATTAACCAAATAGGTATTTCTGATAAAATGGATTTGGATTGTGGATTAATGGTGAACTAATATAATAGTATTTATTAATGTTTGAAGAACTGGACCGGTCATTGAATCACTAAAGATAGGGGATCACTGACCGGAGGATTCAACCAGGTTCAATGCGGTTCAACGGATTTTTTATATAAAATATTTTTAAATATATTGTTTAAGATATAATTAAAAATATAAAAATTATAGATACTAAATAATCTTTGTAAAAGAATAAAAAATAACGAAATGTAATGTAGATTAAATAAAATATAATTAACAGCCAAAAAAATATGATTATAATGCTAGTTGTACTTACAAAAACCTACAATTACAATACAATTGGAATACTGATGATAATTATAGTAGTTATAATTATAAAGTTGTTACAATACTAATTATAATTTTAATACTAGTTATCTAATATTTCCTGTAAATTTTATACTAAAAGAAGATTATTCAAAAATATAATATAAATTTGATTCAATATGATGTAATTTTTAATTTTTATAATATTAGTATTTTTACAATTGTCACTTATCGTTAAATCATTTTTTATTCAGATCATGAAAGAAATGCGAGATTGTATATACATTTATAACTTATCATATTATTAAAATATTATATGTAATACGGGATTATGAGTTACCAATTTTTATGTAGGAAAAGAGTTTCAACTTATACATTATTTTTATTATTAGATAATAATAAAGGTTTTGTTTTTAAATAATAAAATATGCTGGATGCTGTAAACTACATAATATATTTGGAAAAAAATAAAAAACGTATTTATAAATAGATTCAGTTATGGTTCGATTCTAGTACGGGTCTATTATGGTTCCCTTACAGTTCTCAGTAAGAACCAAAACCAATAGGAAAACAGAAATTGCATTCGGTTCCGTATGGTTCGGTTCCTATTATGCTGGCTCTTTTTTTGCTTCAGTATGGTTCCTTGGTTAGGTTCGGGTCCCAAGGGACCAGACACAGCCCTATTGTAAACAGAATATATTTGGCCCTAGGCAAAAGGTTACTTACATGATCATAATGTTGTATTGGAACCGAACTGTCATCTTTTCATTTTCTGTACTGTGCTATATGTTAAAGTTCTTGTTTTCGTGGTTGGAGTTTGTTTCTTTATATTTTTTGGGTAGGGTGAGATTTGAAATATAGGGTGTCTATTTGATATTTTCCTAAAAAAGGTTTTTTAATTTATATGTAGAAGTTTCTTTGGTTAGGTAGATTAGAATGTGAATTATAACTGTTGTTCCCCCTGCAATTTCACTTTCTTATAAATGATAATCTTTTGTTTTTTACAGTTTGAACTAAAAAGTTAAAAGATTTCAAAATCCTGAATGAGAAATGTAATGTTAGTATGTTAAAGTATAATGGAATCCACTGATTAGGATCCCCCTTTCTGGGTATTTTGAACTAAACCTGCAGTACATTGGGTACTCATAATTAAGTCATCGTCCTCAATTCATACTGCTTTCTATCTCACCAGCAAATAATGTAATTAACTAAGATTTGCTTGTAATTTGTCACTGTTTTTTAATAAGTTGGATGCATTCATGTTAATTTATTTTTTCATCTACTTCCCCAGAGAGCATGGCTTCTAAAGCTTTTAGCTGTAGAGTTGCATTCAGGTGATATGGGTAGCCCCAGTCATAGAGAAGCATGTCAGAGTATACTTGCTCATCTTTTTGGAAGGGAAATTACTGAAATTGGGTCAGATCGTATAGTTTCTGATTCCTTCACTCTTCGAAATGGCACTGAGCTTGCTGGAATCCAGGCAATTAGCAAGAGTAAGGTATTGTTATTGCTTTTAATTGCTTCGTGTCTATTAATTACTTTTGTTGAGGATCAGTAGATGTGGTTTTCCTATTTTAGTTTCCATGGGAGTACTGTGCACATTCATGTTATGTTGAGATTAATGTACTCATTCATATTTTCTTTTATTTTATATGAGCCTTGTTCCCATTTTTTGATCTTTACACGTAATTTTTGTTTTATCCTTAGCGAGAAATGAATTAATGCTTAATATCAAGATGTTATGGATTTATTTCTGGTCATGTAGCTGTTGGATGACATTATTTTCCTGGATCAGGCTTAGTTGTTGTATAATGGGCTTATGCAAATATGGTATTCAAAGCGGAGTCTCTGACTGACATTGAATGTAGTGGGAAGCATAGTGGGTTTGCAATGTACTTTTCCTTTTGATTCTTGATATTTAAAGGGATACCTCATTCTTCCATTGTGTTTATTTTTTCTTTCTTTTCTTTCAATATTTTCTTCTGTTATCTAGAAAATGATTCTTGCTTTTTTCTTGAAACTGGAGCATTTAAACAACGAAGATCAACAATTGAAATGTCCTATATGAGTGAACAGAATAAGAATTATGATTTTTCTTGGGAGGCTTTTTGGCTTTGATGGTCATTTTGCTGCCGAATGCACTCTGTTGGATATTGTAACAGCTAAAGTTAGGCCTGCCCTGTAGATGAATAATTATGTTTGGATTTGACCTGGTCAGCAGTCAGCTTTTTAATAAGCGTCTTTTCGCACCTACTATACCTATGCATGCAGTTAATTAAGTCTCCTACAATGGCTTATGTGGATAAATGTAATTGGTTCACATTCATCAGGATTGGCTTGCCAGACCATTGAATATCAACTTAATAATTCAAACCTGGCAACTTTTACAAGGAGAAGCTGAGTCTGCCTGATTTATCGACAAATGTGAATGTCTTAATCCCTCCTGTTAAACTTCAGTTTGTCTCACTACAACTCTCTTATGAGCCTTAGTAATTTGTCTATGTAACATTACCCCAGGCTTCTTTTTTATGCCCTGAGAATAATGGCCTTTTAAATGCATCAAGTGGTGTAAAGTTTGAGTTACAAAGTTCTTGTGCTTTTCTTCACTTGATAAGTAACTTTTGATGTATAAGCTTCACAACTCCACTCACATCCCTTGCCATGCACTAAAACCCAAGGGCATGAACTCTTGATATTTCCTTTTTGTTCTATTTCTATGACCAAGGCCACACTGCCTTTTGCTCTTCTCTGAATTGAACATCTGGATACTTTCTACTTTGTGGATTTTTTCAATAACTTCAGATAAAGTAGTACTATTGCTTGTAGTTAGTGTTTATTCAGGATTTTGAGGAACTTTTTATTGCATGTCAATACCTCTGTTTTTCGTAATTAGTGTCTTTTATTAATGTTCACTTTCACAGTTTTGCTACAGTGTATTATTATTAGAGGGAAAATCTGTTTTGTCATTTTTTTACTGCTAATATTTGACCATTTCTGCTTTTGTCAAATTCAGGTGTTAGAGTTGCTTGAGGTAGTCCAATTCAGATATCCAGATACTAGTATGAAGCTTTCTCAGATAGTCTCTAGTATGAAGTATGACTTGCTGGTAAGATCCTACTTCTTGGAAATGGTTCTCATTTTGTTTTGTGCAAGAATTTTTATTATATGTGTTTTTCTAGGCAGAGGACATTCTTGGAGATCCAAAAGCTTCTGGAAAAGGTGGTATCTATTATTATTCAGAACGTGGTGATCGTCTGATTGACCTAGCATCTTTCCATGACAAACTTTGGCAGGTCCATTTCTGTGACTTATTGATCACCAGAGTTGTTTTTCCTGAAATTTCTTGTATGCAGACTTTCATAAAGGATGCTGGTGCTGATTTTTGTTTGTGTTCAGAAATTCAACTCAGTGTATCCCCAATTGAGTAACTTTGGCAGTGAAGCTGAGCTCAATGATGTAAGAGAGACAATTCAACAGTTATTAAGATGGGGATGGAAGTATAACAAAAACCTTGAGGAACAAGCTGCACAACTCCATATGTTAAATGGCTGGTCACAGATTGTTGAGGTTTTCTGTCTTTCATAGATCACTCTTGTGTTTTTTCTGTATTTGAAAATCTCACATTTTAAGTATCTTTTTAACTGCTTGTTCTCTAACTTTGTATTATGTGTGTTTCGGCATTCTTTTTAAGGTCTCTGCATCAAGAAGGATTTCCTCACTGGAAAATCGATCTGAAATTTTATATCAGTAGGCCCTCTATCATTGTTGGTATTTTTCCTACTGCTATTTTGTGGATGCTTTATAATTGATTTCTCTGGTCATTGGCAGGGTTCTTGATGCTTCTCTGAGTGCTTCTGCTTCTCCAGACTGTTCATTGAAGATGGCATTCATATTGAGTCAGGTATGATTCATCCATTAAAGTGCCCTTGAATTGATCCATATGTCCCAGTAACTGTTATGCAATTATTTTTGGCTTGCTTTCTCGATAGGTTAGGAATTAACTGTCTTCTATGGCTTACTTTATCTTGAAATGCCCCTAGGTTGCTCTCACATGCATGGCTAAACTACGTGATGAAAGGTTTCTATGCCCTGCTGGTCTAAATCCTGATAGCATCACATGTCTTGATATTATCATGGTGAAACAATTATCAAATGGTGCTTGTCACTCCATATTGTTTAAGCTTCTAATGGCCATTCTGAGAAACGAATCATCAGAGACCTTGAGGAGACGGTAATGTTTTCTAAGTGGGAAGCTGGTGCTGCAATTGCATTATGAAAATCTAATTGGATTCTGATCCTCTTTCTCTCTCCTGTCTCTTGGGTATGTGCAGCCAATATGCCTTATTGCTTAGCTATTTTCAGTATTGTCAGCATACACTTGATCCAGATGTTCCAACAACTGTTATGCAATTCTTATTGCTTACTGAGCAGGACAGTGAAGATCTGGACCTCCATAAGGTACATAGATTACAAATTTATTTATCATAATGTATGCAATTTTATTATTTCTTGTTGTAGAAATTTCTGAATCTTGAGCGCCTGTCATGTTTTCAGATTAACAGAGAACAGGCAGAACTAGCTCGTGCCAATTTTTCCATATTAAGAAAAGAAGCTCAGACCTTCTTAGATCTGGTATGCATCCTACTGTCATATATTGAAATATGAAAGCTAATTGTGACTTAGTGACTAGTGATTATATAATATCCTTGTTATGGACTTGTGAAATGATCATGAGATCTGAAATTGGCTTTGATATAAAGAAGTTTTTGTTGGAAGAGGTAGTAACTGCTGGCTAAGCATATATATTCTTTTGGAAGGCCTAGTTTACAAGCTTTACAAATTGAACTTTGACTGAAACGTACTCTTTTAAGTCAACTTCTAATTAAACAACCTTTGTTATATTAATTCTTATTACTTTTAGCTTCACCCTCTCAAGTTGTCACAGTGCTATCTAGGATGGTTTTTATTTTGTTGTTCTGCAGTGTTCTAATCCCCGAAATCATTTCACTGACTTGTTTGTTTTGAAATCTTCAGGTAATAAAGGATGCAACCCAAGGTGGTGAACCTGGGAAGACAATAGCACTCTATGTTTTGGATTCATTGATTTGTATTGATCATGAGAGATTTTTCTTAAGCCAACTTCAGAGTAGGGGATTTTTGCGGTCTTGCTTGATGAGCATTAGCAGTGTTTCCCATCAGGTGTTGCTTCTCTCTGCCACCACATCTACTGATTCATGGAAAAAAAGTTACTTTCATTTTAATCTTTTACACTAATGAATGGTGACTCATATTTGACTATGTACAACACGTGCACATGTATTTTCGTCAAAAGTGTACTTTTCAATTTGGAAATCTCTCTAATGAAATATGAATTTGAACATTACCAGAAACATATAATTTAAATTCTTATTTGTGAAGTAATGAAAACGAGTTAAACAATAAAGATATTTATTAGGAAGCGTTACCTGAGACTTGAAATATTTGTGTGGATTGATTCTAGCTTTCCTATAATCTTATCCTTTCTCTTATTAAGTACTTTTGGTTGGCTAGAAATATGAACAAATAAAGAAATAAGAAAATGAATGAATGCACTTCATATATATGTATATGCATTGTATAGAAATTCAATCTATACACTGCTCTGCTATTCTAATCTGGTTCTCACTTTACATATTTCATTTAGTCTCCATTTGGATAGATGGTTACTTTGCTTGTTGCTAATCAGCTTCTAGTGATTCGATCTTCATAATTCTTCTATTTTCCAGTCCTGGGTGGGCAGTTGAAGAAGAGAAAGATAGAACGATATGAAATGAGAATAAACGATGATAGATTTTGATTCGAATTTCAAGAGTAAAATTATGAAATATCATTTTAGATAACTAGTTATCTAAATGGACCCTAGAAATTTATAGTGGATATGGCCCCTCGAGTGCTCTAGCCTACTTGCTCACCTATGCAAACATATTAAGCTGTTACCAGTCCTTGTCGACAACGAATCTTATTCAATCTTGCATGTGAGTGATTGTCTTTAACACATTAATCTCCCTTTTTATACCTGGAAGGTTCTTTGAAATAACAAAGAAGAAACGAAAAGACAATGCTCATGCATCATATAATATTCTGAAAAAAGGAAAAACAAATTCAGCACCCTACTGAATATATATTTGAGTGCAGTTCTATGTTTAGCTTATTGGTTTTTGACTCAAGTAAACTTGTGAATTGATCCGGGGCTATGGTTTTTCATTCATTAGATAGGACCGTCCGAGTGCCAGCCTAGTGCTATATGCTCTCGAATTATTTATGTTAGTCAGATTGATATATCTGTTAATATCTTTTTTAGGATGTTGGGCATTCGTTAGACTCATTGCAGCGAGCATGCACTGTCGAGGCTGAACTTGCATTATTATTGAGAATCAGCCACAAGTATGGAAAATCTGGTGCCCAAGTCTTATTCTCTATGGGTGCTTTGGAGCATCTTGCTTCATGTAGGGCAGCCAATTTTCAGGTAATAATATTGTCTACCGACCTATAGTTATGTTTATTGCACTTGAATTCATAAAAGCTAAAGCTAAAGTTCCAAGCAGGGAAGTTTGAGACGGCTTGACCCAAAGCTTCGGCGAGATGTGGCTGTTGATATTGACAAGCAACGAATGATCATAAGTCCAATGCTAAGATTGGTGTTCTCGTTGACATCATTGGTTGATTTATCTGATATTTTTGAGGTCAGTCTCCTTTCTTGTTTTCCGCTATTTCTTATGTAATATATTTCCAGTTCTGAGAATTTTATATACTTCAATCCCAGTGGATTAGTTTTATCCTCTTTGGTGGCAGGAACCAGGTATTTTAAAAAAATACCCAATGCAGGTTTAGGTTCATCCCTGCCTGGAACCTGTACCCCCTTATGCCCACACCTATATTTATCTATTTATTTTTGTGTATCTATGTATCTATTGCATATATTGTCTATTCAGACCTACATTCCCGTTGTAAAGATGTTTGGCATGTGTGATTTAGAACCTTTGGCTCTAACTTAAGATACTTTAATTTAACCAAAAATCAAATAATGTGCGTCCTTATATAGAAAAATAAAACAGAAAATTGTTAAGTGGCACTGCAAAAATATAGACTTACTGAGTTCCATACGACAAAAAGAAGTACAGCATCATGACTAGGACTTGGGCATTGCTTATGGGAGGGATTATAAAGCACATAATTATGTATTACTTTATTATTATATTGTGGCCTCAATTTTTTATTTTGGACTTTGAAATTCTATTCCCATGCATATTTTCAATTAGTTTGATGTTAATACTTTTACATTCACTCTTTTCTCCTTTCTCACCCTTTCTTCATTATGCTAAAATGCCTGTTTCTCGATGTATGTATGTCACATAAATATAGCTGAGTTGAGTTGTGTGTTTGGCAGGTCAAGAATAAGATTGTTCGTGAAGTTATGGATTTTGTGAAAGCAAATCAATTGTTATTTGATCAAATTCTTCGGGAAGATATTTCTGAAGCTGATGAATTGATAATGGAGCAGATCAATCTTGTTGTTGGTATACTTAGCAAGGTAAGCATTTTGACTCATTGGTTGGGCCTGTGGACTGTCCACCAAACAATGGATTGAAAACTTATCGTGCAAATTGGATTTTGTTGTTATTGGCTTCCTTTGTGTTAAAGTGGCCATTTTAACTAATAAACCAACTTCTTTATTTACCACCCTATTTTCTCCTTTTTTGTTCATTGTGGGATCTGTTCCACTCTCGCTCTTGAATGAAGCACCATTGAAAAAATATTATATGCTATAAAATGGTGAAACAAGGCGAATGACCTTTTGCGTTGCTAAAGATATGGCATCGTTCATTTGACCTGGTGGCTGTTGGACACTGTGATCTATAATGTGGTGGAGAAATGTGAATATGGCTCTCGAATAACCCATTTCTTTTATATGTGCCATAGATTCAGTAGTCCTTGCTCTCATTCTTTTCAAGAAAATTCAGTTATGCATGGTTCTGAATTGTTCTTCTTGTTTTTTGGCTTGTAGGTGTGGCCTTACGAGGAGAGTGATGAGTTTGGTTTTGTTCAAGGGCTTTTTAGCATGATGCATACTATTTTCTCTTTTGAGTTAGAGACACCTACTTTAGGTAGATCAGTGCAATCATCCGAGGTACACACTTGTCTTTTTTGAGGAGGGAACCACTTTAAATAGATGCCACTTATGGGTGATTTGTTTTAACTTGTTCAACTCTTTCTTGAATAATCATCAGAGTAAGAGGAAGTTGGAACTGAACTCATTTCGGTTGTGCTTCAGTTTGAGCTCTTATCTGTATTTTCTGGTCACAAAGAAATCTCTAAGACTCCAGGTATGTGCAGAAAGATTGAGCTAGTATACTGTTTACTGAAGAAATTTTTAGTATCATTGTGCTTCATGAATAAAGAGGTATGCCATGTACGGCCAAAATTCTGTCACAGGTTCTGGACCATCGTATTGATTACCATTCTTCTACTCAGCTGCAGCAACCCACATTGAATTTACTTGGTTCTCTTCTTAGTTCTGTGACAACTTCTCTTGAAAGAGCAGCAGAGGAAAAATCAGTACTACTTAATAAGGTCTAGCATCATTAACATGAGTGAAAACTTTTTTTCCCAGTGTTGCTTTTGGCTCCTTTTTTATTCATCAATTAAAAATGATTATTATATTGTGGTCTTGCAGATTCGAGATATAAATGAGCTATCAAGGCAGGAGGTAGATGAAATTATCAACATGTGTGTCCGGAGAGAAGGTGTACCATCATCTGAAGACATACAGAAAAGGTTTTTATTGTTTGTTTTGTGCTTCTTATTGTGTGTCTTGTGCAGTAATTTTGTTTCTATTCTCCTGCCAAATATTGCTTTCAATATCTCAGTAAAAGTGCCATTAATTTTATAAATGATAAATAATATAGTAACGAGTTCCTCAATAATTCTGTTACCAAACCTAGCTTTCATCTTGTTGGCATGTAATTGGGTTTAAAATCCTAGCACTTAATAACAGCATAATAATGGAAACAAATAACTAATAATGTAGACCATCCTATAGAAAGATGCTTTATCATTTGCAAAATGAAAGGTCAATAATATGTGTGCATAAAATGCAATGGCAGCAAATTCACTCAGTGCACTTATCAACATTTAGTTTTTCATAATGCTAGGATTTTTAAAAATAGCTCCATAAAATGGAGTTATCTAAGGATCTATGCAACATTCTAAATCAAGTTAAAGATATTGACTTTTGAATACAGACAATCCATCTTAAGCAATATAAATGCTGTTCATGCCAAATAGGTCATCATGCTGAGGGTTTGATTGGATTAAAAATCCTCAATCTCTTATTGGCAGGTTACATTGGCAGTTTACATGTGTTTTTAGACATTTGCTTTAATGTCTAATAAATTGTCAACCTCCCCCTTTGTGCCATCATTTGTTAACTACTGAAGGGTTGTGTTAACCAAAAAAAGTGCATTGTTGTAGGCCTTATTTAATTGCTCAGACAAAACTCATTGACAATATAAAATTTAAGGGGACATTGCTTGTTAACTGCCATTTCCAACTCTTTTAGGGAGGTCCGTGTCCGTCTTCTTTCTGCTTAAAGGTCTCTGTTGTCATCTGCTTCCTAATAATATTTCAGTTGTGACATGAATTCGAATGCTGTCATTGTCCTGTAATTGTAATTTAGATTTATTTATTGTTTGGTTACAAGATTGTTACATGTTCTTTCAATGGTTTTCCGAACTGGTAATATACTTCATTGGCCATTGGTCTTATTGGTTATTCTCGGTGTATTTAAACTTGTGATTGCATATGGATGAGGTACATAATGATAGTTCTTCATGTCTTGCAATAAAAAAATTTGACTAATGAAAGTTGATCATCAGTATCCTCTCAACTGGATTTTTGTGACTTTTCATAAATCTTTAATGTGGAATATCTTCAAAGGTATTCAGATGGGAGGTTGAACTATCATGGGTCATCTTATTTTGCAGGCGATATATTGCAATGGTGGAAATGTGCCAGGTAGCTGGCAACAGAGAGCAGCTAATTACCATGTTACTTCCACTAGCAGAACAAGTGCTAAATGTTATTCTCATCCATTTTCAAGACAGGTGTGTTTTTTTATTTTTTCTTCAATATTCTCTCTTTGTCCAGTCTCCTTGTACATTGGGCTTTGGTTTGGGAGGCTCCTGCAAAGTGTTGCTGTATGATAAGTTGTAGTTTCTATTGTACAAAATGGTGACCAAGCATACTTTTGGCATCATGGACTTTGGAAAGGGTTTGATATATGTAACATGGCCTTTGCACTGTGAGGAGGCTGTTTCTGTGATTTCAAACCTGACTTCCCAGTTACAATGATGCAATATCAGCATTACATCTAGTCTCTCCCTTCAGCTACTATTTTACTTCAGCTAATATATTTTGTTGGTGGGCTTGAAATTTGCACCGACACATGAAGCCCTTCTTACTATTGCTAAGGTTGACTGGTTGGTGGTGGTTGTCGGATTAGTTCATGATTTTGCCCTAAAGTTGTCTTGATTTGTGGTGTTTGTTTACAGCTCTGTGACATCTGACACTGATGGAGCTTTGAAAACAATTACATATGGTGCAAAATCCGACTCAGAACAAGACACTTCTTTGTTGTGTGGAAAATTGGTTCCATCTTTAGAACGACTTGAGCTAATAAGTGAGGTATGCTGCTTCCTCAAAGATTTTTGAAGCTTATAGATCAGTGTGCTTTCTAATTGCTCATATTGATCTGTTGAAAAATAATTTAAACGAAGGGAGTGGGTGTAGCAGTTGATTATCAGATGTGTGTACTTGTCTTTTTAAGTAGAAAGGGAAAGCTATTCATTGATGGATGCTTCTTTAGGTGTTCCAAACAAAATTCTGGTAGAAAATTTTTTCTTGCCCCTGCCATTTTTTGATTAATATTCTCATTTTTGTGATAAAATAGCACAACATAGCTCATGCCGAAAGGTACTTCCGGCTGCTCTCCTTAGTGCAAAAGTTTCAACTCCTTACAGTTCTTAGAAAGGAATGCTAGAACTATAAAATTGAAGTTTCGGCACATATCAATACTTTAATGAGGCTATGATCTGATTGTTTTAGTTTGAATTGGTGACAACTTCACACACCAGTTACTTATTATGCTCTTATATTATAGTTTTCTGGATTTGTTTATATATTTCTTTATTATTTTTAATGGTTGTTACTTGTTATCACAGGATAAAGTTGGCCGTCCACTTAAAGTGTTTCGTAGATTGGTGACATCACTCAAAGAATTGGCGATTCAGAGGCTCTCCTTGTGAGATTCTCTTAGGCTGGGATTAATGAGCATAATTATCATTTTTTAACTCTGTAAATTTTAGGTGGTCGTACTCCGAGAGTATCAATGTTGTCCAGAAACCATGTCAGCTTTGGGCATGGCTGTTGTAAAATGAACAATAATTATTTGTTGAAAATTTTGCTTTCCTTAATCTGTGCTCAAAATTTTCGCCTTAGTAGACAGATTTCTTTTTTATCCCTTGAGTGAGTAATCTGTGGGGAAGATGATTGAATTAGTATATTTTTAAAATTACAATTATTATTCAATCAAATCGACCCAATTACCTCTAACTAAAAAATTTGAATTTCTAAGAAGGAAAAATTAAACTGAATCAAATAGGCATGAATTAAATTGAAATATTTTGATATTATTAGTAAAAAAAAACCGAAATAATTAATATCTAACCTTCCTAAACCAACCTATTTAGTGGAAAGCTGAGTTGAATATATCTAAATAACGTCATTTTAGTTCGGTTTGAATTAAAATTTGCTAACTTTACAAAAATTGGTTGTTTGATATATTTGGTTTTCTTGATGAAAATTGAATTGAAATTGATTAATCGAATTTCAAAAAAGCAAAATTGAATTAAATTGATTTGGTTGAACTGTCTAATTGAATTGAACTGAACCAATTTGGGTTCTATTGTTTGGTTGATTCTGTATTTTGTTTTGAACCAAACGTGCTCACCTTTATTTTTCGCAAATTGCTGCAATTTAAACTTTAGATAAATGAATATTCTACAGAGAAGCTTACATGAAATTAGAAGTGGTCAGCTTACATAAAATTAGGGGTGGGTGTGGTTTCTTCGGTGAACTGACATTTTAGGTCCTTAAAAAACAGAACTTGATAGGTCTAATTAGGCATTATCAATACAATGAACGACGATTAAGCCCTTCATCAAAGTCACGAATTAAACCAAATTTTATAGACTACATACTTCTTTACCCAAAATAAAAAATTAAACACAGAAATTGATAAGCTTGATTAATTTTGTTTTATTCAAAAGGATCCTAAACTATATGAATTGAATTTAACAAACAAAAGTTGCAAACTAAAATTCCCGGGTTCACTTGAGTTGAGCCTAGTAAGGCCAAAGTGCTAAATGACATTAATACCCCCAGTATAAAACGTGTGAAACTCGCAGGACAATTCTAATCTAGACTTCCCCTTACTAGATCCAATCTCTCAATTCAAAATACGGAATCACCATTTCCGTGGATGCTCCGAGCTCGCCCTTTTCCAGTTTGACACAAAACTCTCCATCTTCAGATCCCATCTTAGTGTTGCCGGAAAATTCTACACTTTCTTAGGAGAGTCCATATTTTAACACTGAAACAGCCAAATTTTCCCGGAAAACTTCCATGGCAAATGGCTGGAAAAGAGAAACCAAACACCCAAAACTTCTCTCTTCCAAGCCTCTTCTCCTCCTCCTCTTCCTCACTATCTCTCTTCTCTTCTTCTTCTTCTTCTTTTCCTCTCGCTCTCCATCAAACCCAAATCTCACATCTATTTCAAAACCCATAATCCAAACACAAATCCCAAATTACCCAATCCCTCCCTACGATTGCCTAAAATCCCCACAGGCCTATCCAGTAGTTGCCAATACTGTAGAAAAACTCAAGTACCCATTTTTATTCTCTCTCTCGGATTTCGGGTCATTACCCGATAAGCCCCATAAGAACATTGTGAGGCTTCTAAAAGGAAAGCCCTTCAGGAAACCGGATATATCGGCAACAATTCAGGGATTGTTGGAAGGGATGAAAGGGAAAAATGGGTTGGTGGTGGATGTAGGCGCCAATGTAGGTATGGCGAGTTTTGCTGCGGCAGTTATGGGATTTAGAGTTTTGGCATTTGAACCAGTTTTTGAGAACTTGCAGAGGATTTGTGATGGGATTTGGTTTAATAAAGTTGGGGACCTAGTCACTGTTTTTGAAGCTGCTGTTTCTGACCGGATTGGGAATATTACTTTTCATAAGGTAATGGCTTTTAGCTCAACCTTGAGGTTCTTGGTTTAACTAGGTGGTTGAGAATATGGAATTTATAAGAATATTATTTTTATTTTTATTTATTTATTTCTTTTGAGAGAAGAGAATGCTATTGTCAGGAAGTATGGTTGGCTAGTTAACAGTGTTCTAGTTAGAATTCATTCGAGTATGATACTACCTAAAGTGCAGAATTCGATTGAATTTGATATAGTTGGTCGTTCGTATAATTTGATAATTGAAATTCATTTATCCTCCACTTCCTAAACTACCCAAATTCACACACCTTATAATATAGGAGGTTTATATAACAACATAAATGTTGTCATTGATAAGCACATACTAAACTTTAAAATTAATATAAATGTTGTGTTAATTTTGTGGAATTCATTTCAAGCTCTGTCAAATTTAATAGAATTTGATTAGTTATAACCAATTCCATGGAATTGAATTGTAAGTGTTTTCAAACCAAACACATAAAACATGAATAATTGAATGCCATCAATTTTTATGGAATTCATTTAAACCAAACAGGCTGTAAGATTCATGTTTGAATGGCTATATGGTTGGGTGCTTAGCTGCATTTACATTACTGATTTGATATCAGTAAGCTTTGTTTTACACTATGCTGGATTTATTTTTCTCTTATGCTTAGTTATCATCATGGAATGAAGTCATTAGCAAAGAAGATAACCTTATGTAATGTAAATTGTTGCTCTTTCTGAAGTAATTAAGTGCTAGTGTTCATTTATAGATTGGTATTATTGTCTTCAATCTGAAGTAATGGTTCTGATTTTACAAACCTCAAAGCCAAGCCAAGGGTATTTAAGATTGTCTTGGTCAATAAATTGGAAATAAAGTTTATTGACTGAAATGCGAGGAGTCAATATGCCAATAGCTACTAGCTAATTTGATGAATGATAATATAGGGTAAACTTTGTTGGGTATGCATGGTTTTGGAACTGTTTAGGAGAAGGTGCACATAATTTTGGTTAATGTACTATTGATTTTCTGCAACATCAGAAGAAAATTTTTCTTATAAAAAATTCAAGGTCATTAATGCAGTTTTGATCCTTATATTATTGATAGTTTGCTTGTTTGCTAGATTAAGAAATTAGAGTCTCTCTTAAGTTGCATCATGTCAATCTATTTCTTCTATCTTCTGTACTAATCATTATAATCTGTCTTAATGCCTCCAGCTGGTTGGCCGACTTGATAATAGTGCTGTTTCAGCCACTGGTGCAAAGCTGGCATTCAATTCCAATGAAGAAATAGCTGTTCAAGTGAGGACTATTCCCCTTGGCGAACTAATTCCAGACTCAGAGCCAGTGCTTTTGCTCAAAATTGATGTTCAGGGCTGGGAATATCATGTATTGAAAGGAGCCTTAAAGTTACTGTCAAGAAAGAAGGGTGAAGCTCCATACTTAATCTATGAGGAAGATGAACGTTTATTGCAAGCCAGCAACAGCAGTGCCAGAGAAATCCGGGACTTCCTAAAAAGTGTGGGATATTATCATTGTAACCAGCATGGTACAGATGCTCACTGCACCAAGGAGTAATGAAGGTGGTGAAATTTGCCATGGGGAAGAAACGTAGCTGGAAGACTCGGTTTCCACATCTTTATTTTTGAGAAACGAAATGAGTTTGGCTGCTTGGCTTCAATGCGTGATTCTTTTTCATTTTTGCTCTTCCAAAGAATTATGCGTAGCGTGTGGTGAGCCAATGATACCACTGCTTCAAGACTTCAAATTATACGAGTTAAAGGGGGCTATACTTTGGATCCAAGCGTTGCTGGTGTTACAACTGCCAAATTTAACTCATGTAATTACACTCCTCGAAGAGCTGCTTGTGGAGCCCAGATTACAGAAAACAAAAACCTTGTCCAGGTTAACAGCCAGTAAATTTTTTATTCAGATTTAGTGTGCAAATTCAAGCTTCTTGATTGTAACTTTTCCTGGTCATGTTATTTGCACAAGTATATTCTTCAAAGAGAAAATGTTATAACCCTTTGACCTCTATTATGGGAAACTGAATAGATTACTAGCTGAAAGTGTTGATAGTAGGATGGTATAATCTTTACCGTTCTAGGGGGCTTGCCATTTTTTATAAATGCTAAAACAAGCGAAAATCTATGCACATACTCATTGCTTGTTGGAATTGGAAAATTCCCCTATTGTCTGAATCAAAAGAAAGGAGCTGAAAGCCATTAGATTGGAAAATACTTGCTTTGTCTGTTTACTCAAAATAAGATAAAAGAACAGTTATCATCATAACAAATTAAATGATCAAGTGATCATTCTCAGGCTTCTGCACATGAGAAGGCAAAATACAATTGCACCAACGGTTGAGAATTCCAGCAACCTCAGCAGGAACACATGAACAATCACTATAGATAATCTTTGCTATTAACGGCAATCGAGGGTGTAAAATACACAATTGCACTAGTTAAAATTGCTCTTGAATTCAAATTTAAGATACAGTTGATGCAGTAGTGCAGCATATGGTGAAAAATATGTACAAAATCAAGCTTTCCATTAGAAGCAGCAAATATACTTTTACCCTGCAAGAAAAATGATAAAGAGAAGTTGCATCACTATGGAACAATTTGCACAATCGATAACTAGAAATTTATAGCATAGCTTTAATTGAATAAATATACTATAATGTTTTAAATATTCTACCACACCTCATTGAATCTCATATCGATTGTTGCCACCATGAACACTGAACTTTTAGGATTGTTTTGGTCCGCTAGTTTTTGAGGGGCCAGCTCTCTCCACCATTACATCATAAAGTTGCTTACCATTCTATGAGCAAAAGAACAGTCAGAATTTAGTAAAAGAAATAGCCCAAGTCACAGATATTCTTTCTAAACATCAAATCTTTTCTTTAATTCTGTTCTCAGTTTCAAATATATAGGAACCCAATTGCATTTACAACTAGAGGCGAGCAGCACAAGCTGCTATGTTCAGGTTCTGATGATTACTTACAAAAATTACTGGGAAGAAGTGCACTTGTCCTTCAGGTTTTGTTTGAGTCTCTTTAAAATACACCAAAATAGGGAAATTTGGCCACCACAATTCCCAATTTACAAATGTTGAATATCTGTAAAAATAAGTAGGTCAGTAACTAATTATTCATTGAATTTAGATGGAGCACAGAGAGTGTACTTACTTCCATCGGTTTTTTCCACCCACAAATACATTTTCACCTGAATCCTCAAGCTGTTCTCCTACTTTGACTTCCTATGCGACCACAGGGATCATATATTATGGGGCAAATTTAAATGCAGTTGAATCAACAATTAACAGGAATAGAAAATGCTAAATAGCAGATATTCATTGTACAAGTCCAAATTAAAATTCCTTAAGAGATAGAGGACTCAACTGTTGAGCCAACCAAAAGTCATCTTTATAACTAAACAACTGAGAAAATTTTAGGAAAATAATGCCGAATTATATACGAGTGACAAATTATGAAAATTTTATCTCTGTATTCAAAAGGGAAATTTAGTGAACTAACCAGAGCTTCATCGTCAAAAACAAATCTCACTCTTGTTGTCTGGAAGAAAGGAACAAATTATTAGCATGTATCGCAAAAAGTAGCAGATGCTGAGCTGCCAACAGATGAAACTTGTTCAAGGAAATTTAAGGAAAAGCTTAAGAAAAAAGATTGACTGGTATGAAATTTTTTTGTCAATACATTATTGATTGAAAAATCTACATCAAAATGATATGTGATGAGGAAATAAGGCATTGTTGTCTCCCAAAAACGAATTTCCAAATCAACCAGATAGGGAATGTCATGTCATCTCGAATCCACAATGCTTCTCAATTTTCTCTCAAGGACAATTTCTGGGTCAGTTAACATCCAATCCACAACGCTTCTAAATTTTCCTTCAAGGTCAATTTCTGGGTTAGTTAACATTTCGGGCATTAGTTGCAATGAGGTAAATGTGTTTCACGACAAAGGAACCGGACCAGAAAGAACTTCTCAGAATCACACTTTGCCACTTCAAATGAGTGGCATTAGCCATTAACGCAGCATTGAAACCTGCTGAAACAGCCTGGCATCATTGCTCCAAAGCTCTGATGCTCGAACCTTTTGAAATCGGCCTGCTGAAGCATTTTCTGTCCCAGCTGTGCGGCTAACTCCGCATTGCAATTGTGTTTGGATACCAATTAAGTAAATTTGCAATATCATTGCCTCTTGAGTGACTTGGTTGTGAATCATTCTTATCCTCAGGACCTCTCACCTTGTCCATGATGAAGAACCAATGCCCGAAATTAACCTTGAGAGAAAGTTGACAGGTTGGGTCATTAGACAATGTGAAAAAACTTTATATTGAAGCTACCTGCAATAATAGGAGCAATCCAAGCAGACCAACAGGTGCAGCTGGCAAAAAATTATTTGTATATGCTAATCCACCAGCAAAACCTGTTTCCTCATAAAAAATTTATTAGAGATGAAAAAGAATATAGTAAGCAAGAGCAACCGAGCAAGCACTGAATGCAAGGTCCACAACGAATTTCTATATAATTAAAATAGTTAAAATAGGAATTTGCAAATAATTGCAGTTGGGACTTGGGAGGTGTGCTTTGAATCTTTGCAGTTTTGTTCTCTAATGTGAATTTTATTTTCATTCATTAACATTACTCTATACATATTAAAAACCGAAAAAACATTGCCCATTTGCAAATATTGATACATACATTGCATATGCATAGCTGCAGATATGAATAAATACAGGTAGAAAAACTGTCCAAGTCTGGATACACATGCATCAATATACAAAATTCATGAAATGCTATAGTTCTTTGGTTTAATAGTCACTATCAACTAAGAGAAGAAATTATGATCAGAAATGCACTACTTATACAGATATGTAGTTCAGTTCAATTTGATTTTATAGCTCTCCCCTCACATTACAAAGTAAAAAATCACCAAATAAAATCCCAATCAAGAGATTCAAAATAGAGCTCTTATGTACTGACCGAGTAGGACAATTGGTATCCGGTAATCTGGCTCCGGAACAACTGTCTCTCTCTTTCTTACCTTTCGTCCAAGCTGCGCAAAACAAGAAAATTTCATATAAAAAAAATTCAAGAACTACACCAAAATGGATGCAAATCCATGTCCTAAACCCATTAATTCAATTATCTATAAGCACCTAAAAAAGCTAATTCACCAATTTATGCAAAATTCAAATTGTCTGAGCATCCATTACAATCTTTATTTCCTAGAACTCAAGTTGCTAATTGACCTTAGGTCAAGCACAGGTCTCTCTTGATGGCGATGTCAGTGTAATTAATGTAAGCAGCAGAAATGAAATTCAAGTAAAGACAGAATGGCAAAGAATTGCAAACCACTGAGGTAATGACAAATCTGTGTCCATGGATTCTCTTAATCTCTCTCCTTAAGAAACTTTGACTACAAATCACTTTACCATAGAAGGAACTCTTCAAATTCACCACAAGTCTAGTCCCTACTTTATCTGCATGAAAGAAAACTTTAACAAGTTGCAATAAAAAAATGATAAACATAAACAGATTAAAATTAAATACCCAGACCCATAATTATTTTCATAGCATTCCTACAAAACATAATCAGGGAATATTCTTCAACCAGGAAACAAAGATTCTTGCTAAGCTTTGGAAGTAATTACTATTTGAAGGGAGAAAGCAAGCGGTGGATAACAGAGCAGTAGCCATATTTTTTTGCTTTCTACTTTTCAGAAACAATCTCTCTGGTTTTTTTTTTCTGTTTTTTGACTAGCACTTTCTGCAAATTTGGGTCAAATGATTTATTGACATCAATGCCCTTGTTTCTTGAAGACAATACTGTTTACAGAGAAGGGCATTTAAGTAAAATAAAAGGGAACGGTTGTCTTCTTTCTTTCGAAACTAATGAAGCCTTATCTGGTTAGTAATATATGAGCGTTCATTACCACCAACAATTGAAACGCGCACAGAAACAGAGTTTCGCTCTCTTTTGACTGTCTTTAGTTAAAGATTTTATCTTTCTGCTCATATATCATTCAGAAAAGAACCCAGATTTGCATTTCTCTTTAAAATGGTAAACACTTTATGTTTTACCCCTGTTTGCTCCTTGGTTTCTCCAAACAAACCAGGTATTTCACTCTACAAAATCTCTATTTCTGTCTCTCTATCGAGCTTTACTGTATCTAGTATTCTTTATATGCAATTTTTTTTATTATGCTTTATTTTGTGATGATATTAGGAGTAATTCTTGGGGACTCTGTTGCTGGAAAGGTTCTTCGAGTGGGCAAAATTTTCCAAAGCTCTAAAAGTAGTAAATTTCAATCGTTGGAGGCTAAGGTGAGTGCTTGTCAAAAAAAAAAAAAAAAGGTTTTTAATTCCGATAATAAATTGAATTAAAAAGGAAAATAGATTCCATGCAGTATGTGATGTTGCTTGGTTTAGATGACTGGAATAGTTTGATAACGGGCTTTTGTACATTTTCTAATTTTTCATGAATTCCATTGTTTGGTAAGACTCTGTTGGTTGACTTAAAATATGTGATATTTATGTTGTGTGAGGCAAAATTAAGGGAGGACATAAGGAAAAGTTGGAGACAAATTGCAAGGGATATGAATGATTATTCTGATATTTATTGGATTGAAGTAGTAATATAGTCAACCGCTTCCATTTGTGAGCGGGCGGCAGGCTTCAATCTGCGAAGAAGGGTGCAGGCTGGGTGGGCCAAGTAGTTGGAAATTTTGGCATTTTTCAAATCCAGGTCCGGCCATGAACAAGTCAGTCTAGTGGCAATCGAAGAGGAAGATATTAAGACAAAAATGATGTGGATTGTGGTGGAGTAATTATGAAACATGATTGTTTGATGCCTATTTGTCAAATCCAAGAAAAATTTGTTCATATAGTTAATTTTCAACATATTTCAAGGCATGGACGCTAAGATATTATTTACTGATCATTGCATCTTTATGGTAGTGGATGGGTAATAGTAATGGCAAAATTAGCCTAGTAGACTAGTTGTTTGCAAGAAACATCATGTTTTTGCTACTGATAAATTCTGGGGTCAAATGGCTAAATTATTTAAATGGGTCTTTAAGGGAAAAGTTGGTGATTCATGGAATAAATTTAGGTTAAATAAATGGTTAAAAGTTCATATAACAATTTCAAATGAGATTGAGATAAGGCTCACTAGAATTGATGATGCATGAAAATTTGAGCTTCCCGTTTTTCCTCTATTTCTATGTAATTTCCCATGAAAATTAATTTACTTTTCTGTTTTTATGCCAGGCTGCAGGTGGTAATAAAGGCACAAAACCAAATAGCATAGTTTGCGCTGACTGTGATGGAAACGGTGAGCTCAAAACCCATTTGTTTTAGCTTTTCCCTTCGTGACTTTAACTTGTGTTTGATAAGTGAGAGATGAATGCTTTTCATTTATAATTGCTGGTTGTACATGGCCCTACTGAAACTTCCATCTTCACATGCTTCTCCAAAGGCAGTTCTGTACTCATTGTCTAGTTATGCATTACTTAGATCTGCTGATGCTAATCCCTGTGAAAGGTAGGGGATTCATTTGTTGGAGTTTACTTAGAATTGTTGACCAGCAATGTGACATTTCTGATGAATTCCTTGATCTGATTAGAGCTTTCAATGTGTTAACATATTTAAGGGTATTTAACCCTTTTGTTCCTCGATCTGATTGGAGCTTTGAATTTGTTAACATACTGTACCTTTTTAATAAGGTAGACTTTTCTGCTTTTATCGCAAAACTCTCTATGGTCAAACGGTGCTGCTAATATATCTTTCCAATCATCCAATATTTGTCCATGATTTATTAAATTTCACGCATGAATCGAGCCAATTATTTCCAATATTCTACACGAGTTTTCTTTTCGATTTAGAAAATCATTCTTTCTTGATAAAACAGTGAGAAAGAATTTCAGTTCACATTAGTTTGACTGTTCCTGTCAAAATACCAGGTGCTAAAATATGTTCCCAATGCAAAGGAACTGGTGTCAATTCTGTGGACCACTTCAATGGACAGTTCAAAGCTGGTGGATTATGCTGGCTCTGCAGGTACTTTATCAATATTTTTTTCCCCTTCCCTTTCTTTTATTGTCCTCCAACATCTAAGTCATAATCCTAAACAAATTGTGTTGGGCTATATGAATCTTTTGTCTCGATTCTATACTGAAAAACTAAGCACATTCCTACTTATTTTATTCCTGATGGTATGCAATGAACTATCGACAAAACACAACAGTGAAGTTTTTCCTATATATTTTTTCTGAAATTGCAAACAAATGTAACATAAATTTGCTTGCTCTTGCGTTGCAATCTTGACTTTTTAAAACATGTATTTCCTTGCAGAGGTAAAAGGGATATTCTCTGTGGAAGTTGCAACGGAGCTGGCTTTCTCGGTGGATTCATGAGCACTTTTGATGATTAAAACTCTCATCTCATGAGATCAAATCTTAAGTGAGTTGCTGAACTTCAAAAATACGCATCCGATTATTTTTCTATGTTTTGTATTTTGTTAATGAAGAAACGCTTGTTAGACTGAAAAGTTTTGTATTTTGATTATGGGGCAACCTAATTTCCTTATGTTACTCGAACAAAATAACAATTAGAAAAAGTTCGAATTTCTTCTATGATTGTTGTCATTATAGTTGATAAGTTTGTTCTGTTTAAGTTCTAGCTTATAAGAATTCCAACATTGGTAGCTTCTGTTAGTCATTGATCCTACATTAAATATCATTAAGGATTGATAAAAACATCCTTAATGATATTAAACATCCTTATTGAACTTATGAATTGATAAAAATATCATTAAAGATTTTAATTTGATTGATTGAAAAAATAAAGGTAATTTAATTTTGATTGGTATATTAATTTCTATTGTATAAATTAATAAATTATATTATATACATAAGATATATACTAAATATGATAAGAATATAATATCTTCAAAGATTTTAATTTTATTGGTCGTAAAAATAAAAGTAAATTTTATTTTGATTGGTTATATTATACAATATAAGGTACATATTAAATATGGTAAGAATATATTATATTTAATTAATCTTTAATTTAATTGGTTATTATATTTCCTTTCCGTGACTTAAAATAAATGTAAGTTATTTCCGGTTATAATAAGATTTCTTGTTTGATAGAAAATAGAATATAAATTCATTAAAAATTCAATTTGGTTGATAAGTAATTTTATTTTCATAAAAATTTTGTTGTCAAATTATAATAATATTTTATACTGTAGACATGTTATTTCCTTAACAAATTATCTGATTATTAAAATTTTTTATTCTATTATTTCATAAAATGTTATTTTTTTCTATTTTGTTAAATTTTTAATATTATAAATTATTATTAAAAATTTTTTTATTCCTATTATATCATAAAATGTTTATTTTTTCTATTTTGTTAAATTTTTAATATTGATAAGAATTATTTTCATAATATTATAAATAATAATTTATTAAGAAAAAACTAGTACTGAAATTATATATAACACTAATAGAAAATTATATATAAATTAAATTGCATTTATTACATTTTAAAAATTAATAAATACAAACAACAAGCGCCACATTTGGGGAAAAAATCGTATAGATAAAAAAACATGGAATGATCAATTTATAAGAAAAAACTAGTAGAAATTATATATAAACTAATAGAAAATTATTTATATAAATTAAATTGCATTTATTAACATTTAAAAATTAATAAATACAAACAACAAGCACATTTGGGAAAAAATCGTATATAAAAAAACATGAAATGATCACCAATTATCATGAAACACTTACATCTCTCTAATTGGGTTGACAAGTCAATATAAAATAAATAAATAAAAACAAAAAATCGATTATTTTTATTATATTAACCAAAAGCAGACGACATAAACAAAAATTAATATATTGTCGTCATCTACATGATTGCAGGGAGAGAAGCACGACGACGACGACACTGATTAAACCCATACCAAACTCCATTTGGAAGGGCTAAATCATAATAGAAATTAACAGTCTTAATATGTGAACCGCTGATCTTCACAGTCTCAGGTTTCCAGCCGTCCGATCCTTTCCTACGCAAGTAAAGATAACAAATATCATACATGCACGGACCATTTATCTTGAAAGTTTCTGAAGAACATCTCTCAAATGTTCCTGATGATGGATCATCAAGCCTTTTCAAGTACACCTACAAAGAAAGAAAATTTGTTAGATACTCATTAATTATAATCCTTTATTCTTTTCTGGGTTTATGTTAAATACTTAAATTTGTTTGGTTCCCGAGAAAACCGAGTCAAAAGGAATGTTTTACAGTACACTAACCTCGTTGCCATAGGAATCGCCAAATGCAAGACTGATTTGGTCTCTGGTGTAAGATGGAGAGGAGCAGCTGGTCTTTATTACAACTGTATAAGAACAGCTTTTTGCAGATTCAATTTTGATTTTGGGGTTGAAGGATTTGAGAATATGAGGATTTGGAGAAGAAAGAGATCTAGCATATGTAGGTGGAAATATTATGTAGATGAAGACAGAGAGGAAAAGATATGAGACTGGTCTCATCATTTCTTTTTTGTCACTCTGCTGGTTGGACTTTGGAGCAGCTAGGTTCATCTTATCAACACTAAATATATTTATATATATGTAATAATGTATATGTGTGGTTGTTAGAGATTTAAAAAATAGAAAAATATATAAAATTTCATCCTAATCTGACAACAAAATAATTCAAATCAAATGAGATCTGAGCAGTCTGTTTTCGTCTTTTCCTTTTCGAAAATAGTCAATAGTATTATTTCTATTTGGATCCATTGGACTTGTCAAAGTATAACAAACAAACCAGTGGGAAAAATAAATGAATGGGTTGGAGTTTCTAAATTAGCAGTGATTTTGTTAATGTTTTTGCAACGGCCCATCCAGGCAAGCAGTGCTAATTTAGAAATGGGCTATGCTTTAAAGAGACTTAATGCCTAAATCTAATTGCAAGTCCACTGAAACTTTGTAAGCTTAAATGTTAGAACCGGCAAAGGCTCTGGTAATTTAGAAACGGGTCCGTTAGATAGCTGATAGTTGTGTTAGTAACATTTAGTTAATAGTTATACGTAAAAGGCTAAAAGCTTTATATGAGTTAACTTTTTAAATTTTAGAAAACGTTATTTTAATATCTAAACGTTACTTCAAATATTATGTTACCAAATACTATAAAAACAACATTTAGAGTCTGATTTGTTCGGCAAAATTAGCTGTTTTTAGTAACAGTTAATTGTTTTAGTAGCATTTAATTGTTAGCTATTTGAGTAGTTTTTTATGAAACACTAAAATCTAAATGTTATATAAGTTAACTTTTTATAAATTCTATAAGTTAACTTTTTATAAACACTACTTTAACCTTTAAAAGTTAGTTCAATATTATGTTACCGAACACTATAAAAAATAGAATTTAAACTGATAAAAATTATTTAAAAAGCTGTTATCAGACACAACATTAGCATTTCTGATAAAAAAGCTAAAAATTACTTCAAAAATTATTGCAGTACACAGCGATGTGAAACGTTGATTTAATAACTCTCCGGTAATAAAGAGTTTTCAAACCCAAATCATTTTGTTCAAGAAAGAGAAAAAGGAAAGTAACGAGTTATATACATATCCACATTCAGTGCCCCTTTTAGATGGATGGTCGGGCAATAAGTAATTAATGAAAAGCCTAGACGCCATGTCCCTATCAACTGTATGGTCTGAAGTTAAAGAGCCAAAGTGCATTTAGATTCTGCCAACTAGGCCTATCCAGACCATTTTTTGCTTTATTTTTATGTTCCACCAGCACAAGGTACCAATTAAGCAGTTAATGGTTCCATTTTCTGCTTCATTTAGCTAAAAAGGCAAAGTAGGAGCTTAAAACAGATAGAAATCACAGTACTACATCCTGAAAATGAGCCGTGTTTTCAGTAAATACAGAAACCGAATGAAAAGCTTTCATTCTGCAATTCTGTGGCTTTTGTAAGCTTCATCCTGAAAATGAAAAGCTTTTGGAGAATTAGTAAAGAGCAGTATGATGCCTAGATGGACTTACATTTTAGAGAGCTTCTCGATCCTGAAAGAGAACTGCTTTTGCATCTGAATTTCTTTGGCTACTACAACCTGCTCGAGTAAAATATGCAAGCTCCAATCAACATCTGCTGGAGGACTCTGCTTGTCTTCACAGCAACATACATTCCAGCCTGCAACTATTTCCTTGCGCTTGATAGCAAATAAAATTTCTGCCATTTAATGTTTTCTTTCACTTCTCAAACGCAACTCATCCACAAAACAATGCTTCAGGCAAAATAATGACAATTCAATATTGAGCTAATGCAACCCTTCGATGACAAACAAAAATATTTCATAATGGCTCAACCAAACTTCATTCTTAAATCTATTCATGTGTAAAATTAAAGTTGTAATGTACAGAACAGCAGTTTCATTTCATTGAAGAATAATACTATAAGGAAAAACAAAATGTTTTTCAATATGAACATTAGTACTTAGGCTTGCGCATCGTTACACAGGATTAAAAGAAGATTGATCAACTATGTACATTATGATATTATCAATCGGAGGATCTCCCCTGAATATTTGAATGACTTTTCAGTTTCTTCCAGACAGTGGTTCTTCTCCTCTCTAGTCCAGCTCTGAGTAATCACATGAACAAAATACATGTATTTGTTAACAAATACTGTAAAACATGGAATAAAAGATCTGTAAAGAATACAAATGTATCCAATGAAAGATTACCATTACACGAGCATAGTGTGAAAATTACCTCAGCAACTTTATTCAACTTGTCCCTAACATTTTGCAACAGTTGGGAAAGGTCACCATCCCATTTATAGAATTCCAACTCCTTGCTATTAAGTATCTTCTCAGCCACCTAACAAAAACGGAACAGGTAAAATGTGAGTAGAGTCCCTCACAACCATTATTGATATTAACCTATCAGGCAGAACACTGAACCACGTAGGCATGCCTTCTAGGCAATCCAACCCCTAAATGACAAAAAAAGATACCTTCCTAATTCATTATAAATCCTTACATCTTATTCACAAGAATTCTCTTAAATGGGGTTGAATATATATAAAACAAAATAGAAAGGCAAATTGATATCAATGTAGTTATTTTATGGGGAGAAAGATGTTTTACAACTCACTCATTACAATATTATGAGCTCATAAGCACTTAGATCTAACCAAGTCTTACACCTCCACATTATGACATAACATTTTTGGACACATCTAAGTTAATAATGGTTACCTTCTTCCCAATCATTCTACCACCAGCAGTATGGGCAAAATATATATTGTAGAAGTGGCAAATAAATGCTTGAGGATCCTTCTCTGACAATTCCTTTAGATACTGTGCATAACTGATACCAGGAGAAGAAGGTTCTGGAATGGCATAGCCTTGTTCTTTGAACCACTCCAAATCTTTTGCCAGGCTTTCAGACCTTTCTAATCCAGTGTTTTTGAACTCAGCATCTATAGCAAAAGAAGGAAATCGTCATCAGCCAAAGTTAATAGTTACATATTGCCAACTGCAATCTATCAATGTGGGTAGAAAGACACAAAATCACGCAACCAGGTTGTGCATAACAACTTGCAAAAATTATATCTAATTTAACCAAGCAAGATCTAATAAATATCTTTAGAACTGAAACTGCTACCTTCAAGAAGCGACAACAAAAACCAGAAAATCCAAACACTGGCAAAACCAACACTGCCAATCCATGAGCAAATGTGGAAAATATATGTTTTTGAATGATTTTTGACATTGAACCAAATGAACATATAGCTCCAAGAATTTCCATTTAGAGATTTCCATATTGGAAAGAACACTGTCGGGGCAAGCATACAAGGACAACGCTAGCCTTTGTCCTATATATTGCAAACTGAACTGAACCAAAAAAACCAGTCTTAATGAAGCTTCACGAGAATTTATAATTCACCATAAAAACCTACTATTAGCAGCATTTATAAGGGACAATGAATTAGAACTTCAAAAATAGCCAGAGACCATAAATATAAGGCCGATTTTCCTACATTACAATGAAATTAATAACACAATCCATTAAGCAATCCAAGAACACCCATCAATCCATACAAGAAAATCAATCGCACCTATAAATTAAGGAATAGCAACTCTTCGTTCAACTAAAAAAACATCCAATAAACCATTAACACAGCCAAAAGTGACAAAATAAGTAAGAGGGTGGGAAGCATATATAAAATTAATAACAGCAATCCATTAAGGCATATTCCAAGAACACCCATTCAATCCCATACAAGAAAATCAATCGCACCTATAATAAGGAATAGAGCAACTCTTCGGTTCAACTAAAAGCATCCATAAACCATTAACAACATGCCAAAAGTGAAACAAAATAGTTAAGGAGGGTGGGAAGCATATATATATATATATTATATATATATATTTATATATATATATATATATAAAGGAGAGAGGGAGAGAAGAAAATTGGTTAGGAAAAAGCAAACTCCAACAAAAAGGAATAAGCTGCTTTTTTCAACATATATATATAAAGAGAGAGAGAGAGAGAATTGTTCAGGAAAAAGCAAACTCACAAAAAGGATAAGCTGCCTTTTCAACAATCGATTCAAGGGCATCATAAACCAACTTGCTATCAACCAAAAACCTCAAATACCCTTCAACTGAAGGCTCCCATTTGGGGACAGCTCGCTCCTCTGGCTTCTCCACCACTTTCTCCCCTTCTTTGGCTTGCTCTCTGGTATGCAACTTCATAGCCACAAATCTCATCTCCTCCACAAACCCTTTAGCCTCTCCTGGGTAACGCTTTCTGGGTTTCTCCGCAGTCGTCGCAGATACAATAGAAGCAGCTTTCAAAGGCATGTTTACAATTCTCAAAGGAACTTGAAATTGAAAAGAAACTCCTTTGGGTACAAAAGCAGATTGGAAATGAACACTAGAAAGAGAAAACCACGAAGATGAAGAAACTTGGAGGTGGGGTTTGTTAAGTAAAGATTGAGATTGAGAAATTGGATTAAGAGAAGCCATTTTTGTCAAATAATTGAGAACAAATAGTATAATATTCAATAGGAAAAGAGTATACGGAACCTCTGAATTGGAAAAAAAGAAAAAACAAGTGAAAATTCAATTCACTGATAAAGAAAAAGAAGACTAACAAGACTGTTTTGGTTTGAAATAGCAGTTCAAGTAGTCTTGAAGACAAAGCGATAGACAAAGAGGGAGTTTACAAAATAATGGAGTATGGGTTACCTCTGTTTTTCTTTCTTTGGTTTGTATATTAATGGACTTTTTATAGTTAAAAATTGTTGCTTTACGGATTTGGATGGATGGTCTGTGATTTGAAGTGTGTCATTACTGGTTAATTCTGTTTCATATATTTGTAAGTGTTGGTTGTTTTTTTATAATTGGAAAATCAATAAAGAAGACGGCGTCGTTTGTTTATATGCGCAAACACAGTAATCTCACGTTTGGTGGATCCAAACGTGCCGTGGAGAATTGTGGAACGATGACAAAATGACAAAAACTCGCGCGATTGCACGCCACCAAGCGGTTGGCCGTTTGCTCCGGCAATTTGTAAAAGTAACACTCATTTTCCTTTTATTTTTCCGATGAGAAAGAAAATAAAACTAAATTGAAAACAGAAAAATAGCCAACTCTAATATGTGGCTACTTCTCCAAAATTGGTAATAATTTTAATAGCAAACACGACTCCAACACATCATCTCACATTTCATATTTTTTACAAAAGGGCGAGAAGATTAATTAAATTATATGTGATTAAAAAATAAAAATATTATTAATTATGATAATACAAAATGAATATCGGGTCAACACAGTTAAATTGCAATTATTTTTTTATTTTTTTCTAATATTGTCTTATATTAATAATCCATCATTTCATGAAAATTTAATTTTTAAAGACGATAATCAGAGAAAAAATAGATTTAGCTAATACGACTATTTCCAAAAAGTTGTTTATATACTCTAAATCATTTGAATGTTTTTTTTTTTGAAAGGTTAATTATTTATTTGAATGTTATTAATTATGGAGTACTAGAGTATTATATTATTGATATAAATGCTATTAAATATGGATAAAATAAAAAATTAAATAAATTATTTACTTCTAAAAGAATTGGACAACAATACAGATAATTAAATAAAAAATGAAAACCAAGCCAACAGTTCAGGAAAAAATAGGTTAAATTTCAAAATTATTGGGATATAATGGGTTTCCAATCCAACACATAAAGAGTGGACTACGGGCCAATCATAACTCTCATGTGTGGGGGGGCTTTATTGGAATCATCTGATCTGGGCTTCGCTTGGCCCGAAATTTGGCTGCAAGTCTCGAGCCCAAACTATGCTCTAGAAAGAAATTAGAGTGCCTGAATCAAGCAAGTCTTTTTTTTTTTTTTTTTTACAATTAGAGTGGCCTGAATCACCAGCAAGTCTTTTTTTTTTTTTTTTTTAAATTTTTGTATTATTTATTTAATATAAATTATTGAATAAAAATATATAAACCATCCATAATTTTTTTTTTTTTTTTTTAATTTTTGTATTATTTATTTAATATAAATATTGATAAAATATATAAACCATCCATAATTTATTATTCGTGTTACTTATTCTCACCTCTTCTTATTTACGTACGAGAAAGTCTAGCACAGAAAATTTTCAACTGGGAAATCACATGTGCTTCAAGAGAGAGAGAGATATTATTTTCAGATCCTGTATTTTTAGCTTTTGAGTACAAATTAACAAATCAGAGAAAATTTTAAAGAAGTAAATATAAATTATGATAAATATGTCAATGCTTGCACCATTGTATAAGATGACAAAGATGATTAGGCCATAAGACGAAGGATCCTTCTCAAATATTCAAATGCCTTTTCAGTTTCCTTTAAGCAATGATCTTTCTCTTATTTGGTCCAGTTCTAAAACAATGTCACAAATAAAAATATAAAACGTATCAGTTATTAAATTATAATTCAAACAAAAAAAAGAAAAAAGAATTGAAATTGCAGTACAATTTACAATTTACAAAGAACTATTATTATAATATATATTATTAAACATGTATATAGCATAATAATAAGTACCTTCTTCCCAATCATTTGACCACCAGCAGTGTGGACAAAGTAAATATTGTAAAAGTGGCAAATAAATGCTTGAGGATCATTTTCTGACAATTCCTTGGGGTATTTTGCATAGTCAGCACCTGCACTAGAAGGTTCAGGAATTGCATACCCTTGTTCTTTAAACCACTCCAAGTCTTTCTCTAAATTCGCAGACCTCTCAAATCCTGTGTTTTCCAACTCCGCATCTATTTATTTATATAAAGAATACTAATCAGTAACGGAAAATATTGCATGAGGAAAAGGCGAAAAGGTGAAAAATGAAATATGAGACAAGCTGATTTTGTAAGATTAGAGATTTAAAACTTAGAGCCGCCAATATCATCTAGCCCGCGATACATCTTCGGTCTTACAAAATTAGTGAATCAAAACTTGTAGATGCGACTGATAGAAGGAGATAGAAGGAGGTAAAAAAAAAAAATAGAAACAAAAACATACTAAAAGGAAAATCAGGGTTTTTCAGGATATCTTCAAGTTCATTGTACACAGACTTGCTGTCAACTAAAAAGCTTATAATCCCTTGAATGGAAAGGCCCCATTCGGACAAGGCTCTATCTTCTGGCTGCTTAATCTCCTTTTGTCCTTTCTCAGAGTGCTCTCTTGTGTGCAGTTTCAATGATGCAGCTTCCATCTCCTCCACAAATCCTGGTCTACTCTCTCCCTTTTTATTTGGTGTCTCGCCTGCTATTACTTCCATTTTTACTTTCCTCTGGGAAACTGCTATAGGTTTGAATTGCAAAGGCATTGAGTGGAAATTGTTAATGTTCGACTGAGAAGCAGGTGCTAATGTGTTGAAGTGGGTACGTTTGTTGAATAAAGGTTTAGCAAGAGGAATGCAGATTAGAGAAAAAGAAGCCATTTCTATTATGTGAGCAAAGAAAATATTTAAGAGTTGCTGCAATTTGAGTGACGAACTTGAGATGAAACTCTACATATATATATATATATATAGGATGGAAAGTTGATTCTTGTTTATTTGGGATTCCAATTTTAAAGAGATATGATTAAATTCATACAATTAATTAAGATGATTAATATGTTGTTTAGTAATTTTAAGTATATTATCATTTAAGAACATGGAATATACGTTTTTACTCGTTATAGTTATTAATTATTTAATTTACAATGTTTTTTGAATAGTTAATTATGAGCATTATAAGTTATTGAGAAAAAGATAAATACGATTGATATTTTCTTATTTAATTATTTATTATTAACTTTGAATTTTATTTTGCTATTACTTTGTGGTGGTAATACTTCATTGCAAATGTCATTATTCGTATAATAATATCAATTTTTTTTTAATGTGATTTGAATGAAAGTAAATGATGTGAAGAACTTTTATATTAATCAAATTTCTTAATTTAAATATTCTAAAAAAGGTCCTAATTTAAACGTAAATTTAAAATCTTCTAATTAATGTAAAAAGAATACCTATGAATTGACCTTTTATTAGTTTATAGAAAAACTTAGTTTCCCACTTAGACAAAAAAAAAAAAAATGACCTTTTTATTAGTTTATAGGAAATTGTTTCCCACTTAGACAAAAAAAAAAAAAGGACGAAAATCTTTTATTTATTAAATTAAAACTACTAATTTAAACATTAATCCAAAAAAATTCCTAAGTTTCAGTATAAAATTAGTATTTTAGCAAAATAATATAATAAAAATATTTTTTGAAGGTATATAATAAAAATATTTAAGAATTGACCTTTCATAATATATATTTTTTTTTTTTTTTTTTTTTTTTTTTCTTTTTTTTTTTAGAAACGAACTCAAAAAGATTGTTAGAAACGACTCAAAAAGATTGTAGTTGTAACAGTTCAAGTCCACAGCTCTTAACCAAGAAAAAGAAATTCTATTAAGTAACAATGATCTTGCTTAACATAAACTTTAATTGGTTCTAAATAACCCTACACATAAACGCCAGAAGCAAGTAGCAGGAACAAGGACCCAAAACCCAGAAAGAAAGATGCCAATGCTCCTGTTACAAGCTCCTTGGCAAGACTGCGGTTTCGCCTAGATGAGGTTGCTTCATAGATGAAGAAGGAAGCGGTGACCACGAGGCCGATCGCGAGCATGGTCACTGCTAGGGATGGATACCATGTGTCCGGTACTGGACTCGTGATCCGTTTTGGAGCCATTGGAGGTGGCGGAGAAGGAAGTAGGTGTCTCTGTCTGAGCTCCGGTCTCGATAGCAGAGAGTGTAGCCACGCGCTGACCTTTCATTAATATATAAAAAAGCTTAGTTTACCGGTTAACGAAAAGATTTTAAAAAATCTCTTAATGAAAAAAAAAAAAAAAAAAAAAAAGAAAAAGATATATACGTTAGCTAGTTTAATAGAAAAATATGGAAAGTTTACTCCCATTTAATCACAAATATCTATACGTAAATTGAAAATAACTTAATATAAATATAAACAAATTCAAATATAAAATAAATTGAAAGTGTTTTTAATTTGTCATGCATAAGGATGTTTTAATATACTCTTAATTTCAGTAAGGATATTTTTGACGACTTAAATATTATTGTCTCTAATTATATATAAAGTTAATGACCTAGTATATCAAAATATCACTTTTCAATTTCACTTTATTTTGATTTTTCTGTCAATTTTACTTAAATTTAGATATTTTGCAGTAATAACATACTCAATTGTAATTAAGTATTAAATTACAAATAAAAAGTATCTTTTCACTCTTCCATTAAAAAAAATTAATAGTAGAAATAAAATTTTCTTTCGTTTTCATCCATTAAATAATATTTAAGTTTAAATATTCGTTAAATGTTAGATTATATTTAGTTTTCGTCCATTAAATAATATTTAAGTTTAAATATTTAGATTTAAGTTTTCGTACATTAATAATATTTAAGTTTAATATTCGTTAGATGTAGATTATAATTTAATCATTCCAGTTCATTAAATAATATGTTAAGGTTTAAATATTCTGTTAAATAATATTTAAGTTTAAATATTCGTTAAATGTTAGATTATATTTAGTTTTCGTCCATTAAATAATATTTAAGTTTAAATATTCGTTAGATGTTAGATTATATTTACATTCAGTGGATGACACATAAGATATGTGTAATTAAAATAATTTAGAATTTATTTATTTATTTATTTATTTTTATTAAATTTTTAATAATAATTTGACTGTATCTTTTTAGATGAGGATGGTTGCCCGTTGTCATCGGATCCCAAGGGAAAACCAACGCAATCCTAGGAGGACGATAACTGTTTTTTTCTTTAAAAAAAAAAAAAAAAACAAATAAGTGCAAAAAGAATTACTAAAAAAATCTTTCAAAAGAAGAAATATGTTCTGAAGTTAGAGTACCTCTCCTCTTAGCTTACCAAATTGCCAAATTGGTGAAAATAAATATGATGAAAATAATTTGAACTCATGATCTCTCACTCCTCACATAAGTGAGAAGACGAACCAAACTACTACCTGATCGGTGGGATATTCTAAAGTTACCAGTGCATTACAAATATTATAAATAAATAGAATATTTTTTGATTAACTTTTATATTCTAATATTAATTCCATTATCCGAATAATATTATTAAAAACATACTACCTCACATCAAATTAATTCATTCAAAAATATTCTTAACATTATTGGATTAATTGACAAAATTAACATTGAGAATTTTCATTTTTATTAGCTGAATTAATATTTTTTGGTGAGTAATATTTTTTTTAAGAGGCCAAAAACTTGGAATAAATCCACTTAATTTATTCACAAGTTATTAATTTGTTCTTCATTTATTTTATTTGTATTTTGATAATTAATTAAGATGACAATGAGCCTTGATAATTAAAATTTGCAACTTGCGAGTTTAGATAATAACAATCGAGGTCAATTATTTGATTATTTAATTTATGCTATCTTGTGACCGATTTATTTTTTTTTCTTGTATGAATATTCTAACAATTATTAGAAATAAAATTTATTAAAATTTTCTCAAATTAATTTTAACTTCTTTTAGAGAAAAATACTTATAATGTTGAAATTAAATTTTCATTAATTTTTTTTTCGAGAAAAATTGCATGTAGTATCATAATAAACCGTTTAATAAGCGGTTCAAGTTGAAATTTTGAATACTAGATTCACCGAACTGACTATACTGAGCTGTTCCATGATTTATTTGTATTATTCTCACATCTTCGGCTCTTCTCGTTACATAACAAAAAAAAAAAAAATTCGTTACATACAAAAAAAAAAAAAAGCAACTAGCATATAAAATTTTAATTGGGAATCATATGTGCTTTAAAGAGAATAATTATTCATTAAATTGTTCAGATGCTAGCATTTTAATTTAGCTTTGAGTAAAAATTAACATATTAGGGATAATTTTAAAGAATAAAAAAAAAAAAAAAAAAAAAAAAAACAAAAACAAGAAGTTATTAATAATATTTAAATGCTTGCACCATTGTAAAAAAAAAAAAAAAAAAAAAAAAAAAAAAAAAAAGAGTTATTATAAATAGTTAAATGCTTGCACCATTGTATAAGGCGACAAAGGTAATTTTAGGCCATAACTAGACGAAGAATCCTTCCCAGATATTCAAATGTCTTTTCAGTTTCCTTTAAGCAATGATCTTTCTCTTTTGCAGTCCACTTCTGAAACAATGCCAAAAATAAACAAATGCAATATAGTAGTTATTAAATTAAAATTCAAAAAAGAAAAAGAATTGAAATTACATTACTATTTACAAATTGCTACTACAAGAATGAAAAGGAATTTAAATTTAAATTTAAAAATTGAATTTACCTCAGTAATTTTGTTCAACTTATCTTTTACTTTCTGTGACAGTTGAGAAATGTCACCCTCCCATTTATAGAAATTCAACTCCCTACTGTTAAGGAGCTTCTCAGATACCTAATTAATTTGATACAAAATAAGAAAAATCAACATGGAATGAATATTTGTAGCTAAGTAAAAAAATATTTTTAACAAAAATTATTAATATAATTATTTTAAATTAACCTGAAACTCCTTTGCAAATTTTCTAATATCAAAATAAATAATATTTCTGTGATATAGGTAAATTAAATATATAAAATATATATGCATAATTAAAATAGCTCTTATAAATCAGGCTAAAGAAACAGATAAAAGAACTATTATTATAATATATATTATTAAACATGTATATTGCATAATAATAAGTACCTTCTTCCCAATCATTTGACCACCGGCGGTGTGGGCAAAGTAAATATTGTAAAAGTGGCAAATAAATGCTTGAGGATCATTTTCCGACAATTTCTTGAGGTATTTTGCATAGTCAGCACCTGGACTAGAAGGTTCAGGAATGTCATACCCTTGTTCTTTAAGCCACTCCAAGTCTTTCTGCAAATTTGCAGACCTCTCAAATCCTGTGTTTTCCAACTCCACACCTATTTATATTTGTATAAAGAATATCAATTACTAATGGAAAATATATGCTTGTGGAAAAGGTGAAAATAGAGGTATTGGAATTGGAAAATTGAAATATTAGTCAATAAATAGAGATTAAACGAGCACCTATGGATGACAATAGGTGAGATACCTACTTAAAATGCAGTATTCGATCCCGAATCCGAATTTGATTATAAATTAGATTGGTTATAATTATCTGTTTGAATACCCATTTAGCATTAAAAATATTTGTTTTATTTTCATTTTTCAAGAAAAAAAGTAAGTAAAAAGACTCAATAAAAAAATATAATATAAATATTAAATATAATTATTGCATTAATTAAAATAAAAAGATGTATATATACGTAATTTTTCTTTTAAAAAAATTAATTATTTTAAATTTTTTTTGAATATTTACTAAACGGGTAATGGATAACGTATACGTGAGTTTTTTTATCTAAATCCAATAGGGTAACAAAAATACTATCCCAATCCGATCCAAACCTGTTTATTTACTACTACCCCAAACTGTTAAAATGATTGGATATTGTCATCCCTACAAACACTAGCATACGCTCACACGCTGGTCTCGCAAGATTAGAGATTTAAAACTTAGAATAGTTAATATCACCTACCCAATGATGCATCCTCCATCTTGCAAGATTAGTGATTCAACTGTAAAAACTGGGGTTTAAAAAAAAATAAAATAAAATAAAAAAAGAGAGAGAAACACTTACTAAAAGGAAAATCAGGGTTTTTCAGGATCTTTTCAACTGTATCATACATAGACTTGCTTTCAACTAAAAAGCTTATAAGCCCTTGAATGGAAAGGTCCCATTTGGACAAGGCTCTATCTTCTGGCTGCTTAATCTCCTTTTGTCCTTTCTTAGAGTGCTCTCTTGTGTGCAGTTTCAACGATGCAGCTCTCATCTCCTCCACAAATCCTGATTTACTCTCTACTGAGTACAATTCCTTTTTGTTTGGCGTCTTGCCTGCTATTACTGCCATTTTCACATTCCTCTGGGAAACTGCTACAGCTTTGAATTGCAAAGGCATTGATAGGAAGTTGTTAATGTGCGACTGAGAAGATGGTGTTGATATTTTGACATGGATACGTTTGTTTAATAAAGGGTTGGCAAGAGGAATGCGTATTAGAGAATAAGAAGCCATTTTTATTATATTAGCAAAGAAAGGTTTGTGACTGAAATGTTTCAGAGTTGCTGCAATTTGAGTAACGATCTTGAGATGACGCTCTCTCTATATACAAAGTTGTTTCTCACGTATAGCCTGTCTTAGTAGGTATTTTATATTACCTTTCAAAAAAAAAAAAAAAAAAAGATAATTTTTAAAAAAAAAAAAAAAAAAGATATTTTATATTAAAAATTTTTCTTTATGGGATTCCCGTTTCGAAGAGTTTATTGAATGATTATTTGTATTTTTTTTTATCTCAAAATGATTTAATCCATGCAATTATTAAAATTTAAGACGTTATTTGGTTCATTGAATAAATTTTTCAATATAAAGTCATAAGTAGAAAAATTAGTTATTTAAATATAAAGTTAATTAAATCTACACGTCAGGATACCATCTGATTTCGCAAAGATAATCCGTTGAATTTAAGATTCTGTTTTTTCCGTAAAGTAATTTGTAAGAAAATATTTTTGACAATTTTTCATTGTTTGGAGGCGTTCAGAAAAATAACTCAACGAAAAATATTTTCCCGGTCAAAGGAAAAATTAACTCATTTTTTAAGAAAAATGACTTCTCTCATCTTCAAGAGCGTAAAATATTTTTCAAACTTTGATAAATTTATTGTAATCTTAGAAATCCATATTTTATTAATTTATTAATCATTGGTAGCCACTACAACCACTCATCTTTTACCACCACCGACAACCACCACTGATCACCGATAAATTTTATAATTTTTTTTTTACATTATGCTCATATTTAATAATAAAATTTTTAAAATATGAAATTTATATTATTAGTATTTTTATTTTATGGTCTTACGAGTTAAAAATTTTAATATTTTTAATTATTTTCAAACTGTAACCAAACAATAGAAAATAAGTCATTTGAAAAATATTTTTCAAATATAAGTTATTTTCCGAAGATAAATGGAGCCTAAATTTTATATGAAATCCTAGTAGGATAATAACTGATTTTTTTAAGAAGAAATTAACCGAAACTGAAATTTCAAATAGATATGAAGTACAGGTGAATAAATCTTAATATGAAAAAATCTAATAATAAACGATTTATTAAAATAATAAAATAACACAATCTTCATTTAAAGTATTAAATCGAAAGTTTGACAAAGTATAATGCATATATCATAAGCGTTGTTTGATTCAATAATCTTTTTATAAGTCCGATATGATGACTTTTAAATTTTTTAATCTATCAAAAAGGAGATTACACCACGAACGCCTAAATAATAACATAACATAAACGAAATTGAACAAATAATTTAAAAACTGTCAAATCTATTAGATGTGAGAGTAAAAGTCTCAAAATATATTAAATCTATATAATAATAAATCAAATTTATGTTAAAAAATACAAATCTAAGAATTATTTAAAAAAGAAACAAAAAATAAAAGGAATTGGTAAAAGGAAAAAGGATGACTAACAGTAAGAACTCACAGTGAAAAGAAAATAGAAGTTTATAAGAGTACTAGTGCCTTTATAAAATAATATAAATAAAAAAATATTTTCATATCAGCATTTATTTTTCAAGCTTAATGTCATATCGGACAACAGCTTGTAAAGTCGCGTTTAACATTTTGATTAAAGTCAAAACACTACATGTTCGGTAGCATTTACAATAGCGTTTAGAATCGAGGGAACAGATTATAAATGTTACTCACTCTAACGCTTAATGAAACGCTAATTAAACAACTAACCTCATATGATTTTTTTTTTTTTTTTGAAAGACATGAGCTATCTTGATTATTGAAATTTTCAACTTGCAAGTTTAAATAATAACAATCGAAGTCAATTAATTGATTATGGAAGTTGGCTATCTTGTGGCTGATCTTCATGAAAATTAATTAAGGCTTTGTTTGGAGAGGACAGTAAACAAAATAATGGATGAATTTATAGAGGAATTGCCAATTTTCTTTTCATATTAACTTTTCACTGTTGTATTTGGATATAATAAATGAAAGAATTATATTTTCCTTTATTTGTAAATAACAATTTTTTACAGAAAAGAAAATATTATTGAAATATTGGCAATTGTAACCTTGAAAATTTAGAAATTGGCAATTATTGAAGAATTAGGGATACTTGGATAATTTCATAAAATTAATGAAATTTTCACTTTTTTTTAACTATTTTTCTCCTTAGATAGGAGAGATTTCAAATATGTAGATCTGGGTAAAATTAAATTAAAATTTATTTTCTTCATTATTTTTCTCTCCATTAAAGAGAAAAGAAAACTCACTAGCCTTAGTTGGAATGGAGTTGTTGAGACTCTTTCTCCTTTAAAAAATGTCTCGAGTTCTAGTTTTCAGTATGAAAATTGTCATACTGGGAGAGTCGCCCTCTATATAGGTCTTGAACTGTTCAAACCGTACATTATCCAGTGGACTTTTGGATACCGATAATTATATTAAAAAAAGACAAGAGAAAACTCATCATTTGCTTAGAATATTTTCTACAACAATTTTCTTTACTTTATAAAAAATACTTCAATTGAAATAAAGGCTAAAAGTCATCATCATCAAACAAACAATCATTTTTTTAAAACATAGTATATGGCATTAACAAAATCCCACTAATAAGAATTGCAACATCAAATCAAACAAGATGATATCCTTCATATGATGTTGATCCAAATTTCACATTATTGTTTAAAGCCAAAAACTTGTTATTAATTTGTTCTTTATTTATTTCACTTGTAATTTTTTTTATAATAGCCCGGAATAATATTATGATTACACAGCTGAGATAGCTTTTCCCTTATGTTATGATAGAGAAGACTTACAATTAAAAATCTGACACTGGCCACATCTTTTACAAAACACAAAAAGACGAATAACAAACCACACTTCATAAATTATTTTACTTATAGTTTGATAATTAGTTAAGATAACCAACGAAATTGCTTATTGAAATTCTCAACTTGCAAGTTTAAATAATGTAAAAGAGTACATCATTGACATTCCTAAAAATATATTTTAAAAACAAGTTGGTAAGTAAACGATTCTCGATGAGCAAAAATAACTGAATGGAGCTTGCTAATAAAATTAAATACGTTAAAAATGTAATCTTTTAATAGGAATAAGATCCACCACTTGAATAGAAAATAATAAAAAAAGAAATACACGCCGGCACAAAAATTTAAAATTAACCATAACATATTTAGCAAAATGAGCTGTTTTTTTAATGGTTAACTATTTTAATATTTATCAATTATTCTATTAGCATTCTACTAAACATTATTTCTTCTAATATTTTATAATCTACTCCCTCTAAACGTTAATGCTATGTTTGGATGAATGCAATCAACTATGTAATAGAATGATAATTATATTATGTTAACATTTGGATACGTCTTTTTTTTTTTTTTTCTCTCTCTTATATTATGTTAATTCTTTTTTTTTTTTTTTCTCTCTCTATAATATAATGGGGATTCCAATTGTATTCCTCATTATTTAGGATGCTGGAATATTTATTACATCAAAAAATATATGTATTATTCGTTATATTAAGTACATGGAATACTAATTATATCAAATTACTCTAATTAAAACTCTACCATACAAAACTATTTAACACCACTGTCTCAACCATCACAACCACAATCACTATTCCACCACCACCGCTACAGTCACAACTACCGCTCCACCACAACCACTATCACCACCACCACCATCATATCATTATTAATATAAAATATGTATGAAGGTTTAGTCTCATTCAATCCCCAATTGATAGGTATTGTTCAATTATTTTCGTATAACACTGGTATATGTTTTACTCTCTATAGTCAATGTCACTAATTTTATGGAGCAATTTTTTAAAATAATAGCTAGTTTAGAAAATAAAAGCAAATGGATGTTCAATTTCAAATTTATTTCAAACATGAAAATACATTAATAAGTGAATTATAAATCTATCTAGAATTTATTTGTAATTGAATTTCACATTTTGAATTGATTTATAACGAATAGAATTTAAGTAAAAAAATATGTATAAAAATCTGGTCTCATTTAACCCTCAATGGATAAGCATCGTTCAATTATTTTTTTTCTTGTCTAATTACTAAATTTTAGAAAACATTGATGCATGTTTAACTCTATACAGTGAATGTCAGTAATTACATGGAGCAATTTTCTAAAATAGTAGGATATTTTAAAAAATAAAAATAAATAAAATTTTTCAATTTTTAATTTATTTCAGATATTTTATTTACAAATGAATTTTAATTCTGGCTAGAATTCATTTGTAAATGAATTCCACATTTTGAATTCATTTGTAAATTCATTTATAACAAATGAATCTTTAAGGTAAAAAAAAATTAAAAAAAAAAAAACGAAAATTTGGTTTCATTCGACCCCAATTGATAAGCATTGTTCAATTATTTTTTTATTGTCTAATTACTAGCTTTAAGAAAACATTGACACATACTTTATGCTATATAGTCACTAATTATATGGGCATTTTATCAAAATAGTAGGGTATTTACTTACATATTTATAATAATATTATATATTTATAAATTTAAAAAATAGCAAGATACAATAGTGTTAATTACATTATATATTTACAAACAAACATAAAAATAGAATAATAATTACCATAATTTTTTTAATTACATAACCAATATAGTAACGAAATGTTATTTTCATTGCATTACTTATTTTATTCCTTTCCATCCAACTAAATATAGTCTAATATAAATGTTATGTCAGCAAATATTATAAATAATATAATCAAATTGCTATCCTAATTTTTTTTTTTTTAGAATAGAGATTATATACTAAATGCTATTTTAATATTTTAAAGATATTTATGCGTACAAGATAATATACAAAATGTAGATATATATTTCTCGAAAGGGTATTATACTATTACTATAATTAATAAAACAACTCTTTATTTAGACTAATTTATTCTAATAATACTGCCCAACACTTAAAATTAATTATATATTACACTTAATAATTTTGTATATATACAATAATTTATTTATCATACAATTTTAAGATTAATTAATTGAACTTTGAGCAAACCTTTCTGACTTCTCCAGAGGTTCCAGTCTTGACTTCAATGCTACTCATTTTAATCATAGCTTTAGTGAACTCAAAATCAAATCTAAACCCAAGTAACCCTCTTATATTCCCTGCATAATTTTTTACAATGCTTCTTGTAATGGCATCATCCCATAATCTCTGGTCTGACTCCAAAACTCCATTACCATCTCTTACATTCTTAAAAAAGCTTGCATCAAATTTAGATTGGCTGTCTTTGTCTAAAGCAACTCTTTTGGAGCCATCTCCATTTTTAGGACAAAGGGCCTGAAGTTGTCCTAAAAATGATTGATTTATTGTTGGGTCTGCATTTCCTGTTGTTGTGAAATTGTATAACCTGTATCTAAAGAACAGGCAATCTGTTTGTCCTATGGTATGCGCCCCTGCATTCCACATCAAATTTACTCAATAATTTATTGTAACTTAAATCTTTCTTAGAGACATAAAATTTCAAACGTGACAAGTATTCTTGAACAGATGTAGTATAATATATGAATTTATCGATTTATTCTATTATCTAAATACACTCAAATTCATATTATGGATTTTATAATAATTTATAGTTTGAAAGCAATTTACTTTACAGAAAGTTAATTTGCAAACCAAATACATTCAAATTATACTTATTAAAAAATAATTTTCTTGGTAGCGTACTTCTAAAAAAGTATTTTCCCCGGAAAATAAGTCATTTTCAACCAAACAATGGCTAAGACATGATAATACGTAGATTAAGAAAAATTCTCAATTTTTTTTTATTTTTTAGTTTCTTCTCAATTTATTTGTTTTTAATAATTAATTTGGAAGACAGAGTACATAGTAATATACTGTAAAAGATTTACCTACTAAGGTGACGAGGTCATGATCATCAAGGCCTTTAGCTGCAAATTTTTGCTTTTGAATGGCTATAGAATCAAGAGGTGACGGTAAATTAGAGGCTTCAGATGATGAAGATACCCTACCATCTCTTCTACCTGTTGGAACTGTCCAGCTTGGACCATCACTCTGAAACATACACACAAAATTAAATAAATTTATACATTTACAGCAAACGAAAATAAAACCATGCCTCCAAATTTGCAAAAATTATTCAAAATTATTAATTAATTAAAAAAATCCTATATATGATTTAATTTTTAAGTTTATATTTAATTATAATATTAAAAACTAAAATCGTTACCAAACTTTTCAAGTTTTAAAAAATTTACCAAATCCACAGAATCACGAGCAGCTAACGCTAGTATATCAGCGCAAGAGACAACGTTAGGGCACAAGGCCTCTAATTGTGATTTAGCATCATCAATGACTTCAAATCCTCTTAAACCTAAATTTGGCAATGCGTTTCTCTCTGCAGAAGACCCTGTAATTAACACAGAGCCATCACAACCCTGCAGGATGTCAAGTAATCAATTGATTTTAGTTAGTGAAACTCTAGCTAATTTGAATTTAATAAGAACCCAGAAGAAACTAGCAATAACCTGAACAAAACAGTCATGAAAATGAAGCCTGAGCAATCCAGCAGCAATGGTTGGATCTTTCTGGAAGTGAGATTCAACAGTAGACCTAACAATGGATTCAGCTTTTGGACAAGAAGAAGAATAAAACCCATTTTGCAATTGGCCTTTTACAGGCAAACCCAACACTAAAATCACTAGAAAAAAAATTAACAACATTTTTTTTTTGTTTTCCATTGAAACTAAACATTAGTATTTATAGCTATTTTGTTTTGCAATCTGCATATATTCCACTTTCTTTCTTGCTTTTTGAGTGGAGACGCGTTGGACCATTCAAATGGTGGTTTCTCTTTTGGCATATTTGTTTGTATATTGGATAGTTGGATTAGGAATTTAGGTATATTGTTGGAAGTTAAAACAGAAATAGAGATAGATTTTAAACATTAAGAGGCAAACATATATGTTTCTAAAAATATAAATAAAACTTACAAAAGAAAATTTTTGAAAGGTTTGTGGAATTTTATGATCACTTCATGCAGTTCTGCTCTCGATTTATATTTATAAAGGTGAAGTGATAATAAATCGGATAAATGAATATAAAATGATTATTTTCTCGACTTTTATAACTCTCAGTTCAATAAATTATTGAAAAATAAAAACGTTACAATAAGTAATTTAAAACTAATTTCCTTAGCTTTCTATAAGGATTAAGCCTTGTTAGAGTGATTGATATTTTTATTTTTTAGCTTTATTCCTAACCGCGTTTTAACTTTGCATAACTTGCTTGTCACCAAACGTATTTTTCACCTTTTGTTCTTGAATTATTTGCAGCGTTTTTTCCTTGCATTCACATTAACTTTAGGAAACTATATTCTAATTATCCCTAGTTGCTTTTCTTCAATAATTTTTATTAATTTGTTTTAATAACTAAAAGTGCATTTCCTAAAATTGAATAAATAAATAAAAGTAAGTGCATTTTACAAATATATAAAATTGTATATCTTCCTTGGTGATGATCTACGATTAAAACTAGCTAATGATGATCATGTGGTCCTCATTTTTTTGCTCTTCGACCAACCTATAAGATAAGATAAAATTATTTCCAAAAAAAAAATTAAATTAGAGTTTCTTTTATATATAAAAAAATCATAGAAGCAAAAGGCAGCAGCGAGAGTAAGAGTATGCAAATAGTGGGAATCATTTAAAATCAAATAAATAAATAAAAATTTAATACCTAAATTGAATTAAACTGATTCAATTTTTTAATTTTGATTTCTTTTTTTTAATCTGATTTAATATACAATTTTAATGAAAAGTGAATAAAAAGAAGATCTATTTTTTAATTAAAATTAAAATTAAATAGTATATTTTAAATATTAAATAAAATTAACCAATTGAGTTTATTCAGCTAGGATCTTTGTTTTTAGGACCAAGATTTTGCACTATAAAATGTAATTGACATGAAAAGCTAATTGTTTTACTCAATATAAATTATATAGATGAATAACATACAGAACGATAAGTAATCAATTTTTTATCTTTAATAAAAAAATAATGTAATGTAATTTTCATTCAATTAAAAGAAAGATTAATACTTAAAACTTATAGGGACAAGTTAACAAATGTCATATACGAAGTTTCAATTTCGACAAAATATCATAAAAAAATACTTACGAAGATAATGACAAATTCGGTAAAAAAATTTCAATAATAACAAAAAAAAAAAGGAAATGCTGGAAATATTGAAAAAGGAAACACCGAGAAAAAGGAAAAAATAAAAAAAGAAACACAAGGAGATACGAAATATGTAAAATCTCTATACACCTTATGTGATTTAACAACGGTGATAACGATTGGTGATGGCAGCTGACGACCAGCGACTGCGACAACAGCGATGGTAAATATAACATACACGATATATATATATATATATATTGTATTAGTAAATACGAAGTATATATATACACCATATCAGTAAATACTATAAAATCAATTAAATACAAAATATTAACATAATATATCAAACCAAGTAAATACGGTGTGTATATATATATAGTATCAATAAATACTATAAAATCAATTAAACACAGAATAAATAAATGTATACCAATTAACATATTGAATCAAACCAAGCAAATACAGTGTATACATATATATTATATTAGATTAATCCAAATAAAATCGAGAGTTCTGTCTTATCCAATATTTATTGATTTTATAAAAACTAATAGAAATATTTCCAATAATAAATAATGGATCAAAAAAAAATCAATATACATTATGAATACAAAACAAAACCATTAAACAACACTAATAATGAGAAGAATGACAGCAAAAATATAAATCACGATAAGAAAATAATGTACGGCAGCAAAAAGAAAAAAACCATCAAAAAATAAACGAGAGTTAAAAAAAACTGGCAGCAGAAAAAAATATTAACATACTAAAAAAAAGAAAAAAAATGGTAAAAGTAGGAAATTAATACATTAAAACATTAATATATTAAAATATTAATATATTAAAACACGAAAATATTTACAAACTACTGCCTACCAAATACCAATAAAAATAAGCAGAATAGTAAAAATATATTATCAATGAAAATAATTTAAATCTCAAAATCAAATTGATATTTTTTAAATTAAAATTTTAAAAATTGACATTTAGTATAGTATCCCAATTTTATACTGGAGGAGAATATTAAAAAAAAAAAAAGAAAAAGAAAATTATACTAGCGAGAATGTGATTCAAAAGATAATATGGGCTGGGTTCTCAAAAAATATATATATATACATGGGCTGGGTGAGATACTTGGATATTGGTTTAAGCTCCGCTTGTTCTTGGTCCTTGAAAACGATCAAACACAGGGCCTAAAATAAAATTATTATTAATTTCAAATATATAATATTATTATGCATTTTATTTATAATATACATTATAGTACCTTATATTTAAATGATAGGTAATATTAGTCAAAATGGAATAACTCATTAAAATCTATTGCTTAAAAGATTTATTTATATATTAATACTCATATAATTGCAAAAAATTAGGGCTCTTTGCAATCAGAACCGCTAATCATACAACTCGAATCCAGATCTTGAGTCAAAGCTCATTCCTATTGCACCTATTGCACTTTGACCCTAACAAAGTGCAATCATCGGAACAAAGACCACTCTGTAATCCAAAATTAAACTCCTGGTCCTCAGAATCTTCAAGCTCAAACATGTAACAAATGGACCAGAATCTTCAAGCTTAAACATGTAACAAATGAACCCTTGGTGCAATCATAGGAACAAAGACCAGTCTATAAGCCAAAATGAACCCTTAGTTCGATCCCACTAAATACACGGTAAAGAAAGACTCTACTAAATACACATGTACAGAAGAGCGAAAAGCCTTAACTAATGTATGAATACAGTGGTTTACACAAAAAAAAACAAATTATGGCTTCACCAATTTCTGAAAACAGTCAACTTCATAAATTGCAAAAAGTTCATTTAATCCAGAACTTAGGTTTCATATATAATATTAGATCCAGCTTTAATTAAACATTTTACATTGTGTTAGTATCTAAACCACGCATAAAATATGCATGAAAGGTAACTCAAAAAAAGAAAAAAAAAGGTATAAAAAAAAGAGTATTAATACAAAACAAAAGTATACTCAATTCTCCTCTAACCCAATTAATTACTTAGCGGCCTGTTCCAGAATTGGAACCTTCTTCCAAGTATCTTCCAACGCACTCGACTGAAGAGGTGGCAATGAAAAAACACTAACAGTTGAGCTTCCACTTCGAATTTCCTTCAAAATCCGCAATGCTGATATACTGCTTTTCATATATAAACTCTCCATGAGTTCAATATCTGCAAGTTCTCTAGGGACTCTAAGCAGACCATCATCCTTGGTTGTCGTAGCAGAAGTTGAAGGATCACATCCTTCATCTCCATCAGCTGCTTCAACTGAAGATGGTGGTTCATTTATTGGGAAAAGGCGATCAAGCATTCTCTCACACTCGTTTACAAGTTTGTATAGCAAGTCAGTGGTGAAGAAAGGCTGTTGCAAGACCTTTTGAATGAAGGGCAAGCGAATTAGAGCACCAGTTCTTTTGTCATACTTCTTTAGTATTTTTACCAGTCCTGTTAATTCGCAGCACAGCAAGTCGCAATTAATAATTGATATTGAAATTACCAACTAAACCAGAAACATTAAATTTTAAAGATATATTCAACTACCTGTATAGTTAAGTGCACTATAGTTCTCCAGCAAAACCATCTCTCCATGGAAATCAACAATCTCTTTCCGAATTTTTATCATCTCCTCACTGTAATCTTTTGCCTTTTCTACACTATCTTGCAACTCCTGCATCAATCATAATTTCAAAAATTTCAATTTCAAATTTAGCCAAGTACAAAACACAGGCATACCAAAAATCAAGCATTTTAGCAAGTTGCACTGCTTTATTTCACACGTAAAAAATGTGTACAAATACAAGTTCCCACAAACTATCTAGTCACTTGAAATCCCTGCCTCAGATCAAATATGAAACCTTACTGCATAGTGGTAAATTTGAAGTGTATATGCAACTTTTAGCTCAAAGTACTAAATTTGGAGTTTGAATTAAGGCCATGGCCTTACCAACTTGGAAGTTTCCTAACACACATCATTATCAACAAGCAGCAAACCTTTTCTTTTAACCAAGCAAGATGGGAGGTACATTTAGTTAAAGACAAAGGAATAAAGTTTCTTCCATGTTCACCACACACAACTACACTACTTTTTATCCACACAAAAGTGTAAAAAGAGAATACAAAGTTTAAAATATCTAAACTTTGGTGGATAATTACAACTAAAAATTTCAAACACAAGTATTTGTACCAAATAATTTTACTGTAGATATTAACTAAAAATAAGTAATTATTGCATGGTATTTAAATTATATTCCAAACTAAATTAACATAGTAAAAAAAAACTACAAATGCATCAAAAAGGTTCTCTAGTAACTTATACATTAGACATGCCTGTAATGAAATATAGCATAATGTAATTAAAAACATTTATAATTAAATATTACAGTATAAATTCTTCTGTAATGAAATATAATATAAAGTAACTAAATGCATTATAAATATAAATATTATTCTAAAAATACATTTACTAGCATAAATAAACTAAATTAGAAAAAGAAAATGAAAAGATGGATAAAGCTGCAATTTCGCACATGTACACGTGGTGGAATATACCAGGGTACAATTCTCTCAAACGGCATATTTATTTGATGTGCGCCAATTGTACAAGAGAACAGGTGTCAAACAAATATACGCCGTTGACAAAGAAACGGAAAGCGGCAACCCCGCCTAAATTACTAACGTCTTTAACTGTCTCCGTTACGGTATCCTTTTACTACGCGCCCAGTTACTCAGTTTGATCCTAAATCGAGATCTGTATCGAACGACAGCGTTTTACATATTTTTCAAATTACAATTTTATCTTGGGGTTAATTGATTGTTTTTGTATAGCTAAAATTTCGCTAGCTAAATATGGAGAAAACATTTTCCCGGGAACCAAACAGCAAAGTAAAAGAAACAGTTTTTTTCTAAGATTGTTGATTAAGAGGAAAAAAAAAAAAAAATACCTTCAATCTGATGATGTACTCTTCCTCCTTCTCTACGAAGAAGGTGTTAAATTTCTCCAGTTCGTCTTCCAAAAGTTTAATGAAATTAATCTCTTCTTCCGTCATGCCATCCTTATTTTCTCCTCCTCCGCAGTCGGTACTATCGCCAGCGTCCAATTTCTGTCGCTTGGTTGGCCTATCTCCGCCTTTGTTTGGCTCTATGAGTTTCAATCTCTTCTTGAGCTCCTTGTAGGAGAGAAACTTGTCTCGCCATTCCGGCAGGGTCTCTTCGATCTGGTTGCTAAGACTCTTGCCGAACTTCATGTTCTCTTAGACTATTGAGAAGCAAAAGAACCGAGTTCTTGCTTTTCGTGCGTGTTTGGCTGGTGAGAGAATAAGAGGGAAAGTGAAGGGAAACCGAAGGTGAGAGAATAAAGGAGATAGAGGTGTGGGGGTGATATAACGGTAAGAGAAGAATATTCGAGGGTTAGTATTGGAATATCCATTTATTCTTTGAGAGGATATCTCTGGTTTTATTCCCTGTGATATAGAGAGAAATATTAGATTTATCTTATTTTACTGTGTCCTTACTTTTTTTAATTTTCTTTTTGCTTTTTGGGCTGTAGCAGATACGTGGACTTCGTTTTTTAATTAAACAGATTTTATTTTTTGTATTTTAATTGCTTAGTAGGAAAGTGACGAGTCTAGACACTCGGGCTGAGCTAGTTAGTTTGATTGTGAGTGGGTTTTTGGGGCATTCAGCTAACACAGTTTGTTGGCGAAAATAACTCCTGTACGTGGAAAATTATTTTTAAAATAATTTATTTTTATTCTTTGTATTTTTAAAAAACATTAATTAAATTTTATTTTAATATAAAATTATTAAAACCCACAAAGTTATACTTTCACCTTCCTGAATTGATAATCACAGTTCCGGTTCCATACAAATTAAGAAAAATTAATTATTTTAGTTAAAATGTAAAGTTCCGTATATTTTTTCTATTGCACCGCTACTCAAATATGAGATATGTTATTTATTGTTAACTTGTTTTTTTTATTTTCGTTTAAAATTAATTGGTTATTTAAAGTTAGTTAATATTCTGTTTATTACTTCTGTACTATTTAGACCGAGAAAACTAAATTTTTACAAAGAGTAAAGAGGTAATTTAATTTAAAATTTTTCTCTTTTTTTCCTAATTTACCTTAAAAAAAAACCTTCAACTTTTATGTAAGTTTCTAAGCAAGCTCACTCATGAAATAAGAAAACCTCCCCTCAACTTTCACAAAACGGCATTATATAAATGAAGAAGAGCTCATAATTTCAATTCAATCATCCAAAGTTTTTAAGATAAATTCACCGATGCATTTTAATCTCAATATTGTTCTTGCAAATTCGCCTGCAATTGAAAAAGACGTCTGCATACATACAAATATGTCCGTAGATATGATATAAATGTATGCCAAATGCACATACTATTTAATAAGTTGCAGACAGCTTTTCTATTTTTGTGGAATCAGCTTCTATATTATTTGTTTTTTCTTTGTATTTCAACTAGCTTTGTGTATATATGAGAGGATAGTGCTAATTCACACAGCAAACTGACTTCGAAAATTAAAATTATATTAAAACTAGTGTACAAATGTGTCAAATATTCTTGCAATATCTATATCTGTTGCTAAGAAGTGTGAATGGGTACGAATTTTTACGGTCATTTGAAATTATTATCCTAGTCATATTAACGCTCGTTCTGCAAAATAGTACACTTTTACTAATCGAGAGGAATTGAAATTATAAAGATATATCTTTCAATAACATAAGTTCATTAATGACTATCTAATTTTTTGTTTATCACTGTCCTATGATTCTCCCATACTTAAAGTTTTACTTAGAAACCACACAAGAGCGATATAGATTACATCAATTGAACACTTATTATATAGTTGATAAATGTGAAAATTATTGTTTTAAAAGTGATATTAACCACGTATGAAACCAATTTTTTGAATATAAACACCACAAACCATAAAAATTTATTATTTTTAGCATGATGAGGTGTGGATTATTAAAAAAGAGAAGTTGAAAGTGCCATAAGATTTTTTTTATTAAATTTTATGGATTAAATTATGTATTTAGCCATTTTAAAATCTTGGAACATAAAATTGACACTCACTCCCATTATATTATGGTTGATAATTAGAAGACTCAAATTTAATGAAAATGATGAGAACATGTACAGCCCTTTTCGAACAAATGAATTATGGTTGTAGAATTCATTTGTAAGTGAATTCTAAGTAGAATTCATTTAGAAATGAATTTGTCATGTTTAGTATGCTACAATTTAAAATAAGAAATTCAATTTATAAATAATAAATTTCATATAAATAAGTACATTGATATTCCACGCTAATTAATTAATTATATAAGCAGTAATATTAATCATAATAATTATTTTTAATTGATGTAACTAATTTTATTGATTTAAGTAATTAATTTGAAAAATAAAAAAAAATACTAAGAATGTTACTGTTGTTTTTAATTGCATTTGAAAACAATTGCTGATACTCGGTTTCTATAGTTTCATAGTAATTATAACATTACTACTATACTTAAAAAAAAACGTTATTACTGGATTAGAATTTTCTAAAAAAAAAGAAGAAAAAAAATAAAAATATAAGCTAATGTTTTATTGGATTAAAAAAATAATAATGTTGTTCGGTTTGAAATTTTTTTTAAAAAAATAAATAAAAAGAAAAAAAAAATAGTTGAGTTAATAATGAAAGATAATTTTGTCAATAAACATTTCAATGATCAATTATGTGAAATTTATTTATAAATTTATTTATTTTAATAGAACACCGAAACAGAATAACTAACCTAATTCGAATCTATATTTTTTTCATTTCAAACACAATATTTTAAACTTCTAAATAAACTTTATAAACTTACGTAGAATTTATTTATTCTAAACGGGCCGGTAACGGCAAACACCGAAACAGAATAACTAACCTAATTCAAATCTATATTTTTTTCATTTCAAACACAATATTTAAACTTCTAAATAAACTTTATAAACTTACGTAGAATTTATTTATTCTAAACAGGCCGGTAACGGCAAACACCGAAACAGAATAACTAACCTCGCGCGTGTGTGCAAGGGTTGCTATGAGTATGAGGCCTAGGAAAGCGAACAGTAAACTGTCAAGGTTGCCAATTTATGACGCATGGTATAATTCCAAGCATTTTGGAATATCCGAAGCATCCTTCTTCGGCTTCTCACCCTTTTTATAAATATTCAATGATAAACACCCAGCTCAAAATAAATTTTAAAAAAAAACAAATTAACAAAATAATTCCGGTGGTCCCTTACACCTACAGTTTGTGTGACACCCAGTTGGACACCGCAAAACATTCAGTAAGCTAGAATTGGAGAAAAGTCAATTAATCAAGACCTCTAAATCTTGAGCTGAAAATATACACCTAATTGCATAATTTTAAATTGATGGCGACAAAACTGACGGTTACAATCAGTTCGATAAATCGCATAATTTTAAATTTTAAATTTTGAAGATTAGTTTTCAAAATTTAATAAATTTGTGAAAATTATTTATAAAAAAAATACACCTAAAAAATTAAAAAATATTTCAATTAAATTTATTTTTTTAAAGACTTGAACTTAATTATTTTTTTTAAAAAAATAAACTTAATTATTTTTTTTTAAAAAAAAATTCTTGAACCGGAATTTATTTTTGTTTAAAAAGTTTGAACATAATTAAAAAAAAAGGGCTTGAAAACTTGATTTTTTTTTTTTTTAAAAATTAAGTAAAAAATACACCTAAAAAATTAAAAAATATTTCAATTAAATTTATTTTTTTAAAGACTTGAACTTAATTATTTTTTTTAAAAAAATTCTTGAACGGAATTTATTTTTTGTTTAAAAAAGTTTGAACATAATTAAAAAAAAAGGGCTTGAACTTATTTTTTTTTTTTTAAAATTAAGTTGTCTACGTATCCTCTTGGGGTTTAGATGAATTAAAGCACACGTAATATATCGTAGAGAGAGTAGAGAGTGTAGAGATTTTTTTGTGATGAATTTGTAAATGAAATGAGGTATTTATAATAATTCAAAAAATTATTTTTCCAAAAATACCTTTGAAACTAGCCGTTATGTAGCCGTTTATAGTTGTTGGAAGAGGTAATAAAGAGATTTCACAACAAAAATAAAAAAATAAAAATAAAAAACTGACAGTTTCTAACGGCGATTCTAACCGGCCGGAGAACCGACGGTTCCATCCGATTCCGACTAGTTTGTTGGAACCGCTGGTTGCTGTTCCAACAAAATTGAAACCGAAATCGAACCAGAAATCTCTGGTTTCGGTTTGACCCGGTTTCGGTTCCTACCGGTTCCGATTTTAGTTCAAGACCGGTTCGAACCGACGATTCCGATTCCGAAACCGTAATATGGCCACCCTTACCTAAGTGTAATGGAGGATTTCCGTAAATTTAAGGATTCAATAATTTATGGAGACATAATCATCGACCATTTGAGTTTTGTTTAGAAAAATATATGATTTAGCTTACTTATATATTTCTGTCTCAAAATATAAATCGTTTAAGATTTTTATATAGAAATTAAGGAAGCAATTAACTCTTGTAGATTATAATAAAATCAAGAATAATTTAACTAAAATATCATTTATTTTAAAATCTATAGTTACCTGTGAAAGTATTATTATATTTAGTTCATATAAGGGTAACATTGGAAAAATATCATTTATTATTTCTTAAAATACTCAAAATGATTTATATTTTATATAAAATAATAACAAAAAATGACTATATTTTGAGACAAACGGAGTATATGATACATGATTTATATCGAACGATTAAATTACAGGTATTGCTAAATTTTTTAATGAGCAACTGTATTCCGATACTTTTTTGCTAATAGTTGATTTGTAATTGCATTATATTTGCAATTCATTAAATTCATAAAAAGAATTACTAAACTATTTTATTAAATTAATGTTTTTATGACTATAATTATTTGAAAACAATAATTTTCTATTAAATGTCATTAAATATTTTATTAAATATTTTTTTTATTTATATAATATATAAATAAAACACACTGCCACATAGGATCTTGATAACTTTATAAATCTAAAAATTCACAGCCGATTGTAATTGTAGATTAAAGTCGTAGAAGGTCACAAGTGGAATTTCCTCGTTAACGATTGTCCTTTTCAAGGACAGAGATTCGGAGCTTTGAGTGGGATATTCCCCATTGCGAATCTAATATTCGCATCTTTTTTTGTTCTTCCTAAGAAATTTCTTGAATCCAACTACTCATATTTTGCAATTTAGACATTTTTGGTCGTTATTTGCTCTTCCATAGCTTTGTAAAGCAGAGAAAGTGGATGTTTTTAATTCAAATTCAAATTCAAATTCAAAGTTGAAATTATTATTGATTTTTCAAATAAAAAAAAAGAAAAAGGTCCACTAT